ATTGTCGATTTTCTAAATTCTAGGGAGGCCCTTTTAGATAAATTTACCCCGTCATAAAATTAAAACATACAATTTTTCTTCCACCTCTTCAAATTTTCTCAACTCTAAACAAAAAATAAAAACATTTATTCAATTCCGAGGCTCAACAACTAATGATTAAACGGGTTTTAGGGGAGACAAGAATCCACGGAACAATAAAATAACATTTCTAATATTTTAATTTTTTTTTATTTCAAAATTTATTAAAAAACAAAAAAAAAGGAATTTTGGTCGGGTCCGACACCCACCGGCCAAAGCGGCGTCCAACCCCGACGCTTACCCGTATGAATGGCGTCTGAATTAGATGCCTAAACCACAGGTGCAAATAAAGCGCCTAATGTTCAGGTGCAAATGGCGTCTAATGTTCAGGCCAAATAAGCGCCCAGAGATCGCGTTGGACTGGCAATAGGGAGGTCCACTTTAGACACGGCTCCGGATGGGTGAGCGTGACGGGTTAGACGCCCTTGTCGCCGGTTTGGTGCTATCACCGGGCGCCCTACCCGGCCTGAACGTTTTTTTTAAAAAAAATAAATCAGAACTTAAATTTTTTTTTTTCGGAAAAAAAAACTCTCCCCCATAATAATTTTTTTTTCTCATAAATTTCAAAAAAGGAAACTTAAAAAAACAGGAAAAGTACTTAATTTACCTATACATCGATCAACACGCTTTTAATTTTTCATTATTGAAGTCATAGGATTAAAGAATTTTTTTTTTTTTTTTTTTGAGTTTGATAGGATTAGGAGGGAAAGAACAAAAAGATTTTTGTGTTTTAATTTTATGTTAGGGGTAAATTCGTTCAAAGGAACTGTAGCAAATAGCAGCCCTCTCACAGCTCTTAATTTTATCCTCAGTAAAATAAGTACAAAATATTGGGCCAAAACTATATAATTAGCCCAAGTTAGGAAGTATTAGAGTAAGAATTTTTGTCACTATTTAACGGTTAAAATTAACAGAATGATTTCGGATGAATTTTTGTTTAGTATGGTGACTTGTTATACAAATAAATTTGATTGATTACATGTATTAGAATTATCTAATAGTTTAATGACCCGTTTTGAGGTTCACTCTAAAATAAAATCATAATGAATGATGTGCTTTCAATACAATAATATAATAAATGCCCATCTTGAAAGTGATATAGTGAAATCAAATACTGCCCATCTTGAAAGTGATATAGTGAAATCAAATATGATAATTCAAGTAGGCACATAAAGTAAGAAAATCATTTGAGTATGGTGTGACTTGTAGCATTTTAGACAGTACCTGACTTGTGGATCCTCTCAGAACCAGCAAGATCTAACAACAACTAGTTTGCCTTAAGCATAGGTAGGTGACTTAAAATTGTTTGTCGAGCTAGAAGCATTATTTTCTGAAGCTCCACCAACAGACCTCCTTGAGTTGAACCTACATAAGCAGCAATACAAATTTGCAGATGAAGATAAGGAAAAAGAAAGAAAGGAAAAAAAAGAATGGTCAGTTTGAATGCATACCATGGGAATAGCATGACTGCGAGAAGATTCAGTATTCAACTTTGTGTGAGCGGCAAACCTTGGAGCCTCTCCTATTTGTAAAAGTTCCAAAAAACTTTGTTGATCTCAGATTTCCACAAGAGTTGCCCCCGGGTAGAGAATCATCACCACTTTTTGATCTTCAATTTAACAGTTGCTATATTATCGTTTGATGGTTTATAAACATATAAAGCTGCATACACAAGGTATGTAAAACAATTTTAGCAAGTATACTGACAAGACTTAAATGATAGACCTAAACTGGAGGAAATATATGAACATGATACTGAAAAACTATCTTCAAGTGACCTCACCATGATACCACAGGCAGAAGTATCTTCAAGTGAATGAGCAATTTTAGGCAAGCATTACACCTCCACAACGGGTTTGGCAACAACTTCGTAGACACGTTTCTGTGATGCATCTTTAGTAAGCACCTCATCGAATTCATAGGTATCAGAGTCCCTCTTCCGAAGCTTCAATCTTTTAAGCTGGTAGATATAACCATATTTATTATAAAGTCATTATGATGAGGCCATAACTCAATGACAGCCCGGATTCATTCCAATCTAGAGAAATTTTTCCATATACCTGTGGTTGCATTTCCACACAATCAGCAAAGTCTGCATCAGCTTCCAACTCTTCAGCATTTCGAGGCCGCAATCTTACTGCAACTCTTACTCTTGTGGACACTACATACACAGAGAGAGAGAGAGGACCAAAAAGAGAGAAAAATATAAATACCATAAATCCGTTAACATTCTGTAATGGAGAGGAGACAAACAAAAACCGTAAAAAAAATTTGAACCAGGGAAAACATAAGGAACCCAAAAGACAGTTAAGGGCAATGGGGCATCATGATCCACAGAAAGTCTCCCCTTGCTCCTGGGATAGTTCTAGTTATCCAATCATGTTCTACAACTTAAGGGACGGATAACAGACAGGTCAAATTGGGGAACACATATCAAAACCAAAATATAATGAAGGGCAATGGGGTATTATGATCCACAGAAAATTTCCCCCTTGCTCCTAAGATAGTTTAATGCTTGCCACAGTAATAACAAACCCTACAAGCTGACATTCTTTTTCCCTTCAAACACAATTAATTCGATCAGTGGGTTCCCGATGCTGCTTGTCTACTTAAAAACATCCAAAAAGGGCCAACCAAAACAACCCCACAAACATTCATTCCTAACTACAGCACCAATTTCTGCAACTACATTGTAAAATCAACTTATCAACACCTACGCTCGCAAGAGATTTATTCCTAAGATCCCTTAATTCAAGTAACTCATGACAAAAACCCCGACTTTAATGATTCAATCAACAAAAAAAAAGAACCACTTCGAATTTAAGTTAGCAACCACGATCCCACCTCATTCTCATTACACAAACAATCGAAGTAAAGTAATGGCGGTTAGAAGTAATGAATATGAAAGCAGAATGGGTAACTCACGGCCGTCAGCTCCGGGAAGCAAAGCAGGACTGCTGCGGCGGAGATGGGAGGAGGATGACGGCGTAGGCTTGGATTTAAAGGAAGAAGACGGGCCTAAGAATGGGTCCCCTTCGAATGCCATTTCTACCCGGGTCAAGAGATCCGCTGTTCTAATGCTGCCTCCAGGTTGTGTGTCACTGTGTCCACAAGATAATGGAAATTATATGATCCGACTCCTTATGGGGAACATTTTGATCCTGCACACTCACTTGAATTGTCGGTAACATCCACAAGATACCAGGTTGCGTCACTTGAATTGTCGGTAACATCCACAGAATTTTCGCTGTTTTTTTTTTTTTTTTGGTGACTTGTGATATCTCTGGTGGATTTTGATCAGATATATATATACTAGTGATGTCTGGTCGCGCATTAATATATATACTAGTGATGTCTGGTCGCGCAATGCGCGACCCTGGCCTAATATATTTGTACATTTTAGAAATATTGTATCTAAAAAAAAATTTGTATTTGGCTCAATATATTTTAGAATTAGAAATGTTTTATAAGTGTGATCATAGAAATGTTTATATTTGGCATAAAAAGAAATTGTATTTGGTCCGGTACGTTTTAGAAATGTTTAAAGATTTTAAAAATATTTTATAAGCGTTACTTTTTAAATATAAATAAATTGATCAAATATATTTCTTGAAGTAAATGCTAGACAAAATACAAAAGTATCCTAATAAGTTAAAATATTAGTAAGATAATTTATTAATGTTCTCCATTGGTTGTGACAAATCAATACTTAGTTTTGGAGATTTATAATAGCTTTGTAGTAAGCTTCCTCCTACCTCCATAAAACATACGCTTAATTGTTGGAACTATTTCTTCCAAAAGTTTATAGATAGTAAAATATCAAAAATATGATTTTGAAACTGGTTAATTATTGTAACTGGTTGATCACAAATATGAAAATGAAAATAATGATTTGTGAAAATAAAATCATTTAAATTTTAATACATGTAATGGCACCACCACAACGGCCGAAGCAAGATTAATGAAATTTTTTTTTCTCCTTTGTGTTTATAGAGAGGTAAAGAGAATATTTGTTGAACTCGAAATTTTATTCGATTAGGATGTAGTTGATCATCACTAATGAAAAAATTGAACATGATAATAGGAAATGAGTATATTTCACCACATATTCTCAATTGATGATTGATGAGGAATTTTTTTTTGTTTTTTTATTGTGAAGAAGGGATTGATTAGAAAGTCGATTGTCTTGGAGATGAGAATGAGGATTTGGGGTTTTTATGAACCCGTGGTTTTTTTTGGCGAAAATAGGAGGTGAGGGTGGATTTGGATTGCATTTTCCTTTTAAGTATAGGAAATGTATAAATAAAAATATGATGTGGAAATGCCACATGGCAGATAGTGATATTTTCTCTAAGTGTGGTTTTTGTTTCTAATATAGTAAGATATATATATATATATATATATATATATATATATATATATTGGTGGTCATGGTGAAGATTTGGTGAGTAGTATACATCTCTCTCCATGTTGCTTTCTTCGTTTTTAACACTTTGGAACTTGTGTCTCTGAAGTTTGGTATGTCCACCTAATCTTTTCCTGATGTGGGTGCATTGTTTTTTGGCGTTATATGGTATAAAATGTACTCCCTCCATTGCAAAATAAGTGTCGTCCTACACTTTGCACATAGTTTAAGAAACTCTTAAATAGGGTAATAAAATTACTTAAATATCCTCAACCAACCCATTTATAAAACCATTTATAAAATTGTCCACCAATAGCATTAACTCTTTTGAGGGTAATTTAAAAAACTTTTGACAAAAAGTGCATTGAAATGTGAGAACTTTGAAATTTCTCTATTTTATTAAAACGACACTTATTTTAGAATGGAGGGAGTACATTGTAGGACCTCTTGAGTCGCAGGTGCTCTATGGCGGTGAATTGGAGGTCAAGAAATGCTTGCCAGAGTTGGGCTTTCGTCGATCCGTCTTACTGGGGGTTTCATAATTCAGGACATGACCTGGATACTTGTTTTCTTTTCTTTTTCTTCTTGTTGCCTTTGGTTTTGATTTGGTGAATCTATGTTTTTGGGTAAAGTTTGTAAGTTAAAGTTTCTTTGAACAGAAGAATATTTTAGTTGTTATATTGCTCTGACGTCGTTAGAAGGTCCAAATTGATGAATCCACTTTAACTTTAGGGGGTTTGATGTCGCCTAGTTGGTAAAGGAGGTTAGCATTTCTCTCTTTGTTGTTTTTGGCTTGGAAGATGAGATGTGAAGATGAGTTTATGCCCTGCATTGTTGTAGAGGTAAAAAAGCTGCTAGTCACCATTACAACTAAACAGGAAAAGATGAACCCAGTCAGATTGAATCGGGCTTATCCACACAGGTCTTATGTTTGCGCTAGAGAACAATTATTAGTTTGGTTAATGAACACTAAATACGACTAGTTCAACACAATCACATTCATTGTAGCACATAATTTACTAGTTCACCACGTAATCACATCACAGCCCCTAGAAGAAGAGGAGTTTCAAGACACAAACTTCACAAAGCGTGGGTGAGGAGGGACGCTCAGCAAAGGGGTGACACCACCAAACTGGTCGGTAGAGCTACAGCAAGGAAGTCGGCATCTAGAGGTATACTTCACCTTCTCCCAATCCTCAAAGACCATATCTTTCATCTGGCAAAACACGGCCATTGACTTCTGTACACAACGAGGAGGATAAACAACATACTCACCTAGAAACGTTACCTCGCCGTCATCAGCATCAACAGAAGTCGCCACGAAGGTGATAAAATAATACTCAACCCGAGGAAACTACCCATAAAATATATAAAATTAAAAATCAGAAACTCAATTACCCAAAAAGAGGAATATCCAATCAATAATCAAATCAAATGGCAAAAGGGAAATCAAACTAACGCTATTAGGATATGCGTCGCTGAACTGCCCTGGAATGGGAAAGATCCCATCAGATTCTTTGGTGAAGTCATAAGAACGATGGGCACGAGTGGCCTTCTCAACTCTAACACTCCGGTACATCATCTACCCAGAATCAAAAAGTAAGACCGCAAATAATGAAAATCACAAATTCATTTTATCAACAAGAAGAATATGAACCAAATTAGATAGGCAACCTTGAAACAGGAAAATTGAATCAATTACCTTAACAGGGTCGCCTTCCCGTGGCGTGTTGAAGAGGTTAATGCAATGCTGTGACATCCGAAAGATGGAATTACGAATTTTATGTTTCCTCAAGTCACAAGGTTTGATTATTGGAGTATCATCCTTCTCCGGAACGGATTGGGTGTCTATGTCAAATCCCTGGAAAGAAGAAACCCCAAATTGATTTGATATTTGATAATGATAACACAGGGGGGGAGGAACAGGAACTAGCTTGGGGATGTAGAAAACAGGGTAATTAACCAACTAATTGTGAAGATTAAAAACCTAACCCGACTGTTATGCATCACCCGAAAGTACTCCAGCCATTTATGCTTATTGCAACCGCCATAAGGGATAGAGAACATCCTAGACAAATCCTTCTTTAAGAAATCTGGTAGAGGGCCTAGATTGTCTTCTCGTGGATCTGGTGGACTATCCTCTTCTGGTGGTGGAGGAGGAGGATCTAGATTCTCCTCCTCTTCTAACGGATTATCCTCTTCTGGTGGTAGTGGATGTCGTGTCGCCTGCTTCTTGGATTTGCTATGATACTCCCTTTCTATTAACGCCAGCCGTGCCATTATCTCCTTCCGCTTCTGCTGTACTGGTTTGCCGTCGGGGTCCACGGAGCTGATTCCGCTTCCGCCCGTCGAACAAGGTTCTGGATTGTACGTCTTCATCTCCTTCTCCTTCGAGGCCTGAATCGAAGAAGGCGACACTCCTTCCGGAACCCTAATTTTCGTTGACATTACCAAATTGACGAGGATAAGGAGCCAAATGGAGCTTTGCTGTCTTTATATAGACCGTCTGACCGACCCTGCCATTATTTTAACCTCATTATTAGAGTTGGCCCACTGAATTTTACAAATTCTTTTTTGGTTAACCAAAGGCCTGGTAAAAAAAAGCCCAAAACCCGGGGGAAAAATAACCTTCGACAAATACTACTACTACTTACTAGTACTTTATTATTCCCTTTGTTTTGTTTTTAATCTTTTTTTAAGGGTTCGCTTATTAAAAACTTTCAATTAGCATGTTTCTATTATAAATATCTAAATCTAAATATCTAACTATACGTTAAACCCATCGTGCGGGGTATAGACTTAAATATATATGAAAAGAATTTTGTTTTCGAAACACATGTCGCTCAATTAGGATGTTAATAAGTTTCAAGGTAAATTTTTACGATAAATACATTATATTACATTTACTATTTATAATAAAAAATGTTATGTTTATATGACATATTATTTTAATATTTACTGTTTTGTTACTTTCACTATTACTGGGATTAAAAAAAATACTCCCTCCGTCCCATAATTATTGTCCAGTTTTACCGAAATGAAAAATTTTATTTTTGGTCAAAGTTAACTATATTTTACCTTAAATAACCGGATATACCCTTACATAAGTAATTGTTTAACTACTAAGATTTTATGGATAATGTTTTTTACTAAAGACAAATGTGTAACTTGATCCATAAAAAGTCAAATTGGACAATAATTTTGGGACAAAATTTTTTGGGCAAAGTGGACATTAATTATGGGACGGAGGGAGTAAAACGATAGAAATTTGCCCAGTGATCGTCCAGTTTCAATCCGGCAGCTTCTACGTGATACTTTCACCGGTGGTTGTCCAGAATTCGGCAACTATGTCCGTCGGTGATCGTCCGATTTCAAACGGCAAAATGGATAGCTCCGAATTTTCCATTTTCAACATCAGGGGCTTAAATGATTTTTTTTTAAAAGAATAATACTCTTATTTTCTCATTTATGATTAAAAAAAAAAAGTTTAGACCATAGTTCCGAGGCTGTACGTTCCGAGTATCCCAACAAAACATCTCTCCTCTTGCGCTGGACATAACCTCTCCGGCATCAATTTCCGGTAAGGGTAAGGTGAGTCGATTTTATTTTTTGGAATATGGGTTTTTTTTCCCCCAAATTTTCGACCTACGGGATTCCATCCGTCGAGTGTAATCGTGAATTTAGAATTTTGATCTATTTTCTTGGTATGTGTTTGAGGGGTTGTCTTATTTACTATTTACAGTTGTAAGTTTATACTAGATGCTTGGCCCGGGCAGATGCCCAGGCGCCCTCTACTTTAATTTTGTATTAATTGATAAATAAATTCTTAATTTGGAAAAAATAAAATAGCTACACATTTGGTTTTTTTTCCCTTTTAGTCAAAAATTAAAATAAAAATAAAAAAATCATCTATCAAAAGAGAAAAAATATTGAAAAATATAACGATGCAGAAATCATACAAAAGAATGTGGAGTACTAAAGAGGATAAGTTTATAGGCAAATTTAAATACTATTTTAATTTGATTGATAAATGATAAATGTTAGGAGTTAAAATTGTGTAGCTATTTTTGTAAAGTAGCTTTTGTTTCTCCGGATAAAATTTTTTTTTCTTTGAAAAAGGGATGACACGTGGCAGAATGTTTAATACAATATGGTGCATTTAGAGCCAAAAATTTTTAATAAGAAGGTGTCATATCAACATCTTGTATTCTGCTTTAATAGGGTAAAAGAGATGGGATTTAATTGATATCATTGAGCCGAAAATAGTCGAAATCTCAATTATAAAGTCTTTCAATGAGCACTAATGGGAGAAAGATGCACGACGGTGGCAAGTTTTGATTTTTTTTTTAATTTTTAATTTTTTTTTGCGCTGAAAACCCTAAGCAAATGAACAAAGCGTGCTTTACAAGGTGAGAATTAGTTATAATGTTTTCTTTTATTCCTAATTTTATTATGATATTTGATTTTTATTATTTTACTTTGCAAAAAAGCTCTCTATTTTTTATTTATATAGTGGTCACGGTAATGTTTATGCTGTCAATTTCCGTTTGTTATGCGCCTCTAGCAGTTTAGCATAGCTCATGTTTTTCTAAACCTGTATACGGTTTTTATGTGAGTTTTGGTTATACTGGATTTTTTCTTATTTCGTGTTTTTCAAATAACTACTAGGTTCTGATCATCTAAATACTTTATGTCTCCACACAGCATGATGAAGCATCTGTTGGAAATTTTTAGTTTGTAAAATAAAATAATTAATTTAGAATTTAAGGATAATAATTAAGTTGGCAACCTTTCACTTGCATGTGGTTATTTCCTACAAGCCAAGGGTTGTGTACTTAGTTTTGTATTCTTTTAATTCTACAAGTGTTACCTATTAATAAGTAAACTGGTGCAGGATTTCTAAGCAACTTTTGCATTCCTATATTCTTGAGAACATTCAATAATTGCAAGTTGCATGTTCTTGTGTTCTTTATGTCCTAGAGGCAAATTGCCAAACAAACCCGGTATTGCAACATGGAGGGAGCAAATATTGTCTTAAGGACAGTGTCTAACATGATTAGAACACATCCAAATCTTGTGATTCCCCCATTATTGTTAGATTCAAGTTTCTAACGATAAAGTTCATAAATCTTTCATCTTTATTCTTTAGTGTCTTTTGTGTTGTCTCTTTGATTACCACCCTCATATACTTTGAGCATCCAGGGGTGATCACTTTTTGTAATATTGATGAGGAGAGTTCTATAGAGCAAGAGGGATGACTAATTTATCAGGTAAGATAGTGAGCCAAGAACCTTGCGCCCTTTTCTCAAACTAAATCCCTTTTACTTACTTAAAGCAGAATCATTCGAGGATACTTGTAATTTTACGTTAAATGTTTTCCCTCCAAAACCCCAAAGTACTGTAAAAAAAAATTGACACGTGGCCGTCTATATTTGCAAAAAAAAAAGACTATGTAAATGTATCCCATTTATGAAAAGAAATTACTTCGTAAAAACTAAAAAAGGTAGAAATCCACAATTAATATCCACTATTTACGTTCCTAAAAAAAAAACTTCGCACGAATATCTCAATCCCTTTGATACATTCAAAGTCATATTTTAAATCAAATTTGATTTTCAAAAAACCCAAGTGATCTTTCGAAAATCAAGCCGCCTCGAGGATGGGGATTGGGATGGACGATAACTTCTGTCCCTAATATCAATTTCAAAAGAGATCCACTTATGAAGCAGATCGAATCGACATCAACAAACTTGATATCAATATATAAGTATATGGGCTACTCCCCTCATTGTCAATTGGTTTTGAGATGGAACCCCATGAGCTTCTATATGGTATCAGAGCCAGCCCGCCAAAAGTCAGACTCCAAAGCCTGATGTGATATAACTAGTAGGGCTGAGACGTGAGGCGGTGATTGGGCTGACAAGCCCAACCCAAGAAGAGACGTTGAGCTTGCGGGGGAGTGTTGAGTATCCCACATCGGTGGTGGGAGAGACTTGATATCAATATATAAATATATGGGCTACTCTCCTCATTGCCAATTGGTTTTGAGGTAGAACCCTATGAGCTTCTATAAACAACAACCTTCATATAGATCCAGTAAGTAACATCAATGAATGTATTGTGGGAGAAGAGCAATCGAATAATATTTTTAAGGTCAGATTCTTCTACCTTTCTTCTCTATATTCACGAATCCTACATTGGCCTATTTACTCATCCTCATCATTTTCTAGGAAATTGCAGTATCGATGGTAGATTCGAAATCGGTTCACGGGTCGTGTCTATGAAGGTTCCAAAGTTGATGATGATGCCCGTAAATTGGAATGTTTGAAAGATGATTTGGATGAAGATTATACGAACCAATCAGATCAAAGACAAAATTCTCTAGGTTAGATGATTTTCACTGTTTTCAAAAGATTTCAAAGGTTATCAACAACTCATGTATACAAAATCTCCACACAACTAATGCTCTCCAGTTTAGGGCTGGCTGACTTCAGTTGCGGAGAAAAAACCACTATCGACAAAGACAAATCAAAAGATCTACCGTCGTTTAGGTAATCTCTCTTTCGTTTGCATCCAAATCTTTTGAGATTGAATTTAGTTGAAATTTTTTATTTGGATTTGAATATCTCGTCTAATACTCGAGATTTTTTATTGCAGAAAATAAGTACTAAAATAGTTGAAAAGCCAAAGTTTGCAATCTTCATTTAATCAGAGATTCACGCTAATTTCAAATTTTTCTTGAATTTCCCGCACCGATAGTTGAAACAAGCTACCAAGATTGAAGAAAATTTGTCAATAATCTGTATATATTCATCCCTTTTATTTTAAGGGTTTTGGTTTATTCTTAGTGATTGAAGGTCCAAAAGGGACGGTATATGCAAAAGGATTCTTTTTAAGTTAAAGATTCAAATACCCTCTTCTGACATTACTCAGGATGACGCCTAATTGTGAAGGTGGTGACAATTTGAGACAAAGAGGATTAAGTCGTTGGGAGTTGTGGATACACAGATTTTAGTTTCATGAGACAAATCTACAGCTAATTTTTTTGATGATCAGGAAGTTAGTAGCCTTTGCAATATTTTTGTTGTATAAAGTATATTTGTTTAAATGGCCTAATCAAAGTAATTAACAAATTTGTGATTGCCTATTTCTTTTACTTTTGTGTGGGTTTTAGCAGGTATGTAGATATATAGAGAAGGATTATGTATGAATAAGTTTTTGTTCATATACTATTTACAGGAAAAGGTGGAATTTGGAGCCACCCTGTTGTTCTTTATATCTTTGACTATAAAAACATGCCTGTGTTACATCGTTTTAGTTCCAAAAGACTCTTCTTTTAATTCTTAAATTGTAGTAATGAAAATACCTAAACGATGGTTTGTCGGGTTACCTTTTTATTCTCAAAATACACAAATATGGGGTTTTGACGTTTCATTTTATGTTGCCAATACCGAAATATAAATCACTTGCCAATTCGTAGAATGAAATATAAATCACTTATTTGGAGTGTTCTGTTCTTTTGTTAATTGTATATATACTATTGAACAACACCTTGGCTAATAGTGGCTTCAATTTAAATGTATGTATATGATACATGTAACTTGTGGAAGAGCAATACAAATCTGGATTGCCGAATCAATTTTGGTAATAGTCGATAAATATTTTATTAGCAAGTTGTCTCGCCCATTGAGATGCCTACAATTCAGCGAGAGGAATTAGTAACTGTTGCCGACGGTAGACACCCTGCAAATGTGAAAAAAAAAAAAAAGAAGTTGAAGTTATGCAGTTACAGACCAAACCATTGTTAGAAATGAAAACCAAAACTGGACAATAATTATGGGAAGGAGGGAGTATTATTCAGATATCCATTTATGATTTTTTTATTTATTTTTGACAAATTCTATAGACAAATATATAAACTAAAACATCTATGATTAAGATTAACTAAAACCTTTATGATTTTTTATACCCGTTTTGATGATTGGTTGAGTAAGAATATAAACGTTCATTCTTGGTATTAATCCACCCAAAAAAAACTTTTGACTATGCGTAATAAAGTTATAAATTTCTATAACTATTCATTTCTCTTATTAGTCGATGAGAAAACTTTTGTTTGTAATGACATACTCAATTGTTATGATTGCATATAGTATATAGATTTATAATTTGAAAACGAACTTACGAAATCTTCACTGGTGACATTTGAACTAAGAGATAATAACATTTAAGTTCCTTGATTTTTATTTTGTTTCAGTTAATAATGTTTTGTTTCACGTAATATTCTAATTTTCCTCTCTTAATAATTTCTACAATGGCGGTTTTAAATAATTTTTAATTGGAAAAATTTGTCAGAATCAAATCTCTATCCGCCGCACAAGGCGCAGGTAAATACTAGTATTTTTATGAAATGTATTATAAAACTTATGCCACAACTCTGCATATATTAGATGAGTGAACCTAAAAGAATGTGAAAAATTATGTATAAAAAAGCTTATTTATCCCGCCTCAAACTATCATTCTAATTTGAATTTATTGGTCAAAACAACAAGTAATAGGTATAAGATTTTAAAAGTTGTTTCATGTAATTGGGGATGTAAAGCCTGACACTTTTTTTGTTATTGTTAACCAAACCTTATTCAGTGTAAAGTAATACTCCCTTCGTCCCGTAATTATTGTCCAGTTTGAATTTTCATTTTTAGTTCAAATTGTACTAAAAGTAAAATCTCAATCTGGAAAATAATTTTGGGACAGGGAGTAACATACTTTTATTTATTTATTTATTTTTTTCAATCAATGATTGGTTTCAACCATTATTTTGTGTGAAGATTGCGAATTACAAAAATAAATCCTACAAATTTGGAGCGATCATTGTAAGAGTAATTATTTATAAATTTCTGCTGGAAGTTCGTTACTCGATAAAATCAATTAGCAAAGTTTAAATACTTTGAAATATTTTCTAGTTTAATTAATGCATGTTCAACATAATCTTTAATTATGAATGAATAATTTTATAAAAATTACTTTTGTGACAATAAAATTAAAATGCCTCATTTCCCAGGTAAATGACAGTAACAAAAGCCCGGTCCGCAGCTACCTAGACGTAAAAGGGCTGCCTACTTTCCCTGTGATTCTCTCTAGCTACTTTCCTCGTGTTCTGATCGATTTCGGGTCTTCTTCTTGAGTATCGATTTGTGTAGCAGCTTTTAGGGTTTTTGGATTGGCACTCTCAGGTTCGGTAATCTCTCCATATCGATAGGTAAAAAAAGGCTCGTAATTCATGGCCGTATTCGCCAGCCCTTGGTTTCAAAGTTTCGATTTTTTGGGTATTCGATCTTCCTCTTTTCTTTTAGTCCTTTGTTTTCTTCCTTTTCGTTCCGGTTAATAGTCGGTAAGTATGGGTATCCTCCGTGGATTTACGATCGCTGCTATGTCGATGGAAGCGGATTATCGCTCAATTCGGCGATGGCTTTTTTACGATTTAAGGTTTTCTGATTACGGTTGAAATTTTGTCTTATTGATATCTTTGCGTGAAAATTCGGAGTTCCCCGCTCGAGATTTGGGTTTCTGATGGATGGGTCTGAATGTTTTGATTCTAAAAGACTTTGTTCGGCCAGATACTATCTTGATTCGTCGGGTTATCTTTATCCGCCGGAATTTAGCGTTTCCTCTACGGTTTCTGATTAGGGATTTAGTTCTATCCTGCAAAGATGGATTCTTATCCACCTTACCTTTTTAATAACGGTGGCTTTGTTCATCAGTCGGCAAGTTTTGGTCTCTATTGTTATGGATAGATTATATTGGCAGTTTAGGGTCTAGTTTTCTATGTGTGCTTTTGCTGGTTTGCCTGCGGCAAGAAATTCTTTTTGGATATCTCAGGTCAAGTATCAGTAGTTTGGGGTTCCAATTGGCTTACCGCAATGGGTCCTGCAGTGGCAGCTTCTGTTTCAGTCCCAAGTTTTAGTTGATGTTTCCATACAGTGATCAATGTGAGTGATTTTGGTTCTCTTGATGATTTTGGATTTTAGAAACATGGAAACAAAGACGGCGAGGAGGTTTTTTGAGAAACCAAAAAGGTTGGTTTTCAATCGTCTAGGAGGAGAAGGCCACCGGGGTAACATGCCAATCTGCAGGTATTGGCTCGAAGGAAGGTGCAACAAGAACCCTTGTAAATATCTTCATCCTGAATCAGGACAGCCACAGCCACAGCCACAGCCACAGCCACAGCCACGAAGACAACTAAAACGGCCTTATTTTGTATCTTCTGATGAGAGCGTTGGTGATAAGTTCAAATCCACATTGAGGAATCCCAATCCTTCCTCTAAGATATCTGACGAGCTCATCGGCAATAAGTTCAAGACCACTTGGATAAATCCCAACCTTCCCTCTAAAATGGCAAGAGCTTCACCTACTGAAGGTGTAAATTCTGAAGGGAAAATTGTGCACGTGATGAAGAAACAGGAATTGATCAAAGGAGACTCGGTCGCTGTTGAAGTAATTCCCCAGATGGCTCAGAAGGAATTGATAAAAGGAGACTTGGCATCTGTTGAAGAAATTCCCCAGAAGGGTCAGAAGGAATCGATAAAAGGAGGCTCTGTCTGTGCTGAAGAAATTCCCCAGAAGGGTCAGAAGGAGTTGATAAACGAAGACTCTGTCTCTCTTGAAATAATTCCCAAGGTCCAGAAGGAATTGATAAAGGGTGACTCGGTCTCTATTGAAGTAACTCCCCAGGAGGCTCAGAAAAAGAAGCTTTGTCTGTACTGGGTTACTGGCAATTGTGTTTATGGTGAAAATTGCAGGGATGTGCATTCATGGTTCACTGGTTCCGGATTCTCTCTTGTGGCTAAGTTAGAGAGGCACAAAAAGGTGATTGTTCAAAGATTTTGCCTGTTATTTTCTTCTCTATTGTGTTTGTTTTTTAATTTTTTGAAGGATCGTGAAATGTGGCCGTTGGTGTAATTTGTGTTTACTGCTGGTTGGATAGGCTGTCACTGGAATCTCTCTGCCTTCTGGCTCAGACAAGCTCTTTTCCGGAAGCAAGGATGAATCTTTTTGTACTTGGGATTGTAATAGTGGTCAGGTAGGCATTATTTATTTGCACTAGAATTCTGTTCCTTTTACCCATTACATGTGTTTGACTCTATTGGTGTGTCTTGTGCAGTGTATTACCACTGTTAATACAGGCGGTGAAATTGGATGCGTGACCAGCGAAGGTCCATGGATATTTATAGGTGTGCAAAATGCTGTAAAGGCTTGCAACCTTGAAACCCAAACTGAGCTCCTCCTCCATGGAGCAAATGGCCTTGTTCGTTCTGTGGCTGGGGCTGTTGATATGGTTTTTGGTGGAGCAGAGGTACAGCCAACTCTTCTGAAATAGGAACCATTATTTGGTAGAGATTTCTTTTACCTTTTTGGTGCCGTTCCTTGTTTGTGAAGTTTCGTCTGGTAAATATTGCGGACAATTATGTTCTCTTCTTTTGTTCCATTATGTTTTCTTGTCTCCTAGTATAGACTGTTCAATACTAACTTTGTTGTTACTTCGATGGTGGCAGGATGGTTCTATATTGGTGTGGAAATCCACCCCCGAATCCAGTCAACCTGTAGTGGCGGCCACTTTGCAGGGCCACAAGCTAGCTGTAGTATCTCTTTTTGTGGGAGCTAATTTTCTGTATTCAGGCTCCAATGATGGAACAATAAGAGTATGTCCTTTTCATATTATATTGTTTCTAGCGTTCCTTCATCTAGATCCTGGATATCCTTCAGTTGAGTTCAGCAGAATCTTTTTTCACATTCGCAGTCATTCTGAGTTTGGATTAAATGTTTTTTGACTCTCAGGTGTGGGATGTGAAAACTTTGCATTGCCTGCATACACTAGAAGGTCACTCTGAACCTGTAACTTCTGTCATGTGCTGGGACAGTTATTTGCTATCTGGTTCGCTGGATAACACACTGAAGGTGTGGGCATTAGCTGAAAGCGGAAAATTGGAAGTAGTACATGAATTTGGGGAAGAAAGTGTGAGTTCCACTTTCCTTTTTGCATCTCAAAAAGAGCTACACTTGATTGATGAAATTGTACTGTTTCCGAATATATCTTGAATTTTGATCATCGCTTCTGCTTCAGGGTATACTTGCTCTACGTGGGATACATGATGCAGAGGCTAATCCAATTCTACTATGCTCACGAGCTGACAATACCGTCCGCCTATACAACCTGCCATCCTTTACTGAGAGGGGCAGGATTTTTGCCAAAGGAGTTGTTAGTCTTGAAACGATGGAGAAAGGCGGGTTTTTTTTCACAGGTGACTCTGCAGGACAAATTTGTGTTTGGAAACTGAATGCTGCACAATCAAGTGAAGGGGGTGAGAATTCATGAAGAATGATGCGGAAAACCTTCTCAGCTCCTTTCCCTAGTTAAAGTTGCTGATTGCAGAAGAAGAGATTCTCACTTGTTTTTTGGTCTGAGAATTGGGAGCCTAACCTGAGCATTGTAATAGATTGCCAGGGTTGTACATCAAAAGTACAATTTTATCAACATCACTGTATATAAATCTTTTCATTCTTGAGGAGCAATTATGTCTTCTGTAGCTGTATTATCTTCTATACTATATTTATGTATTTTAAACTCAAGTTGTCATGATTATGACAATTTGAAAATGAAATTCAAAGAAGAAATGGAGAAAGCGTCGGTTACACATTAGCAGTTATATTTTCTGGTTTTGATGTTAATGTGGGGTTTCGTGGCCCTCCCTATTAAACTGCCTAAACCTTAAACCCCCCACAATCCCACGTTTCTTTCTACGTTTTCAAACTGCCATCCTAAATTCCCATCCTCAGTATAAATTTTGTCTTCTAAATTCTTCAGCCTGCTGGAAAATCCACAGATGTCTTCACTTGAAGTAAAAATAATAATGGAGTCTGAAACAAGATCATCATCAAGATCCTCACTGTTTCATGCAGTCTTCACAATCTGTGCGATTCTTCTGTCTGTGATAATCATGCTTGGCTTCATCAGTTCATCCTCTTTGTCATCATCATTGAGCTTCAGATCCTATAATCTGCTTCCGGGACGAGTTTGTGATGAAATCTACGTTGTTAGAGAAGGCGAAACTCTTCACACCATCAGTGATAAATGCGGCGACCCCTTCATCGTCGAACACAATCCTCACATTCATGATCCTGATGATGTCTTTCCTGGCCTTGTTATCAAGATCACCCCAGCAACAACAAGTTCTCATTCTTATATGAATTGATTTTTCTTTATTGATTATTAAATTTTTATTTTTTTTTTTCTGTTAGTTTGATGTTTTCTTGTGTGTTTTTGGACCTGAAAAAAGATGCATCATCCCATTCATTAGCTTTGATCTCTTCTTCAGTTGGTTTCTTCCTGGTGTTGAGTTTTTGAAGTTTAATGCTTCCATTGAAGAGGTGTACTTTAATTTGTTCTTAATATGGTTTGTATTGTACTAACACTTACGAGTTACGAGTCCAACAAAAAACCATTTCAATCTCCTTCCCTCTTCTTTGCAACAGTTCTTATTACTAGTTTCAATATCATAGTAATTTGTAATGACATTTTAGTACTACCGATCATCCCAACTTCATACCCTCTTCGTCCCAAAGTTATTCTCCAGTTGTAGTTTTTATTTCTAGTACAAATTATACTAAAATTGAAAACTCAAATTGGACAATAATTACGAGACAGAAAGAGTATTTCATTTTGGTAGAGTTCAACAAAGTGGATTATCATAATTGAAAAACAGATTACTATTGTAATATTGCATATTTATGCTTCTACTTTTGGTCAGATGCAACTCATGAGAGATTCTCTGCAACCTTAATGAAATTTATTTTGCCTTATTATCAAATATCCACTGTAATACATTCATCATCTTTTGGCATAATTGCCCTAACGTTTCTTCTAAACCAAAGTTATTAACAAAATTATTATAGTGAAAGGGAATAGTCCACCTTTAAAAATATGAGAAGACTATCAACATATCTCTCTTGATAGCTTGAGTTTTCTTTTTCGGTTTTGGATAATTTTGTGGATAAAGTTTGTTATCTTCACATTTCCAAATTTTTTTATTTATTAATATTAATTAAAGCCACTTCTCGTCTTCAAAGCATCACTCTTCAAAGAGATTGGCCCAATCACGAATAAGATTAAAAAAATAAGTACTCCTTTCTGTCTTGGTTGGTTCTTTATATAATTATCACATTTACACATTTAAGGAATTTCTCCCCAAACCCGTCGAACTGCTGTTATATTGTTATGTACGATGCAGGAATGAATTCACCCAACGTGATTCACGAATCCTGCGTTTTGAACTTTGTTCTTGAAAATGAGAACTACACAATTTTAACGTGGGTGTAGACAGCATAAGTACAACATTGTATATATATAATCTATTCGTCTCAAAATAATTTTCCAACTAACGTGATAGTATTTGATTTAATTTGGGTTGTTTTCAAAATTTTGCAGTTTTGCATGGACAACATCTTTTAGGGTTTCATGGCCACACCTGCAAGTGTTGTTGTTGATGGGTATAGAGATCCAAGATTATATGTAGTTTGTGTAGATTGGAATCTAGTTGGAAAGAGATGAGACATAGGTGGAGAAGACAACTTTTCACTTCTCGCCAAAAAAAATTGGATAGGACCATATATTGTCGAGAAAAAACCATAAAGAGCAGGGGAATAAAAATCTTGGTAATAATCACCATGTATTGGGGGAAAACAAGGAATAAATTAGATTCACTTAAACCACGATTTAAATAAATATGACCCTTTTTTTTTTATGTGATGCTCTTATACTACACTAGTATGTGTCCCGCGATTTACGAGGGTTTATCAATGTTAAAAAGTGTATCTTTCAAAAGAATTAATTAGATAATATAATTATTAATATTTCTTAAAATTGTAATATTTTTCGATTAATCAATTTTAGATCAAAATGAGAGGTATTGACATTATTTATGAGATGTATATTTGTAAAATCTGGTCAAAAATATTACAACAAAGATTTTCAAAAGTTGAATAATAAAAAATGTCACCACTAACTAATGTTATGTTTGGATTAAAAAATACATTTAAAAAATTCGTAAATTATAGCTAGATGCCTATGACCTATTTATAGGCAAGGGGACTTTGAGGATTAGATGTAGTTCTAATAAATATGAGACACAATTAATAGTCCTTGAAAATGTAAAATCGATAAACTTGAAGACTAAGTAGCACAAGAATGGAACTTTAAGAGCCAAAATGACAATAGGTTTAAAGTTTAAACTCGTAAATGCAAGGACTTCTGAAGACGGGGTTTCTCAGCAATTCTCGAAAATATTCATTTTCAAGCTCTCAATCAGGAATTTGTAATATCTGTAAGAATCTTATATAATAATAATAGTTATCAACTATTTACATAAAATTTTAACTGATTAACGATCAACCAATTACCAAATAACACGTATTAATTGAAGCTTGATGGTCTCAATGAGCGACACATGTCGATTATCTTTCTTTCTTTTAATATATATATAATAATAATGATTTGACACGGATTCACTCAGTCATCTAAGATTAGGGTTCAATCGCTATTTTCGTACAAACATTAATTTACCTCATGATACATAATCATATATTCCCCCTGTCTCAATATTATTGTCCATTTTGAGATTTTACTATTAGTATCATAATTTTGGCACCGGACAATAATTTTGGGACGGAGAGAGTATTTTTTGGCATAGGACAGAATCATTTTTTCAACACAATTACAGATTCTTTTCCATCCAACATCATCAGGGATTTTTTCATGACCACGTATAAAGATCATCCTATCATCATATAAATAAATACGTCTAAAAAAAGATAAATTGAAGAGCAAAAAAATCACACACTAGTATATATCTTAGGCAATGAAGATATCTGTATCAAAGATATGAACATGCACATCCACAAGTGAAAAAAAAATAAAATAATTAACATGCAATATTTTTTTTAAGAACAAATTCATGCAATTTTCTAAAAATCTTGCACTATTATATACTGGAGAAATAAAATTCCACGATGTGGGAATTATCCCCATGCACTCTACTATATACATCATGTGGCCCTTATATGGCGCCCCAATTGTTCGTTGGGTTTCTTTCTTCCTAGACACAAGTAAAACCCCCCCAAAAAAAAGAACTTCCAATATTTCTGCATAATATTTCCAATCCGCTTTGATGGTGATATTTCCTTCTGAAAGCTTGAAGATTAAGCTGCAAAAGCCCTTCTGATTCCTCGAGGTACGTACGTGCACTGTTCAAAGATTGCTGCATCCATCCGTTTCATCTCTGCATGTCCATGCAATACGATATTCATCCTTCTCAACTTTCGAGAAAGGAAAGTCGGTATAAGTATAATTATGATTATGAGACGGATAGATTAAATTTTCTGACGATAATAATGGTAATACTTCTCCTAGTAGAGGAAGATTTAGATCAACGGAAAATTTTATAATATGATATTAACGGTTGAGTTAACAAAATCATATGTACACTAACCTTATTTATATTAGCGCTTTTGTGACTTTGCTTTTGCATAAGAATCACAAATTAATGATGAAGACTCTTTCCAAAAGCTGCTTTCCATATAGACCTTAATTGAAAAAGGCAAACTTTATAGTTTGGAAAGTTTTATGTGGCCACGCTTTTCCTTGCAAGACCTGAATTTTCATACTTTTATGTAATTATACATGTTGTACACGTGTTGAAATGTTCTTTGCCTTATTTCATTTCGAAGTAGGATTAACAGTACTAATTAGAATCCAAGGAATGAGCTGATTGGCAGAGATAATTTAATGTGCAAACTCTTATAATTGAAAAGTTGCACAATTAGTGTGGTGTGGGTCTAATCCTACTACACTCCATAAATCCTTAACCTAGGAATCATAACTTACTTTTTTAGGGGAAAAATAACCTTTGACAAATACTACTAGTTTATTATTCCCTTTGTTGTTTTTTTTAATCTGTTTTTTAAGGGTTTGGTTATTAAAAAAAAATTTCAATCAATACATTTCATTTTTATCATCATTTTACGCTAACTTAATAACTAACAGAATTAACGAAAAGCTTTATAATTGAGTAAAAATGATATGTCCATCCTTGTTTGTTCGAGCACTATATATGTTGAACGTGAATGAGTTTTAATATTTCTAGTTTCGTTTATTGAATACAATTCAGCGATACGTAATCAATCATCATCTTATTTATGTTACGAGTTTATAAATTTTGTTTTTAAAAAAATTGCGTATGATAAAATTAATAAGGGTAATATTAAAAAAAAATGTTGCGAAATGACGGTTAAAAAACACAACAAAAAGTTACACCAAAACCAACCAAAAATAATATGGAAACGAAAGAGAGTATTTTAGGCTTAGTAAATAATCCACCATACCATATCAAAAGTCACGTGACACAACGCCACCAAAGTGAAGAAGACAATATTTAAACGTGAGATTCATAAGCCTTTTTCCTTAATTTCTTCGGTCTTATTTTTGTCCTTTTTTTTTTCTTTCTTCGGTTAAAAACCCTCACATGAATGATGAACCCTTCACCATTCCCATATTTCACACACTCACTCACTCACTCACTCACTCACTCACTCAAACCCACTCTCAAAAAAACGTGTGTGTATATATAAGTTACCCAGTTAAGCAAAAGATTCATTCTTTTACAGAGTTTGAATTGAAATTCTGGTCACAAGCTCTCTGTATGTAATGTCATTTTTTTTTTTAATGTTCTAGTTACAGTTCAAATTCATAATCAATGGAATTTATAAAGGTTTTGCAAATTAAACTTCCGTCTTCACCATTTTTAAATCGTTGATGAAATGAGCTTTCTTTTGGTCTTTGATTTTGAGTAAGAAGTGGAATTAAGGGTTGAAAACAGAGGGATTGCATGCCAGTATATTGCATTTATATTAACCATTTGGGCATGCAAAATTTATCCTTTGAACAAAAAAAAAAAAAAAAGTGGTTTTTTAGTTCTCCCTATTTGTGGAAGATTTCTGTGTTGTGCTTGTCAGTCGTCAGCATTGATTTTCCCTTGCATGTAGTGCATGTGTTTGTGGATGTCATGGGAAATGTTAAATCTTGAAACAGAAAAACAAGTTAAAAAAAAAAGGAGATTTTAATTGTGGATTTTTTGATTTCACAGGAGTTCAATTTCATCTCATCTTCATGTAATTGATTGCAGTATTAATTGGTTGCTGCTTCTGGAAAGGAGATGGTTGAATTCGGGAAAAAGCTGAAGGAGACACAAATCCAGGAGTGGCAACGGTATGAGATCATAAATGCTGTCATTGATGACAATTGATCTTCTTATTCTTCATTTGCTAGTTGGATTTGGGATGGACTAATTATGCTGTCCAGTTCGAAATTTAGTTTGTTTCCTTTTGTTTTGCTGCTAAAATCCAGTGATTCTCATGAATGCTTTGTAATGATACTTGTTTGCTTCTGTTTATTGAGATTAATTAATGATAGAGGGATAAAGCATCACTTTAGCTACCTTAGAAATTACTGTAGGTCTTTACCTGCCTCCTATCTTCAATGGCCTTTATTGAAGCAATTGCATGTTTTCTGAGATTTGATGTCATTTTCATGCAGCCAGTGCCAAGACGTATTCATACTGCATAGATTACTTGGAAGATTTTGTGTGTTTTACTTGATACTACATTTTAATGGGCCATGTTTGGCAGATTTTAACGTTTGATTTGGTTATTAGGTATAGCTTGAGTGAAGGGTTTTGCTATGTTTATTTTGGTTACAGTTTTCAGGTCAAATATACATCTGAATTTTCCTGATGTATGTTTACCTTACTTATATCTGTTGCCGGCTTACATCATCTAGGTTTAACTGTGATCTTTTCTTTTTTTTTTCCTTCCAGATACTATATCAACTACAAGATGATGAAAAAGAAAGTCAACCGATACGCTCAACAACTTGAAGATTCAGATGATAATGGCAAGCAAATTTTGAAGGATTTTTCCAGGATTCTCGATCAGCAGGTTAAAAGAATGATCGGAAAGTATTTACTTTGATGTCCTGGAGTTAGTTCTCTGAGCGACAGTAATTACAAAGCAGCTACAAATCATGCCGGAGTTAAGCATCTCATTAAATACAGGAAAATGACACTAAAATTTTCTGCAATTTCAGATTGAAAAGTTTGTCTTGTTTTTACTGGAGCAAGAAGGTCAACTAGCTTCAAGATTATCTGCTCTAGGAATACAGAAGGATGATTTTCTACAGCGATCAGATTACTTAGAATTATCTGCACTCCTTGAAGCATACCGAGCCGTGGGGAGGGATCTTCTAAGGCTTCTGTTTTTTGTTGAAATGAATGCCATTGGTCTTAGAAAGATATTAAAAAAGTTTGATAAGCGATTTGGATATAGCTTCACTAACCACTATGTGAAGACTCGGGCAAGTCATCCTTATTCCCAACTGAGACAAGTCCTGAAGCATGTGGTAAAACTGCTATTGTTTTATACTCCTTGCATGGTTTATGAGGGTTTACCAATAATCTCAGTTCTTCATTTCCTGTTTTGTTATTTTTGAATTCAGATGCATAGTATCTTGTGAGGCATTATGTTGCAGATGTTGGTTTGCATTAAATTCACTTTAATAGTTTCAACATTTTGTTTAAATTAATGGGTGACCTAACATGCAGGGGATTTCAGCCGTTGTTGGGACCATATCTCGCAACCTTACAGATCTCCAAGGTCATCATGAGAGCTATACTTCAATCTATGACCAGCCAACTGTACTTCCTGTGGTATTTCCTTAATTGGCTCTAGTTACTATGTAAACAAAAAGCCATTAAAGTAGTTTTGTTTTTTCTCTTTCTGATGCTCTAGTTAGCCGCCTTTTTTCTGCAATCTTTGTGTCATCTTGAAGAGAGTTTTTAGTTGTTAATTTAAAGTACAATCTGTTCTTTTTTTTCCAGAGATGTTTAGCTGCTTTTCTTATCTGCTATTGCCTGCATACAGGACCCCATCATTGTATCCATTAAAGCAGCTGTTGACCGGCTGACAAATTCAACAGATTATCTTCATTATTTGGGAAAGCATGCACTTATCATGCCAGAAGAATTACCAAGTCCTTCAGAGGATCATGTGATTGATGACAGATATCATTTTATGTCACTTCTTTTGAACTTGGCTAACACATTTTTGTACATGGTAAATACATATATAGTCGTCCCAACAGCAGACAACTACTCTGTGAGCCTTGGAGCTGCCGCAACTGTTTGTGGTGCGGTAATTGGATCTATGGCTGTTGCACAAGTGTTCTCTTCAGTATATTTCAGTGCGTGGTCAAATAAGTCTTACATCAGACCTCTTGTATTCAGCACCATCGTCCTTCTGATTGGAAACACTTTATATGCCCTGGCTTATGATCTGAACTCTATATATCTACTTCTAATTGGGCGTTTATTCTGTGGGTAAGTAGCTATGCTTCTCTCATGAATGCATGATATACTTTTCGGAGAATCATTTGAGAGTCTAAGACAGTATCATTATTTGAAGAACGATCAGTTTTGTTATCATTGATCTTTCATGCTTCATTCTAGATATTAATGTACCGATCCTCTCTTTTTAGTTCAGGGTGTTCGCAGTTATCCATCTGCATTCTTCTCTTTCATTATTTGTACAGAAGAGGATTTTGATGTGTCCTAGAAAAGCAACACTCTACGCATGTTGAGTAGACATCAATTTAATGTTGTTGTGGGAAATGTCATTGATGATAAAAAATTTCCATTTTAGGTTAGGTTCTGCGAGGGCCATTAACAGGCGTTACATTAGTGATTGCGTCCCTCTTAAGTTGCGGATGAAGGCCTCCGCTGGATTTGTAAGTGCTAGTGCACTTGGAATGGCATGTGGTCCTGCTCTGGCTTGCTTGTTTCAAACCAACTTCAAAATCTTTAATATCACATTCAACGAGGACACTTTACCTGGATGGGTGATGGCACTTGCATGGCTTGTATATCTATTTTGGTTATGGATATGTTTCAGAGAGCCTCCAAAAGATGTAGGGGATTTTGAAGAACAGACAACACAGATTGGTAAGTTCAGTAATCAGGTGGATTTTGTTCATCAGCATCACAATCAAGAATATCTGATAATGAAATTTTGTATCTTATCAAATGTTTGTCGTTTGTCGATATTTTGTTTTGAAATTGATGGACTGACCATGCAATTTTTATTTCTGGAGCAACCAGTTTTTCTGATGTATTGAGCTGAGGTAGTAATTTTTGTAAGGAATAATTGCTTAGGAATCAAACACATTACTGTGCGTTCCTGTCGACAGAAAGTGTCGGACTAGAGATTGATTGCACTCAACCACTGATTTCAAGCTCGCAAGAAACGCAAGAAAATGAAGATGATGGCCAAGAATGTGATGTTTCAGAAACAGCTAGTGCCGGAAGTGACAAACCTGTCACTTCGATTGTTTCTGCATACAAATTGCTAACTCCATCTGTAAAGGTTTGTTTTTTCACCTTAAATGCATACGAAGCTTTCTTGTTCTCAACTTCATAGTTGTTTCCTTCTTTCTCAAGTAGGTCATGGATTTTCAATTTACTTGCTTAATATGGTCAAATGTTAGTCACTCCATCATTGAATTCATCATCATTTGCCATTGATTTGATATGGTTTTGCATGCTTTGATTGCAAAATTCACCACTTCAATTTACAACGTGCTTTAACATCTATATGGTATAAAAGTATCAAAGTGACGAAATTAACATGATGGATACATAGATGGACTTCAATCAATGATATCTCCTTAACCCCTAAGCTAAAATGTATGATTCTTAAACTAAAAAGAAGATATGAACATGAGGAATACTCTTATGAACCAAAGCCAATTCTGCCATCGAAATTCAAAGATAAATGTAGTACACCAGACTTCGTCGAGATACGAGTCAGGATCACTAAGTCGACGAAATAGGTCGACGAAGATGAGATGGCTGATGAGTTACTTTTTCTTAGATTTTTTTACCATGTTCATTGCACAATTGGGTTTGATCTTCTGAGTAAGAGGTGTTACTCGTCCTCATATGGTACCAAGCTTCATGTGTCAGCCATTTCTGAACTGTGTAATTGATGAGGGGAATTGATTAAGGTTCGAATCATGTTAAGTCATCATGTCTAAACCTGAATATACTGATGTTTTCATTTTCAACTGCACAGGTCCAGCTATTGATATACTTTATGCTTAAGTATGCTATGGAGATATTACTTGCTGAATCAAGTATCATCACATCTCACTACTTCATCTGGTCTTCTAGAAATGTGGCAGTGTTCTTGGCGTGTCTTGGTTTAACAGTTCTTCCTGTCAACATATTTGTTGGGAGCTACTTGAGCAATTTGTTTGAAGAAAGGTAATCAGGGAAAGCATAAAGATATTACTCTTCATTCTAGTTTCACTTTTCTTTTATTTGGTGATTATTGTTTGCCAAGTTCAGCAACCAACTATAGTTAGACAATGACGCGGGTATGGAAATAATACACTTCTTTTGCTCCTCGTTTTTCCTTTGTAAGTTCAGTTTTCTTATAGCTAATGATGATTGAGCCATCTGCAGACAAGTTTTACTAGCATCAGAAGTACTGGTATGTTTGGGCATACTATTCAGCTTCAACGTGATGAATCCATACTCGACGCCTCAATATATCTGCTCTGCTCTAGTCACATTTGTATCAGCTGAAGTTCTTGAAGGTACACTTCAGTCATTGGCTAGGATAAGTCTACTAAAGAGACATTCTGCATTAACTTCACTTGCTTTTATTGGTCTTCTATGATTGATTAGAATAAGAAAAGATCAACATAATATATAACTCAACCTACATTTTGTTTTAGCAGCAAAAGCCTTAACAAAGAAATTATTGCACCCTGAGAACTTCTGAACGAAGAGCTTTATTGACACATGCAGGTGTTAATCTTTCACTTCTATCTCGAGTAATGTCATCTCGTCTTTCAAAGGGGACATATAATGGTGGACTTCTATCAACAGAAGCTGGAACACTGGCCCGAGTGATAGCGGATGGAACCATAACCCTGGCTGGATACTGGGGAATCAGTAGGCTGTTAAATGTCACCCTACTTCCTTCCCTTGTGATCTGTGTTTGCTCAATCATAGCAACCTGCTTCACTTATAATTCGCTTTACTGAGTCCTTTTTAATACCTTTAGGGCATTATCTGTAACTGTACATCATGTTAGCCAATTAATGATGTATTGTACAGTATGTAGCTCCGTGAAATGCATGTCTAATGTGTAATGTGATACGAATTGGGTGAACAGTTATACTTTAATGAAGAGAACTTTTTCCTGGAAACAAGTTCATTTAAATCCGTTCTTGTCAGCTTCATTTTTCTTTAACTCCTATTTTCATTATACTCAGATTCTTTCTTCAACTCGCAACCGGTTCCTAACCATTTCAATGCGTTTCAGTTCAAAAACACATCGTTTTTCAGAACAAAATATAATGTATATTCATGGATACTCTTAATTCGGGAAAAAAGTAACGTAACTCTTAAACCAAAGAAGTGACGTATTTTATCATGAGTTCATAATGTATGTATACTCTTAATTCGGGAAAAAGGTAAAGTAACTTTTAAACCAAAAAGGTGACGTATTTTATCATGAGTTCATAATGTATGTATTTTCGCCGTCATGTTTGTAGAAAATTTGGGACGGATAGAATATTAATTTGGGAAAAAGAAGGAGTAAAGAAACTTCGTGGGTTTGTTCTTCATTATAACAAACGTTGTGAGGCGGTAATGTTATTTTATTCGAAGAAACCTTTACGATTTCGGACTAGAGTCGTTTCATGTGAAATTTCAACCTTAAAAAAAACCAAAAAGCGTATCAGCTCGTGCTCCTGAGTCCTGAATCCTACGACGGGAGCATCTGCCGACTCTCGTTTTTCTGCACTTTTTTCTCGCATGTTATTGTGCTCTGTACTATTTTATCTTCTGGGGTTTCCATAAATCTCAAGAAAAGAACAAAGATTGGAGTAGGGAAGAAGAAGTAAATTGGTCGAATTTGATTGAATTAATTGGAGATGGATTCAAATCAAGACTTGCCCGAGGGAACCGTCCAGAACATCTTGGACCAAGATACTCTCAAGTGGGTTTTTGTCGGAGGCAAAGGTGGAGTCGGGAAGACCACTTGTAGCTCTATCTTATCAATTCTTCTCTCCAGGGTTCGATCCTCTGTTCTCATAATTTCTACTGACCCTGCCCACAATCTCAGCGATGCCTTTCAACAGAAGTTCACCAAGAATCCTACACTTGTCAATGGCTTCACCAATCTATACGCTATGGTAATTATATAATTCTGATCGTTTGTGATAATTCTTCCTTTTTGGGACTTGATTTTTTTTTGGTGGGTTCAGGAATTGGCTTTTTGTTATTATGTTTCGTTTTGGTGATTCATTATTTGGGAACTTCAGATTTTTGGTACTTAGGTTTAGCTTCACCGTTTCGTTTATGCGTGGGATGATTGTGGTTGGTTATTAGATTGAATGTGGTTCTGTACTTTGATTTGATTCGAATCATAGATTTAATACTTGTGTTTATTAATTAAATATCGTGTCTTTTACAGTTTTGTAGTCCTCTCTTAATTCATATATTCATATAAACAATTGTATGGACTATTATTGATTCTTGTTTAGTTTGAGGTACCACTGCTATGATTTCTTTTGCTGTAATCTTTGGATCATAAAATAGCTGCCAGATGACACCAGTTTGTTTAGACATGATGTTTTTGTCAAGTTCGTTAGTTTGAATGCCAACAGATGTATGTGTGGAGGTCTGTAATAGAACTCTGGAGACTTTTGCTCCTACTTTGTCATCCAATGGTATCTGTTGTTGCATTATCGTAACTTGTGTGCTAGTTTTTTGTCAAGTGTGTGAAACTGTTGACATTGTTCTGTGTAGGAAGTGGATCCAACTGTGGAGAATGAAGACGCAGTTGGTTCAGATGGAATGGACGGTTTTATATCTGATTTAGCAAATTCAATTCCCGGCATTGATGAGGCTATGAGCTTTGCAGAGATGCTTAAGTATGTCCTGTCTTCCAATGTTGAGTTAAAATATGAGCAACTCTAGTTTGTTACATCTAAATTATGCTAAGTGGCTGCTTTAAAAAATAGTCTGGATGATATCATTAATCATTCATCTGAAAAGTATACCCATACAATTTTTGAGTTCATATACTTTGGTAATTAATTTAATGCGAGTCTGTTGATTATTGTTCTCTGTTATATCAGCCTTATATTTTCTTATTCTTTCTTGTGTCCAATTTTGACAATTTGTTGCACGATTTCTTTTTCAGATTAGTGCAAACAATGGATTATTCTGTTATAGTATTTGATACAGCTCCAACCGGTCATACTCTTCGTCTATTGCAATTCCCGTCAACTTTAGAGAAGGGATTAGCCAAGATGATGTCATTGAAAAGTAAATTTGGTGGCATGATATCTCAGGTAGGTGTCCAAATTTCTCAGTGTTAAAACTTATCAAATGCTAGTAATTAGTAAAGATGATACTTTGTTCCGAGCATGAGTTGTATAGTTCCTCTTTAGTCTGGGTTATTTTTGTGAAGAATATTCTGGAGGGATGGGAACACATGTTTGTGATATCAATCAGTTGTGCCTACCCAAAGTTAGTGATTGGATTTTGAAATAAAAGTTATCTTTTGGCATTTAATGTGGTACAAGACCAAACTTTTTTTTTTTTTTTTTGTGAATTAGATATAATACCTCTACAAGAATTCATGCTGTGTGCTTTTTCTGTATTTCGTGTATGTTTGACTTAATTTGTTGATACCGATCCGAATAGTATCTGCAACCAAATATTGCAGATGTCACGTATGTTTGGCCTTGGTGATGAATTCGCAGAGGATGCTATCCTGGGAAGGTTGGAAGGAATGAAAGATGTGATCGAGCAAGTCAACAAACAGTTTAAGGATCCAGTGAGACTCAACTCTTGTAATTGCACTCTTTTTGGACTTCCTTTTTCCTGGTGGCAGTAATTTACAGCAATTTGTGTTTTCTATTAAGGTCTGCTTTCCAGTAGAGTAAATTTTATATGGTGCTTGGCAGAATAGTACGGTAAAAGAGGGCTTGGGGTAGAGGAGGGGTGGGTGTTGTGGGGATAGTTGATTGCAATCTACTGCTGCATGTGCTTGCAGCCAGTTGTGGAAAAGTTTGGCCTCACGCAGTTGCTGTTGGTCCCACAATTTTCACTAATTCTTCTTATTTTGTTACAGGACTTGACTACATTTGTCTGTGTTTGCATCCCTGAATTTCTCTCTCTATATGAAACTGAACGGCTAGTTCAGGAGCTCACCAAATTCGAGATAGATACACATAATATCATCATCAACCAAGTACTGTTTGATGAAGAAGGTACTTTTGTTTATTTTAACTTAGTTGTTTTCAGTTAATGACCTTAATTTAAAATCTAAGAAGATCAAATGTTTTGTTGTTTTAGCCGTTGAATCCAAGTTACTAAAAGCCAGAATGAAGATGCAGCAAAAATATTTGGATCAATTCTACATGTTATATGACGATTTTCACATCACAAAGTTGCCTTTGCTACCACAAGAGGTATGAATGGCTTTTTCTCCTTCCTTTACCTGATTGATTTCAAGAGCTTATGTGTGACTCCTATGTCTGCATTGCTGCTTGTTCATGATACTAAACTCAATCAGTCAATACTTTCAACTGGGAATTGTATAATAGAAGTGTTTGGTTAGGTTGAGCAAGCTTCGCTGTTTTGTAGGTTTGCGGTGTTGACGCCTTGAAATCCTTTTCACGCAACTTTTTGACCCCATATCGGCCATCCTTTGTTCGAGGTACGGTAGAGGAGTTGCAACTGAGGATAACAACACTGAAAGATCAGTTGAAAGAAGCTGAAGCAGCATTAGAAAAAATCAAGAAGGGGAAACAGAAAGCATGATTTGTGCAAGATGGGAATCCAGAAAAAGGTCTATGAGCTGAGATATGTCTTATCTCGTCTTTACACCTCAGTATAGAATTTTGCCCGGAGATGGATGCTGGAGTTGGTGGATTGTCATTTTTTTTTTCCTTCTTTTTCTTTTCAGATTATTATTGAAGTGAAGAGTTTTTTTTTTTTTTTCCCTCTGTAACATTCAGGAAAGCAATAAATTTAGCTTCATAGCATTGATTTTTTTTGTACTCTCTCTGTCCCAGAATTATTGTCGAGTTTGAGGTTTCACTTTTAGTATAATTTGAACTAGAAATGAAAACCCAAAATGGACAATAATTATGGGACGGAGGGAGTAACATTTATGGGCAGACAGAAGTTTAGATTGTAAATGGATATTGATCAACCTGCAGACATACTCTATCCTATTACCCCAAACTTTTAGTGGTTATACATGAACCGATACAGATTTACAGTAGCCCGTCTGTTCTTTCTTTGAAGTTCTTAAATTGCCAAAAATTTGCCCTGCAAGAAATATGATCGTATCTTCTGAGCAAAGATTAGTTAGAGCCTTTTAGTCCGGGTGGTTATTGATGTTAGGATTGTCAGAGACATTGATAACACAAACAAAGGAAAATGAAAATTCAATAGATTGTTGACACTATTACTCCTCCAGGTTAAGGACAGTGGAACTGGAAAAGGTTGGGAGATTATTATTACCACGAGTCAAAAGACTTGGGATTGATTATTTTAAGAAAAGAAACTTGAGACGACCGGAAGATCATATGGATGCTGGTAGTATAATTTGTAGCTTTGTTGTCATCTTGAAATGTTAGTAGAATTATATGTTTTAAAGGACTATTCTTATACAAAGTTGAGATGGCCGAGTTGGTCTAAGGCGCCAGATTAAGGTTCTGGTCCGAAAGGGCGTGGGTTCAAATCCCACTCTCAACATATGATTTTCTCTTCTTCTTCTTTTTTTTTTTTTTGTGTAATTAATTACTACAACCAAATTTCTCCATTTGAGATAAATCCATGTCAGCTAGCAAACTATATGTGAAATGTGATTGTTCCCTACTGTTGAAAGGGCACTTCCAAGTTCCGACTTTCAATTTTATTTTCGGAGGAGTAGGACTTAGAGTAGCCATTAATCATTCAGGGATCAAGATTTGTCCCAACATCACTTCCCTTTATTCTCATTTCTCAAATGATTGCCAGTGTGCCCGTAAGGAATGTTTGGAGCTGCAGCAGATTGTTGCTTAGCGATTTAGAACGCAAGTTCTTCCGAGTAGGAAAAGGAGCACCAGGAAGAGATTCCTGCTGCAAAGCAGAATTGATGGCGGAGACGCTTCTTGCTCTTAAGGAGGTACTTATGTAAGGGAAATGTGGTTTGCCGCTGCATTATGAGTTAGATGAATTGTTTATACCTTTTGGGAGGAGGGACATGATTCAAAATTTGCTTGCTTTCTTTCACGGATGAAAGAAATTTCTGCAGTCCAACAACAAAATTCATGCAGCCTGATAATAATCATCTTCTCTTCTCGCAGTTGATAAACCACATTGTTCACAAATGAAAACCACTAACACAATGCTTCCACACATGCAACAGCAGTATTATAATACACTTTTAGATGTTCCCGCTCTACTAACATGCTCCCCATGGTTTCATGAACCACAATCTCAGATCTCCTAACTAATCTGTTTGAATTAGTCGTCCTTTATGCTTATCTGCTCGCAAGGGTGATTTCAACCAAGTCTTACTTTCACAAATCACAAGGACACAACCTGCTTGGCGGTATGGCATCACTATCCACCATGCAAAGTTGAAATGAAAACCACCACATCTTTATCCTCCAGAGTTGTATCCAGTTGACCACTTAGCTCCCAATCACAATCATTAACAAGGACAAGAACCCCAGGTCTCCTACAAAAATTAAAGAAAGCTTATTCAACAACCCCAGTGCATCGGTGATCAAATAACAAGGCGAGGAATGGTCAAGGACACATCAATTACACATTCTTGATCAGAGTTTACAAAAATGCCACAAAAATAATAGTATCTTGGAAAGTAATGGTGACAGCGATACAGTTGTAATCTAGATGGAATGACTAGGGTAGAAAGCTACTTTTTTTTTTTTTTTTGTGCTGTCAAGTCAGGCAACCATCCAACAGAAAATAATGATAGTAAAAACTATACTTACACAGAATCTCCCTTCATGAACATTTCAGGCCTCTCCTTGATCAAATTGGTGCGCACCCAAGAGAGCAAGTGTTTCATTGTTAACTGGAGTACAAATAAAAGTATCAAACAGTTATTGCAGAACTATACAATTTATCAGGGAAAGAAAAAGCTCTTTTTTGGAAAGCATGGCATCAGAAAGAAACTTACTTGCTTCTCTCCATTTTCTGGTTCGAGATCCACATTGTGGATTTTCACAGAATCACAAAGAAGTTCCAGCCCACCTCTGAGAAATAAACAAAAAAACATAAGCATTTTGAAGCTCCTTATCAAAGTGACAATACTTATCACCCCAACTAATCTAAATGAAGTCATCTCTTTCGTCTATACTTTGGTGCGTCGCACAGTGATTAGAAATTCCTTGCAAAGCGGAACCGGAAAGCAGTGAAACATCATATGTTCACATAGAGATAGAGGTGCATACATCTGAAGCTTGGTTAGAGAAAATGCCTTAGACTTAGTACACCATTATAAGAGAGCACTGAATCAACCTTGACACACTCCCAACCTCAGGAAACGGCTAAAGCCCGAAATCAGTGTTTGGCGCATTAAAGAACGTAGTGCACAAATAATTACATGGTAGCCAGAAACTGGTACATGGTACTAACTAATAACCTAAAAGAAGCTCAATCAATCAATCAAGCCAAATTGAAGCATTATGACTGCTCCAAACTTCAATCGACCATCTAACCCAAAATTCTACACCAAAAGAACTCAAACACTCATTCGCGAGTAAGTGTCAATTGGAAAAGAACTATTAAGAAATAAAGAACACGGGAGCACATATATTCAGCTCAATGGAACATTAGAACAAAACCCAACATTTTAAATAAGAAAACAACAAACATAACTTGCAGGAAATTAAGGGAGTGTCAATATCATTACCCAAATTCGAGGGTCAGCTTCATCTCTAACCAGGTGTAAGAATAACCTGCAAAACAAAATAATACTGACACCTGAAGGGAATACATAAAAAGAGGAAAAATTCTCAACAGCATCCATCACAATTAATACCTCAATCACAATTATTCAATTACCTCTTATCAGATCCGAGGAAAGCAAGGTAGCAAGGTAGAAAGATCTTTGATATGTCGGAAGGAGAAGAAGAACAACTCACCGGTTTTGAACTGGTCCTGCTTAACGGGTTCGGGGGCGCCTTTTGAACTTGCGTTTCAGTTAAGCAAATAGGGTTTTAGGATCTAATTGCACATTTGCCCTTATGTTATTGAGATTCGTCTATTCACACCTCTTCATTTACATCATGATCTATTACTATTTATTTATTTTTTCTTTCTATTCTTTTACCCTTAATAATGTAGAAATCAAAATGCAATGGAGTATATACCAATACTAACAAAAAGGGAAAAAAATTTGTTCCCTCAAGTAGATTAAAACGTGTTTAAGTTTATAAGTCAACCATGAATCCAAATTTTGATTTGTTTTTTTTATTATTATTTTTACATCGAGAGTGATCTAAGTCTAATTATAAGAAAATATTCCGTAAATAGAATAAATCGATTATATTGTGTTCCAACCATAATCTAACTTCAATAGGACTCCGTGAACAACATTCGCCACAAAATTAACCTCTTATTAATGGACATAAGTTAATCTAACATTCCATATTCTCCTCAAAAGAACGCCACCATGAATCACAAACTTCTCCTCCCCTCCCTGCACCATTGGAAAAAACACATGGCTATCGATCTGAGCTATATTTTGATTATCAAGGCAACAATTTTTTTTTTTTATCTTTTGATTATTGTTAAGGTTGAAACTTCTTTTTTTTCTCCTTGAAAAGAAGACTAAATTATATTAATAACGAAGAAAAATTTCACGTGGTTGATAATAGACTAACCTATGTTCTTCATCTACACGACTCCTACTAATTAGAGCTGTGATAAAAATGGTTTATAAGTAGGAACAACTTGGAGTATCATTTTTTATTTATTCCAATTCTAGTTATGTACAAAGGAAAACTTTTGGCAATCTATTTTTATTTTTGAAAAAAGAATATATCTTACTATATTAGAAACAAAAACCACACTTAAGAGAAAGCACAACTATTTGCCATGTGGCATTTTCACATCATATTTTTAAAATAAATCTTTATTTTCACATCTCCTAGACTTAAAAGGCAAATGCAGTCCAAATCTACCTCCACCTCCACCTCCACCTCCTATTTTTGCCAAAACAAAAAAAAGACGGGTTCATAAAAAACTCAAATCCTCATCCCCATCTCCATGACAATCGACGCTCTAATCAATCCCTTCTCCACAATAAAAAATAAATAAATAATAAATTCCTCATCAATCATCAATTCAGAATATGTGGTGAAATATACTCATTTTCCATTAGTATGTTCAATCTTTTCATTAGTGATGATCAACTACATCCTGATCAGATAAAATTTCGACTTCAAAAAATATTCTCTTTACCTTTCTATATAAACAGAAAGGAAAAAAAAAAATTCTCATTGATCTTGCTTCGGCCGTTGTGGTGGTGCAATTACAGGTATTAAAATTTAAATGATTTTATTTCCACAGATCATTTGTTTGGCTTTTATTATTTTTGTTTTTCATGTTCAAGAATAGTGTTATTACTATTATTTTTATGCGTCCATCCGTTACATTTACCGTAGCCGTTGTCGGGTAATATGATGTAATTTCTTATATAGTTAGTTAGTCTAGAAGTTTTGTATGATTTTAGTTCTGTTTGGATTGAATTGATTAATTGAATTTTTGTTACAAAGTGTGGTTTTTTAAATTTCTTTTTAATGTTTCATTTAATTAGAGTGGTTTTCTTTTTTTAATTATGGAGTCTCAATTTTTTTTTCGTATATGGTCAGTTACGAAGTGTATTTTTTCTTTGTTTAATTGTTTTTTATTTTGTTTCATATTCTCAGTTGACCAATTATTATTATTATTATTTTATTTTATTTGCAAATAAAGCGCTCTTTTTGTGTTCGGGCTTTCAAGAATATACTTTTTGAATTTTGGTTTTTGAACTTTTTTTAGTTTCTCATCGTCTAAATAGTTCGGTCGCTTTTAAGCGATTTAGAGAAGCCTTTTATGAATTTGAGGCGGAGAGGGAAAGAATGATGTTTCTATGTTTATTTGTATTTTTATACAACATTTTTACCTACAGGAAAAAAATAAATTGCTCAATTTTAAATGGGCTATCTTTTACTTTCTTTTTTTCTTATTTGTCATGGTGAGGTGAGTTCTTTTTTTGTATAACTTGAAACCTATGCAAATTTACATTATTTTCATTCTCATATTTGTGATCAACCAATTTCATCAATTAACCAGTTTCAAAATCATATTTTTGATATTTTACTACTTATAAACTTTTGGAAGAAATAGTTTCAACAATTAAGCGTATACCCTTGGGAGGAAGCTTACTACAAAGCTATTATAAATCTCCAAAACTAAGTATTGATTTGGCACAACTAGAAAACATCAATAAATTATCTTAATATTTAAACTTATTAGGATGCTTTTATATTTTGTCTAGCATTTAATTCGAGACATATATTTGATCAAGTTTATTTATATTTAAAAAGTAACACTTATAAAACATTTCTAAAACGTACCGGGTCAAATACAATTTCTTTTTATGTCAAGTACAAACATTTCTATAATCACACTTATAAAACATTTCTAAATTTTTCAAACATTTCTAAAATATATCGGGCCAAATATAAATTTTTTTTTTCAGATACAAACATTTCTAAGATGTACGGATATATTGGGCCAGGGTCGCGTATTGCGCGACCAGACATCAGTAGTATATATATATATATAGATATATCCTACTATATTAGAAATATTAAAAACCCCCATTTCAAACACCTCCTATGATTGTCACGTGACATGAACAAAGTACTAAATTGTCCTTTTGTCTAACCATAACTAAATTACTAAATCCCCATTTGCACTTTACGTGACACGTTTTTTTTTTTTTTCTTTATGTTTCATTCAATTAGAGTGGTGTTCTTTTATTAATTATGGAGTCTAAATTGAATTGATCAATTAGGTTTTAGTTACAAAATATCAATTTTGTTTTAAGCGTAACTCTTCGGATGAAATTTATTACAAAGCTATTAAAAATCTCCAAAATTAAGTATTGATTTGGCACGACCAATGGAGAACATCAATAAATCATCTTACTAATATTTAAACTTATTAGGATGCTTTTATATTTTGTCTAATATTTACTTTAACACATATATTCGATTAAGTCTATTTATATTTAATAAGTAACACTTATAAAACATTTCTAAAACATATATGGCGAAATTCAATTTCTTTTTTTGTTAAATACAAATATTTCTATGATCACACTTATAAAACATTTCTAAATCTTTCAACCATTTCTAAAATATATCGCTCCAAATACAAATTTTTTTTTTCAAATATAAACATTTCTAACATCTACAAATAGATTGGGCCAGGGTCGCGCATTGTGCGACCAGACATCACTAGTATATATATATAAATATAAATATATATGTTTGAGTCTCTAATATTTTGATCTTAGCAAACAATTTCCTATGAATAAATTTAGATTTTTTTTCTCAAAAAAAGGGGGGAAAATAGATAAGAGAAAAATAGAAAAAATAGAAATCAATAAATATTAATTTGTTCTGGACCCTGCAAATGGCTCTGTGGGGCTCTTTTTTCCGCAAAATATCAGATCGCCCTGAGTCGCTTTTATTTTTATCATCTTCCTTTATGGAATCCATTTCGCTATTTCAGCTGTCAGAATGAATACACAGATGACATCAGCCTATTAGAATCATCTTGTAATACTCCGCACCTCGATACTCCTCGGTATTATCCCACCAAAAACCTTAAACATCCCAAATTATTAAGCGCATTTCAATCGTGAAAACCCCCGAGAAGCCAAAAATTCTCCTAATCCGTTGACTTATTTATCACATGGGTTCCCTCATAAATTTCCATAGCTTGAGCGTTAATTGAACTTTAGGTGTTTCAAAGAAGAAGGGTTTTGGCGTGGAAGTGTATAGGACTTAGAAAGTTGTGGGCTTTTTTAGGTTTTAATCCCATGGAAGCTTACAAGAGATGGGTCCGGAGAAATAGAGATTACGTGCATTCCATGGAGTCCCTGGCCAATGTAAGCTCCCTTTTTCCCGGAATATATTTTGTACATTAATTTTTTTTCCCCTTTGATATTTAAGGACCTTTTGTATTCTCGAGGTTAGTTTTAGCTATGGAGCTGTTGAGATTAGGAAGTGTTCTTTCCGGTTTTAATCTTGTGGTTTATTTAGCTATAAAGTGATTGGTTGAGCTCCTTATCTGTGAACGGGACTGCTTTGAAGCATAAGCTCTCCTTTTGAATGTTAAGTAAAGGTCATATACTGTCGCGTGGCATTGAACAATGTATGGGGAGTTGTCGTGCTAGTTTTGACCGATTTTAATTCCAATTGTGGTTAATTTTGGCATTGTAATGGTTAGCAGGTGCTTGAATGGTTTCTTTTGTTACCAAATTTAGTTTAGGAGAACATTGATTAGTTAACATGTGTCTTCTTCCTCTTCCATTTTTTATACTCAAGGTTTTAATAATGGACCAACTGGGGAGAAGTTGGGACAATAATTGGTGCAAAAGAATCAAATGGGATTAGCATTTCGCTATTGAAATTTTAAGAACTTATCATCTGTTTGATAAATACGTTCACTTTTGAGGGAAGTTTCAAATATTGGGTAAAGATGAAATTTTTGGGGCTGTAAACCGAGTGATAATGTGAATGTTTGGTATGGGCCTGATTTGTGTTCCTTTGCTATTACTGAACTATGGTGTTCTTGCATTGTTGTTCCTTTTCTGCTCGTTCTAGTTGGGATGCCGTTAGAAAGTTTCTTTTTTTTCCCCTTCTGCTTCGTTGAACATGGAAATTTTGTTAAATTGATCTTTTCAACCACTGATGCAATGGTATGTTGTTTAAATTGTTTATCAGGGATTGACATGGCTTCTTCCAGAGCGTTTTTCAGAATCAGAAATTGGGCCTGAAGCAGGTTTTGTGATACTTTGGTAACATTGGCCTCTTATTACTCAAAAAAATGCTATAGTTATTTGTGGCTCTTCAAAATGATTTTCATGGAGCTAATTTGAAAAGTTTCAGTTGCTTCTTTTCATAGTGTACTTTCTTTTGTATTGTCATTTGAAAAGCTTTTATTTCAGGGGATCTTAATAACATCTGGTACAAGTTACTCTGTCTCCTATTTTGTCCTCTCACGATTCATTCAACATCCCGACCAAACATATTTCTATTTTGTTTGTGTTTGCATGCATAGATGTGTAAACTTAGGAGGCAATCTTATGCATGTGAACAAATTTTGAATCTTGGCTTAATACGTTCTAACCTCTCTGCAGTAACATCATTCTTCGGGGTTATCACTGCTATAAATGAGCACATCATTGAGACAACTCCTACCCAAAGAGTCCCTGCCCAGGCAGAGCCTTCTTCTTTTCCTTACTCATTGTGCATAACTTTGATTAAGGACTTAGAGACATTAGTAGAAGTTGCAGCACAACAGTTTTATGGTGATGACAGAAAATGGAATTTTATCGCTGTCACAGAAGCCATCAAGTAAGAAGAGTGCATTAACTGACAGCAATTTGTTAATCATCTGTGATTGGTGCATTTTGTATCTTCATTGATTTGGCTTAATATTTGTATATTTTAGGGTGTTAGTAAGGCTAGCCATGTTTCGAAACAGTGGATATAAAATGCTTTTACATGGTGGTGAGTCTGTCAACTCTGACAAGGGATCAAATGTTTCTATTGAGAAACCTGGACCTTTTGGCAAAGCTGGAAATCTCAATGGTCCTGTTAATTCAAGATATTATAATAATCATATTCCGTGGAATCTTGAGGGAAGGGCACTGTCTGCCTTAAATAGGTTTGGTGAAAATGCCAGGATGGTCTCTGATCCATCTTGGTTGAATAGAGTTCGACACCATCACGCAATGGTGGAGCCTGCAAGTACTAATCTATTCCTTGATCTCTCTTGAAAAATTTATATCCGTTATGTGTCAAAATTTTCAATAACATGATCCTGTCTGTCCAGCAGTGATGGACGAGATCGAGAAACCTAGCCTTTCCAATTTCTTATCTGAGAAAGGTATTCCTGGAGGTCTGTTTGTGATGGGTGAAGTAATGTTTATCATAAGGCCTCTTGTTTACGTCCTCTTAATAAGAAAGTATGGAACTCGTTCTTGGTTTCCTTGGTTCACCTCAATGATCGTGGATCTTGTTGGAAATTCTCTTCTTTCATATGTTACAATGATGCGGAATAGTGCCAAAGCTCCCCTGTTCCATCTTTCCAAGGATGAAAAGGATGAGGTCAGTTAATTATTATTTGTAGTCACTTTTGCTACCGACTTTGCCAAAATCATTTACTGGATATTGTTGCCGCCCCCTGATTCTTGCACTGTTCATTCCCTAATAGAAAATACAGTAGCAGGGTAGAAGGTTCCCTGGCTATGTTTATATGCGAAAAATGTGTAGCTTATTGATCTCATAGAAATTTTAGATGCTTAACCCATCTGTAATTTGAATTTCCTACATATGTGTGGGGTTCGGGGCAGTGCAGCTGTTGATCTCCGATTTTGATTGCGTCTATCATTTTGATTACTTCTATCTTGCTGATATAGTGTACTACAACTTCTTGTTCCTCAGCTTAAAAGGCGGAAGCTATTATGGGCACTTTACATTATGAGAGATCCGTTCTTTGCCAAGTACACGCGGTAATTTTCATACATTAATTTTTGTCTATGTTTTGTTTTACATTACCCTGAAGTTTAAACGTGAAAGGGAGAGGAGGTTCATCAAGAAAACTAAGAAACTAATTCTTTGTAACTGGACTTCAGGAGTAGACTTGACCGGACGCAAAAGCTACTAGAGCCTGTTCCTTTTGTTGGATTTTTGGCAGGTTAGTGTTCCTCATTTTGTTGATTATTGGCAATCTACCACTTTCTGTGCTTGCTCTCTTCCCATATTTTCAACTTTTTTTTTCCCCGTTTAATGCAGAAAAAATTATAGAACTCCTCGTTGGAGCGCAAACCCGCTACACTTACATGTCAGGTTCATGAGCTGGGAAGCTGTAAGCTTGTTCAGGAAATTCTTTTCTTGAGGAACTCGAGAGTTGGCTGGCAGCTAGGTTTGTCTTGTATCCATGAGGAATCTCCAATTTAAATTATTGTCTCCTCCCTTGGTTAAGCAAATATGCTTATTCTTCGTGCATCCACTGCCACAAAATTGATTCTTTTAACACTTCAAAAAGTACACAAGGGTTGTTCAAAATAAGGAAAGGGGACAGAAAACATTTCTCTTCGTCTCTTCCTTTCGGTCCTTTCGGAGCTGCATAATTAGTTCTTTCCTTCTGTAGTCTCTTCGGTAGGCTTAATGGTAACTTTTGAAATGTGAAGCTCGGGGACATTGTCCATCTCTTCAAATGCAAATCAGAATGGGACAGGGACAGTAGAACAATATAAAGATGGCTGTAGTATGCTGTAGTATTTGACACATCCTATAACTGGATCTTACGTGTTGTAGATTGTTGTTAAATTGCCTGAGTATGAGTCTCTCGAGGACTTGTTTTCACTTGTGACGATTTTTTTTTTAATGAATCCAATGCTTCTTCCGCTCCTATTTAGCAAGTGCTACTTGTTTTTGTTTTCTTTTTAATAATTAAAAAAAGAATTACTAGCTTCATTTTTTAAAAATTTTTATTTTTATTTTTCTAAATTGGAGGATGAGGTGGGGTTAATCTCTAGGACATAAAAGCCTAGGCAAGCTTTAGCCCACCTGGAAGGGAAATGAAAGAGGGGACCGCTTAGCGCAAGTGGGCTTATGCTGTTCATCAGCAAATGCGTCGGTTTAGCAGCTAGTGGGCCCGATCCAATGAAGAAGGCTTCATTTTGGGCAATAAGAATGTTGGTGCCACTATGAACTAGTAGTATATTAATCCACTACTTTGAAGAGAGATTGTGGCCCACTAGAAAACCATGACCCAATACAATGGAAGAGTATACCATTTGTACACACATTGGTATAAAGCATAAACCTCAGAATCTCACTAGAAGAGAGCAGTTGAAAATCACACTGAGGAAATCTTACAGTTTCATAATGAAGTGTTACTAATACCTCCTTGACCAAATTGCTTGTGGAATGAACAATTAAAATTTTTTTAAATTGAGTAAAAACGTAACAATCGCTTCCAATTTCTAAGAGGAAACCAGAGTGGTAATAGCCCAAACCGTGATTTAATATATTTGAATACTTTTACCGTGGGTTGTAATTGTTGCGTTTCAAAATGATTGTACTTAGAGAAGAGGATCTAAAAGCTTTTTACAGGCTTACCCTATATGTTTGATCTTTTATCATTGAAAGTGGTAGAAGTAGTAAAAAACAAAATTTTATAACAAAATTTTATATATTCCTTCTGATAGTTGAAATTGCCATTCCGGCTCATGGTTTGAACTGAATAAATTTCATTAGGATGGAGATTTTTCCATACTAGTACTTCGTCTGTTCCATAATTACTGTCCAATTTGAATTTTCATTTTTGGACGAGGAACTTTAATCAACGTTGGATACCTACATGAACGTGAGTTCTCCCTACTATAGATATGTTAACTGTTAAGTCCCTTTAATAATATCAAATGTTGCACACTTTGAATTTTATGTGCGCCCACCATCACAACTGGGCGTCGACCCTCGATCGTCAGGAAGCGTCATCCCCTTCCCCGCCGTAGTGGTGGTGCCGTGGTGGGTTAATTTTGGTTATGGCCTCCATGGACCCCGCCACCCATGGGTCCACCGCTCCACTCTACTCTCTCTAACTCTACTTAGAGGAGGTTGTGCCAACCATTTCTATGGCCCCCCCTTCCTGAGGGGCACCACCACCTTCGGCCTTGGGTGCATACATGGGCTTAATGCGTAATTGGTCTCTCTACTCACTTTTGTTACTTCTTGGGAATGCACTAAAATTGGGGGGTCCTTCTTCTTACTTCTTAGGACCAAAGGAAATGCTTAAAAAAAAAATGTCGTGCCGGAGAGGCGATTAAAGTCTTAAATACAACTATTATGTACACTGTATTAATTAACACACAGAGTGAGGGCCGGGGGGTATGGAACTTACAGGTTACCATTGTCCACAAGTGTGAGTTAAGAATTTAAAAGTAATATGGTAGAGTTTTTGGTCATGGTGGTCCAAATGCTTGCGTATGTACTTTTTTTTTTCCAGGTTGTAAGTGTTCATTTAGGCTCAAATTTTTTTTTTCAGAAATTTTGATGGGTCGTGGAAACAAATATAAATTTACATTTGTTTAGTGTAATTGTAAGTTATAGTAGCACACAAATATGTGTCGTCCCGTTTATCCTTCTTTGTGCATAGGTTTGAAAGGCCAAATGATCTTCTTGGTCACTTTTACCCTATTGTCTCATCATTTTGTTAACTATTGATCATTAGAATGTGCGATCTAAATTTAAAAGAAAATGTTTGTTTAACAAATGTAATAAATAAATATCATTAAAAATTTGATTTAAAAAAAAAACTAATGTATGGAACCTAATGAAAACATGTCCTAAACCGAAAAAAGAGAAAGTCAAAGAGAAATAAGAAAACGGTTTAGGCCTAAACAAGTTATTGGTATGACTTTAACCAGTAAACACATTTTCATATCTCTTCATTTTCTATTTTTTTGCTACAAGAATCATAAGAGGGATCTAAACTGTTCACAGACCATATTTTCACTAATCACGACTAATTAACATTTCCATTTACATTGATCCATTATGAAGGGGCAAACATCTCAATTCTCATACTTGCATTGATGGTGAATGTAAGTATTTAAGTAAAATTAAAAAACTCACTAAAAAAAAATTAAAATTGAAAAACTCTTCAAAAAATTTGGCAGAAATTATAATATATAAGGCGTGGCCTAATCTTTTTGTCATTAACCATAACTGTGCCCCCACACCACTGGGTTTGGGACCTCAAACTTTTTTGGTCCCTTTTGGGGGTCCCCATCTTTCCATATAGTCTTTAAAAGCATCTTTAATTATAAAAATTAAAAATGGCTTAATCAGGAAAATAGGCACTATTGTTTTTTCAGATTTTTATTGTCCAACAACACAGCATTACCATAAAAAGCCAAATTTGGACTTCCAGTTTTTCCTTTAAGTCTTTCCTCCAGTAAAAATAAAATAAAATAAAAATAACATAAATTATAATAATTCATCAGTTACTTTAGAGGAACTGATCTTCACTCTCTTCTTTCTTCCTCTGGTTAGTCTTTTGGCTTACATTTTTTGGGAGGTTTTTTCTTTTCATAAAAAAGACCATGGCTTCACTGCAAAAACTTGAGCAAAAGAGAGAAGATTATACAAATACAGCAAAATCCACAACTGAAATCACCCAGAGAATGATAGTCAACCTTGGAGGAGGAGGAGGTCAAGTGGTGGAGTCAAGAATTTGGGATGATCGGTCTTCACAACCGACTGCGGCGGCGCAGCCATTTTTCACGGCGCCACCGATGGGAATTCCGTTGATATCCCTGAAAGAAGAGACGGAAGTGGAAGACAAACCGCGTATTGGGATGGTGGAATCATCGTCGCTGCCTATGCCAATTCCATTGCAGATGAGACAAGCCGGGGTGGCTCCACCTCCACCACTACCGCCACCGCCACCGCCGCCGCCGCCGAAGAGATCTTCCACCAAAGACAGGCACACCAAAGTAGAGGGTCGAGGGAGAAGAATCAGAATGCCGGCCACTTGCGCCGCCAGGGTGTTCCAGCTGACGAAAGAACTCGGCCATAAGTCCGATGGGGAAACCATAAGGTGGCTCCTGGAACACGCGGAGCCAGCCATCATTGCCGCCACCGGCACCGGGACTATCCCGGCGATCGCCACGTCTGTCAACGGCACGTTGACCATCCCCACAACTTCCCCTGCCACCGCCACCGACACCGACGCAAATCGGAAACGAAAACGTCCGGTAAACAACGATGAATTTGTGGATATGATCAAGAGGGCTACTGACAACATTAATGTCTCCACCGCTGATCATAATAAATACGCAAGTACGTGTAGCAGCAGCATCAGTTCGGTTTCTAGCAGCAGCAATATTTCAACTACTTTAGCTCCATTGATGGCGATTCAGACCCAAAATCAAACATTCATTCAAGTACCTGTTTTGGCTACTATTCCGGTCACAAACGTTACCCCTGCATTCTGGGTCATCAACCCTTCTCAATTAGTAGCTTCAAACATCACTCCGGTGGGCGTGGCACCAAATCAGCCTCATCAAATTCTGGCAATCCAGCCGAATGTGACTCCGGTGTTGAACATTTCAGCCAGGCCAATTTCAACTTTTGTTACAACTGCTCCGGCGAATCTTCCCGGAACATTGGCACTGGGTCCCGTGGAAATTCAGCAACTGCCCAGAACGAGCAATTCTGCCCGGGCAGCAAGCTCTAATGTTGTGATGGAAGGAGGAGCAAGGATCACAGAAAGCAGCCGGAATTCAAGCTGTGTACTAGCAAGTTCAACAAGCTCAGGGAAGTCTTCATCAAGTGGCAAAACACATGTTTTAAGGGATTTTTCCTTAGAAATCTATGATAAAAAATACTAATCTTTCAGATTGATTAACAACAAATTGTTCAGAAATTTTTTTTGTTTTTCCTCATGGGTTTTTCAGTTAAAAATTAGGACATTTGGTGGGTAGCTTTGGAGCAGCTTTGATCACTGCCTAATTCATTAGTTTCATTAACAGCAAGAGATTGAAGAATCTCAAAAATTTCAGCTAATAATAATACAGAATTACAGATTGCAGAGATCACGGTGATCCTGATCTATGTCTATATGGCCTATAATGGGTTGGAAGTGGGCGCAGAAATGGATGTACAAAGAGGCCCATAAAGGTGTTTTGGGGTTGGGGTAAGCTCGTGGGGAGAGTGTTGTGGGCAGTGTACACGTCTGAAGAAGTAGATCAGGTTAGGCAGGGGCAAAAATGAGGGGCCCAAAATGATGTTTGGTACGTGGAGCCCAGACCAAGAAGGGTGGTGGGGCAGTATATGGGGGACTCAGTATGATTGGCCTGAAATTTGTAGTCTGATGAAGAGAAAGAAATAAGCAGCAGCAGCCAGCAGGGCATGGTGGAAGATGGGACCCGTTTGTGGAAGAAAAAAATATTTAGTGGACCTGAAATTTGGATATCAGTGAGCCCAAGGCGGCTTCTTTGTGGTTCCATTCCCTGGGAGCCTGTGATTGGGGCCCAGTTGTTGTACTCAAATGGTCAGAAGAACCAGAAGTAGTATGAAAATATACAATTCAGCTAGGGGGATTATCACTGTTGCCGACGGTAATACCCTGCAAATATGAAAAAAAAAAAAAAAAGTAGTATGAAAATGTATGAAGTTTATGTAGCTGCAATTTTATGTGTGAAGTTTAGTTTATTTTAATCTCCTCTAATTCTATCATCTACGGCTGTTCTTTTTCTTATTAAAAGTCTCCCTTGGGTTTGGAATTTTCACCTTATCAGCATGGCAAGATGTGACGATAATTTTTCTTATAATTCAAGTGTGAGTTCAATGCAAAATGAATATTGAGCCAATGATAATATTAAATACGAATTGTTGGGAAAAAACAGTAATGTGGTGTCATACCATTGCCAATGTTGTGGTATCTTATATGGCTAAATAAATTCAGTATAATAATAACAACTGTGGAAGTAATATTGCCATGTTCCTCAACTTGGCTAATTGGATATAACTGGGAGAAAACTGAGGTGAAGCATGATTTGTCAATGTAAACTCGATGCAAAATTAGTTTAAACCAGTCTTCTTTGAATCCAACTGCTCAAGGTCAAAGAAAAGAAAATTATTTCACATTTAGAACCAATTCCAACAATTCAACGTTTCACAGAAATGGAAATTCCATGAAGAAACATGAACGTTACCTACAGACACAATTGTGCACAATTTCTACTACTAAGCGTAGACCTCGTACTGAACTACCTCTTCAAGAAGTTCATCGCTTTCTCCATAGCATCCATATATGTAACCATACATAAAGGATCACAGGTTTCTGTTCTTTGAACTTCAGCTATCTTGCTCCTCTCCAGCCAAGGCAACATTCCCAAAAATTTCCAAGCACTTAAGAAAACCAAAGAGGGTTCAGGGTGGTCAATCGAACCCCCGGCCGACCAGATTTTCCCATATCCGTTAGCTGAAATTTTTTTTCAGTTTGACTCTCCGATAACATTTGAATAATTCAATTTTCGACTTTACGATTTGAAAATTCTCTCATTCCGTAACTACGTACGAATGATCTTGTAACCAAATTCAGACGAAATTGAAACACAAATTAACACTAAGGAAACAACCTTCACACCATTTTGTTCCAGAAATACGTTCTGATTGATTAATGCTCCATGGAATAGCCGAAAATGAGAAATCGAAGAAAATTAAAAAAAAATAAAGAAACTGAACTGGAATAATATCTGATGACTACATTGTGAATGGCTTGAATTCAAAAGTATAAAGAGATGTCATATTTATAGACATGTTTACATTATTTGATAAATCTACTCTTAATAGTTATTAAATTAAATTACTCTTAATAATTACTAAATCAAATCTATCATTCTAGATAATACATCAATAAAAATCATCACTAAAGTAAATCCTCTATCAATATTTTTAACAAAAATGAGTTTCTTAGAAGCTTTAGAGACAAGAAAAGAAGATCACCGGTGTGAGACAAAATCGGGTAGTTGACAAAGCTTTAAAACATACGTGACTAGCTAGACTCTTAGAAGCAAGGTGTGCTCGGCCTGCAGGGATTTGGCAGCTTCTATAAGATGCTCCAGGCCCTTGTATAAATAATCAGACCAGTTTGATGTCACTATGTTGGGACAAAGAATCCCACATCGTGTCGTAAATAATCTGTTACTTGTTTATAAGTTTCAAATGTCACCCTACTCATTGCTAATTGATTTTGAGATGGGAGTCCAAGGTAACTTTGATATGATATCAGAGCCAATGATCTATGGACCTGTGATAATTATGGACCCGCGTGTGTACAGGCTTGTGGACTAACCCAACAGTATATTAGTGAATTATGTTGTGTTGTGCAACCCCCAATGAATTTCACATCGGTGTCGTGAAGGATCTGTCACCTATTTATAAGTGCTAAAAGTCACTTCACTCATTACCAATTGATTTTGAGATGGGAACCCAATATAACTTTGACATAGTACCCAATTAATTTTGAGATGGGAGCACAATGTGACTTTGATACAGTAACCAATGGTAAATCAAATTTTGATCGGAAATACCTCCTGTCCAAATAAAAGAACATAAACCCTAAACCCTATCTGAATATAACTAAACTAGTCTTCTACGTTAACCAAAGGCCCCCAAGTGGAAAATCCCAGTTACAACATAAAAAATAAATAGAGTGAAATTTAAAACAAGTCATTAATCTTTAATATATTTCCACTCTAGGTCATCAATTAAATTTATTTGTAACACAGGTTACCTTACTAAAGTTTTAATCCATTTCAGATTATTCTGTTAATTTTGGCCATTAAATAATGACAAAAATCTATTTTTCACATGTTTTTAGGTTTAGGGATATTTTTGTCATTTTTTTATTTTTTAATCTTTTAATTTTTTTTTTTTTACAATTCTTTTTCTTATACTTCCTAACTTGTATATACTGGTTGTGTAATTGTAAATTTTAAAAATTTATTTTCCTTTTGTATTTTAACTTCTACATTATAAAGTTTTTTTTAAAAAATTTAAGACATGAAGAAAAAAAATTCGAGTTAAAGTAAACATGAAAATTAATAATTTACTATTTTATACAAAAAAAAATTAAAATAATTAGCTAAGACAAGTTGTTTCTTTTAAGTTATTTAATTTTTTTAAAATTTGATTGAATTATTTAATTATTAATTTTACGTTTCTTATTTTTTTTTTTTAATAATCTACAAGATACAAATGAAAAATTAATTTTAAAAAATGAACGGAAAGCATGTAGAAGAATAATATAGTGCTCCCAAGTGATATTTCAATCCATAATGATAATACAAAAGAGGCTAATAATGGTAAAAACTTTCAGGAGATCTAAGGATCAGTACAAATACTCACGCAAGCAGAATGTAACAACCCACATCTTTTTTTTTAGAGACTAAAAGACTGAAATGACGAACTCCCTTCTTCTTCTTCTTCTTCCTGAGCTACACACGGGCCAACTCAGTGGTCATCGGCGGTGGAGCTCCTCCCTTCTACTCCTCCTCCTTCCTCTTCTTCTGGAGGCACAGTCGGATCAGGTACACCTTCACTGCGACGGTGCACAGAAACCCGACGAAGGCATAACCCAAAATTGCGGGACTCATGTCCTCTAAGCCTGACCACCACCCCATCGAGAATGGCGAGCGCAGATGCTAGAATATTCAAAGATTTACAAGAGTACTACTACCTCCTGTCTTAAAAAAATAGTCCATCCACATTGAGTTTTTATTTTTATACTGTTTTTAGTCCAAATTTTAAAATTTTACGATCATGCATAACAAAAAAGACGTAATTACAAACACGAGTAAGGATAAAAGTGTTCACATCTATATTGTACATAAAAACGAGGTCAAATTACACATCCCAACGAAGCTAGCTATTCATAACTATCGTTAATTAAAGTACAATTTGTACATTTTCTCAAAAAAAAAAAAAAGAGTACAATTTGTAAATTATCACATCGAAGAAAGGGATCGGATGAAAGAGATGAGAGACAGAATCGAACCATATATATATATATATATATATTATATCTAATATAAGATCCGAACTAATTTGCTAAAGGTCTCTCACTGATATGATAACCTTAAGTGATTACAAATACAACTTGTACCTTGTCACCGTACCAGACCAGACATGCATCTCTAGTTGAAAGGTACTTTATAACAACTTTATACTATAGGCCGTAATTGTAGTTGATTAACCATCGTTAAGGTTAATTGTTCAACACAAAGCCTTTGCAATCAATCGAGCCAGCCACATTATTGTGATGATAATGAATGAAAGGCTTTATTTGTTAGATTTTTTTATGGTATTTTCAAAATATTTAAATAATAATTGTTTCATCTCAGCATACCGTTTTACATTTTCAATATACTTTTTTATATTCTCAATACAAAAAACACTTAAAAACGCACATTAGAAAAACGAAACAAACATACCCTTAATATGTTCAAAAAACAAAACACAAAAGAGTCTAATTGTTGTTTTTAATTGAACCATTCAGTCATAAACCTCCAATAAGAATTTGACTAGAAGGCGCGAGAAGTAGGTTTACAACTGGGTATTGGAAATCCGCGCTTTTCGCGAAGTTACTGCAATTGAAAACAAAATAGTACCAGACCACCTTCCAGACAAAAAAAAAAAAAAGGCTCGGGCTGGACTTTCTCCAACAAAGAAGATCAATCAAAGCGTGTCTGCCAAATCTCCTGGTATAATAAATACCCTGCTGCTTCTTGTTGTCTTGCAATGGTTGTTTTATTTGACCCCTTAACCCCAATTACGCTTTGAAGGCGGAAAAGCACCGCCAATTTGCTGTTATCTTGCCGGTAGATTTTCCGCCCACTAAGTGTTTGTCTTTATTCCCAAACGAAAAGATTGATTCAAAATTTTGTATTCTTGGGGATCCCCTTATGTTTTCTTACCGTGACGTACTCGTAGTTTATTTGTGTAATAATGCAACTCTTTGTGGCAAGCATTGATGTTTGATGCACTGAGTACATGTATGGTTTACAAAGTAGTAACCATAATGCCCAGAGATTCTCTTTGATCGAAATGGGGACATTAGATTCGATGGAGCTCAGATTTTTGATTTTCTTTTAGTCTGTGATATCTGATGATGCTGAAATCTTTATTTATTTTTATGCTGTTACTGAGCTTCTCCACTTGAGGATGGAGGGAAAGAAATTTGCTAATAGCTTTAGGGTCCCCTTCTTGAGGCTTTTGGTTAATGTAGAAGACTAGTTTACTTGTATTTTTTAGAGGGCTGAGGTTTATGTCCATTGACTGTTTCTTTTATTTCGACAGGAAGTATTCTCTGATCAAATTTGATTTATCACTGGACTAGTGTGAAGGAGATGGTGGACAATAGTATGCCTGGAAAGCTCGTAGTTCCAGAAACTATTCTGCAACCATTGGTAAAGGCATCAAACTCATCTGACTTAGACAAGGGCCTGGAGCATCTTATAGAAGTTGCCAAGTCTCCTGAAGGCCGAGCAGACCTTGCTTCTAAGGATCTGGTCACGTATGTTCTAAAGCTTTGTCAACTACCCGATTTTGTCTCCAGCGGTGATCTTCTTTTCTTGTCTCTGAAGCTTCTTAGAAACCTATGTGCCGGAGAATTAATTAATCAGAACGCGTTTCTGGAGCAAAATGGTGTGAAGGTTGTTTCCTCAGTGCTAAGTTGTGTTTCATTTTCGTCTGAATTTGGTTACAAGATCATTCGTACGTGCTTGCAAGTTTTGGGAAATTTTTCCTTGGCTGGAGAGGAGCATCAACTTGCTGTTTGGCGCGAGTTTTTTCCCCTCAGCTTTACCAAGATAGCTGAAGTTCAAAGAACAGACACCTGTGATCCTTTATGTATGGTTACATATGCATGCTCTGGCGAAAGCAATGAACTTCTTGAAGAGTTGTGTTCAGTGCGAGGTCTACGCTTAGTAGTAGAAATTGTGCGCACTGTGTCTGCAGGTAATTTTCATGCTTCTTTATGGAATTTCCATTTCTGTGAAACGTTGAATTGTTGGAATTGGCTCTAATGTGAAATAACTTTCTTTTTGTTGTCCTTGAGCAGTTGGATTCAAAGAAGACTGGTTTAAACTAATTTTGTCTAGAGTTTGCATTGACAAGTCATGCTTCACCTCAGTTTTCTCCCAGTTATATCCAATTAGCCAAGTTGAGGAACATGGCAATATTACTTCCAAAGCTGTTGGGTTTTCGGCTGAGCAATCATTCCTGATGGAAGTTCTATCCATCATCTTGAACGAACGGATACGAGATAAAGTCAATTCCACAGAATTAGCATTATGTGTTTTTGAAATTTTAAGAGCCAGTGTTTCCTTGCTTGGCTCTGTTCCCAGGGGAAGTACGGGTCTCCCCACAGGGAATACTGATATTGATATTCTTGGATATTCTCTGCTGATTTTGAGAGATGTCTGTTCTAATGATAATTTGACTAGTTTGAAGGAACGAGGATCTGGTGATGTTGTGGATTTATTGGTATATGCTGGATTAATTGAGTTCCTACTCAATTTGCTTCGGAAGCTAGAACCTCCCTCAACCATTAAGAAGGCAATGAAAGTACAAGAAACTTCAAATAAGGCAGGTTCTCAACCTTGCCCTTACAAAGGTTTCCGGAAAGACATTGTTTCCATCCTTGCCAATTGTGCATATCAGCGCAAGAGTGTTCAAGATGAAATCAGGGAGAAGAATGGGATTCTTCTGTTGTTACAGCAATGTATTCATGATGACGACAACCCGTTCTTGAGGGAATGGGGACTCTGGAGTTTGAGGAACTTACTGGAAGGAAATTTAGAAAACCAGCAGGTGGTTGCTGGTCTGGAGCTTCAAGGATCTGTTGATGTCCCTGAAATTGCTGATCTTGGCCTTCGGGTAGAGCTGGATCCTCAAACCCGGCGTCCGAAACTTAGAAATGTTTAGCAAAAGGATCATAGAGGTAGTTTTTCTTTTCCATTGAAAAGCTGTTTCAAATTATGCCATTATTAGGGGATAGCAATGATGCCCTCCATTTTATTTTGCCATTATTAGGGGATAGCAATGATGTCCTTCATTTGACCTAGGCAATTATCGCCCATCGGTTTTGTAATCATTCTCTTGGCTATTTGGTTACCCTGATTGTGTCGATCTAGATTTGTATGCCGTGAGAAAGAGAAAGACAAGATTAACAAAAGTACGGTAAGTAAGCAGGTTTCCATTTGAGGAATCAAAGTATCTGGAGATTTTATTCCAAATTACTGAAAGTACATTGGTGGTGGAAATAAATGTTAAAAACTTGTCAGACAAGAAAAAAGATGTCGTTTCCAAACCACACTATTCTAGATGTCCCTCTGGTTTATTCGTAAGGAAAATGCATCCTTTTCTTTCCCATTTAGCTTTGGTGGTCCTTCAAGGCGCCAGCCCGCCAAGAGTGGCTGCAGACAGAAACGAAAGACAGGAAAGCGGTCGTTATTAAACAATGTGGGAAATCGATTATACAGAGCATATGTCGTTGTTCATTCAAGAAGAACAGAGGATCGGACTGAAAAGGATTTACCTTTGATCTCGGAGCCGGAACAATCGGCATCACACTTCATCTCGCAGAAAGTGTAGCCATTGCCCTTTCCGTTCTGGAAGCACTCCTGGTGGCAGGTGTTGTAGCAACTCTTGAACTCAGCCTCTGTCTTGGTGGCTTCAGCCTTGTGGATGCTCACTGCTGCGAGAACAACCATGCACATGAGAAACACTGCGAAAAGCTTGTTGGCCATTTTCTTGCCTTTGATGCTTTTTTGTTAGTTTCTCTTTGCGCCTTTTTTTTTTTTTTTTTTTTTGGGTTGTTTTTTTCAGTGTTTCCTGGGACGAATTTTAATGGAGGTAAAAGGATGGTATTTATAGGGGCTTATGCTTACTTTCTTTGGTTGACTAACCTTAAACTACGGAAACTTCCTGGTACTAATTTCCGTTTTGAGGTTAAAAATAAGTGGTTTTGCTAAAAGTAGGGGTTAATGCTTTGAAGAATTCAAACAAAATTTTCTTTTATTCCATCAATTAAAGGAGATGATGATTTTCTTTTTATGGACTTTACTTTTTCCCGAAATTGTGATGAGACTGAGGACCAATACGATTTTAATTTTTTTACCGCACAGAAATGTTCTAACTGTAGGTAAATACCACACTTTGTCCATTAGAAGAATCCTTTGGGGGTAGTGATGTCATAGGTAGCATATGAATCCTGAAGTTTGCATTACATGGTCAACAATCTCAAGTCTCCGCTGCTAATTACTCCAACACATAATAATTTCCGAATTGAGGAAATTCACACTGTAAATTTACTTTTGAATACATACTCCTTCTGCCCCGAAAATATTATCCAGTTTAGATTTTTATTTTTACTACAAAATGAACTATAAATAAAAATCCGAACTGGATAATAATTTTGAGACAAAAGGAGTAAATCATATCATCCTCAAGCTGAGGACAAATGTAAATGACATGGTGATCTTTCTTGCATTGGTTTGGAGGAGACGATTTTGGCGTATATATTGAAAAAAAACTGAATTTTTTTATTTTTTTTTTCCAAAGTAAGGAAGATAGTTTCAAGACATGGACAACTACATTCTCCATCACAAGAAACGTTTTACTTGCTATATTGTTTTAATTTAACAAGCTTTATCTCTATATTTCTTTGGGTCGTTAGGGAGGAAGAATTAGTTTATAGGATATAAGTTTGCCCACCGCAAGTAAATGTCATATTAATCATTATAAAAAATATTAGTACAGTGCTTGTTTGTCTGGTATCGTATATGTACACACAAGAATGATAACTACAGCCCAAGTGCTGTATACATCTTCTTATTGCCTTTTCAAGCAGAAAACAATACATTCAGTATCAGCTCTCAAATCAAACCGAAACTATGGTCTTTTGATCCCTCACCTTGTCCCCCCAACTCTATAGGCCAACATTCCAAAAGAATCTAGTTCAAACCTACTCTAACCATCAAAACCCTAATGCTACTCAAGAGAGTAACTCTGCAGTACACGGGACGAATTGAACATGTTTTATGTACAAAAACAGTGCAAAATTTAGATGGTGAGGTTTTCTTGAATGGCAAGAAAAGATCCCACAATGTTGCCTCCGACGTCCGGGAAACTCTCTTGTCCGTGAAGTGGCCTCACTTTGCCCGTCCGATCAACTTCCACAGGGTACTTCAGGAGATGTCCCCTCATTTCTGTTGCCTCTGGAGCAGCAAATTGCTTCCAGTTCATTTCGCTCATTGTTTTCACCCGCCGGACGCATTCTAAGGACTCTGGCTGAGTAAAACAGTCTTCAATAACTCCTAGATGCTCTGCCCACAGTGACATTCTATATCCATATATCTACACAATCCATTTCCAAAACAATGAGAGGTTAAAAGCTATTACTTCCACTCGAATTCACAAGATCTAGGCTTAAGTTTACCACTAGATTGAATATTCAAAATTTAGCAGCTTGTATCTAAATGGTGTAGCTTAAGAGCATTCAACAAATACAAAATCTCACAAGCATACTTTGATCAGAATATATACACATACGAACAAAAACACAAATCTGATATGCCACTGCTACTAAGCTAACCTGTCCGTGGGGGCTGGACTGATTCCTTGCCCATGTATGATGAGGCTGATACGCCCCCATTGCAATCTCTGTGTCTCTCATACCTTCCATGGATCGTTGATTGATATTTGCAGATCCTATAATGACGTATTCATCATCCACTATCATACCTTTGGAGTGAACATATATCATGAATCTTCTGTTCTTTCGACTTAACCCCTGAAATGATAAAAGTGATCGTATGTGGAAGACGGGATCAATGATTGGAAACTTAACTGCCAGGAAAAATACAAGGAGAAATATCTAGGACAAAAGGGAAATACAAAATACAACAAACAATGAGGCTGCAAAAAGCCTGCAATAACCAAGTATTCTAGTAAAAATCCTGAAGACATATGCCAATGTAACAAAGTACCTGGGGAGTGTTCACAGGACCATGAACTTCAGGGTTGTTGTTATTGACGTCAACAGCCTCCCTATTTCCAAGGCAAAAAAAGTTGAGATAATCTTGTGGTGAATATGCATCCTCGAGCCCAACTTCAACCAGTGCCTTGTAGATCGTCTCATACATCATTTGCATTGTTTTATGCTGTCCATAAAAAATAAAAATATGTTAATCAACAAATCGTACTAGTAAGGTGCGCTGACAATAAGTAGCAATCAATAGATAATAACTAAGGATTCCATGATTTGTACATTTTTCAATATTGGAAAGCCACATATGCCACATATACTTCACCTAATTAGGAAGCAACGAATGGGAAAATAAAAAACAAAAGACAAACTTGCAACTATATTTGGGCAGCAGATAAAGTCATTGGTAGTTTAACTTCTAATCATGGTTAGAATATGAAAAAAAGACAAATCATCCTACCTGCCAAAATAGAATCCTCTGGGTTGCAGCACCAGTTGGATTGCCCTCTGGCCACATTGGGATGACTATATACGCCGCAAACCTTTCATGTGCTCTAATTTTGTCAGCAATTTTCAGGGCAATTTCCATCGGTATCAAATTGTTAGCACCTGAATAAGAGCAATTAGCTTAGGATCCACCTTGCAAATAATCTCATTAAGTTCAGACACAGAAACGGACCTTTTTTTTTAAAAAAAAATATCATTCTCATTTTCTTGTTAAAAAGGACAAGTGAAGAAAGAAAGCACATGCAACATCGGGATCACATCCCCTTATGTATTGTTATTCTTTGGCTGATTCTTACGAACAAACAAACTTTTTTCAGGCATAAAAAATATAGTGCATCATTTTGCCTTGTTACTGATCACGAGAAAAGATGGGAGTGGGGATGAAACTAGATAAGTCTCATCACATTGTTAAAAAGAATTGTTCATGTCTGCTCTTAAAACATGGCACCCGTTATCTAAATCTTGACTATTCTTAAAAAGTTCTGAGCCAAGAGTATTTAGGTTCATGTTGATGTTGACATTCTAGATCAAAGCCCAATAAAGAGATATCCATACTTTCCCAAGAGGTCTAGCAGTAAAACACTCAAGGCCAAGATGAGTAATTCTTACCCAGGTCCTTATATTGACTCCAATTATAAGATGAGCCAATGAAATACTGATTTTCGATGTAAATGAAGTGTTGGGCAGCACGAATGGCCTTAACATAAGCTGTGTGTATGCTCATGTCAATCAATACATTCTTTCCGCATACCAGGTTCTGTCAAACAAAATGGAATGATCTCCATCAAAAATAGTAAAAGGAAAATCTAAATAAAGAGAGGGAAATTTCTATAACCTTCAAGGTAGCTTCTTTTGGATCCTTTGGAAATCCTTTGACAGAATTTGAATCAATGGAACGGAAAATCTGCACAAACAGAATCTAGGTTCAAGATGGAATATTCTGAAATTAAATTCGAACTGAATATTAAGCAATAAGATACCCACAAACCTGAGCATGCCAACATTCAGGGTTGCTGTCAACAACACAGGGAGAATCAGATGCCCCAAGTATTTCTGGCATCCTTTCTAACCGGAGTAAGGAATCGTCATATGACACTTTCAACTTTTTAATGCCTTGTGGTTTTGAAGCCTTGAACCAACGCTCCTCAAAGTTGGCCAGCACATCATATGCTGCTGGACCATCAATTTTGCAATGCAAGTCATGCCACGGTTCTCTTGGGCAACCAGCAACACTGCCCTGTTCAATTATTGGTGAATATATTGTAAAAATTTATCAATAAAAGATTTTCTGATGAAGCAAGCACTTCCTAAATCCATCTAAAATGATAAATCATACAACGCTTTAGACAGCTAGAACGACACGAATTGCCATTCACTGAGTTCTTAACATACATAACGCAAGCAGTCAAAATCTTGCAAACTTTGTTACAGATCAAGTTGCAAATTCAAAAAACGAGTCAATTGATTGGATTCTGGAACATGCAGAATTTTCCCAGTAAGGTTAAAGGAAATGTTTTGTACACGGAAGGAAAAAGGTTAAAGGAAATGTTCCATAGACATTGGAAAATTAGAGGCTCCTTACTTAGCAACTTTCTCCTCAAAATTACATTGCAAAAAGAGCTCTAAGAGCTCATTTTCCAGAAAATAGCTTATTTGCCATGCATAAGGTTATTTAGTCAACTTGATCAAAAGAACATCATCCAAGAAATAAGTTATGAAAAACCAGAAAACATTCATGTTTGGATCCTTTTTCAAGAGGATCTTTTTGATTTTTTTTTTGATTTTTTCCAAAATTCATATCGATATAGTATTTACCTTCCCAATACCTCTTTTTACATTCCCAATGCACATTTTTACATTCCCAAGAAAGGAACACATACAGAAAAAACATTAAAAACACACCGGCTCCTTTGAAGATGCAAACATCACTGCAGGGGAGGCCACTCATGAGGGCATGTTAGAACAAAACTTCACTACTAATTTTTTTTTTTTTTTGGGGTTTAAGTGTTTACTTCTATTTTCTGTAAACATATTAGTCGTCCACAAAATGCAGTCAACTATTCATTACTATTTTAGGAGAATTGGAGGTATTAATGAAAGATCCAGACACATCCCATTTCACTATAAATGCTCATTAAACTGCTTGTCACAGCATCCAAGCATAATTAGGATGACCTTAACAGAGAAGTTGAATCCAAAATTCTCAAATGCCAATGAAAGAAGAATGGATTAAGAATTTACCGCAAAAGTAGGATTATGATAGTCATCCACATGAGTCGTTTGCAGAGTTTTAAAGATGGGATGCTGAGGAGTATCATATCGTCCGTCACATAAATCGAGCCCTCCTAAAAAAGAAATAATTCTTCTTTTATTACCACCAGCATCAGCATCTACTATCACAGTCTTCTGATGGTGCGTGTAAATTGTTCCAACTTCCTAATCATATAATTGCAGCATTAGTTTCAAAAACTATGTCAGGCAGTAAGGAGAGAGACAACCAAGACTATTATATCGCTGTAAAGGAGACCCCATAAATCTTGATGTGAATTCCCCTTTATGAAAATTAAACAGCACTACTTTTATGTGTGTGTTTGGGTTTGATTACTTGACTTCCTATGATTGAGTTGGAGTAGTTTATCACTGAAAATGAAGATATAAAACTGACAAGAGAACTTAAAAATCGACTCTAACTTACCCTCTGTTTATACCAGCTGTGACGTTTTCCAGCCACCCTGGGGCAAAGTAGAACTTGGACTGAAGAATGTTTAAAGAAACGACGAGTTTCTTCATCGTGTGTTGCCATGACTCCATCCTGCATATATCGAATTTCAAAGGTGCATGTCCAGCTAATCAAGGCACGATTATAATCAGAATATTTTTGATATGGGAGGCAGTGGAGAAAAATATATTTAGTGAATCCACAGATAAGTTAGTATTTGATAGAAGAATTTGTTGAATAAATCTACAGGTACAGAGGAGACGAGCAGGATATTCCATTAGTTAAACAAGGAAAGAAGCACAAGAATTGGGATATGTAATGAAAATGAGATTTAGTTGCAACAAAGAATGATTCGAACAACTAGCAAAACCAAGATTTGAGAGGAAGAAAAAGAAAAAAAAAAAAAAGAAGAAGAAAAGAATGGGGTCTTGACAGCTTAGATAGACTCTTTCATCTTGGCTCAATTAGAGACTCTTTCTGGAGGAAGCATCTGATCTGATGCACCTCATACACTGAATATACAACATTTCAGGTATATAATAAAACTTTAGCATTGCCGTAACACTAAATACTTAGAACTATTTTTCATCAAAAAAAAAAAAAAATACTTACTGTTTTGTAACCCAAGATGTTTCTTGATGTAGGGTCATCCCATATAAGAAGCAGAACTCTCACACCTTCTTGTGATTTTGACTTCAGAAGCTCCCCAAGGGTGTAATTTGCCCGAGAACTATCATCTCTGATCAACCTAACCTTGTGCCACACTGACCATCCAGCAATATAGATCAACCTTCGAGCCATGCGAATTGCATCAAAGATGTCATGCCAACACTTTCCATGTACATAATGCATCCCATTTGCTAGCTTCAGGTTTGGAAGGTACCCATCAGGCACATGAGCATCTTGATAAAGAGTAACTGTCCCACCTCTTCTAAGTGGAAAGTATGTCCCTGGTACACCAATGTAATCTGGACCTGCTCCAACTCCATGATGATAAATACTCAATCTTTCTATTGGAGTATACTGAATTGAAATACTCAAAGCAGCTCCAGCTTTGCAGGGCTTTCCATTATTCCCAAGAATAGGAAAGTACCCTTCAACTTTTCCGCCACCGTAAATATGCTCCACCGGAATGGCGACAGTTCCTATAAGCTGAGATCCCACTACATCATTGTCTTTTACGACAAAATGAACTTCAGCAACATGATGAGCAACTGGAACGTTAAAATGTTGCATCCAAACAGGATTTTCATTGTTGCTTATCACGTAAGTCCTTCCAATGGTAGCACCAGCAACAGTAATTGAGACATAGGGATCACTTGTTATCTTGTGATTCATGTGACCTTCAATCTTAGCATTCACATTGCCGGGCAGTTTGTTGAACATATCACCCAATGTTTTGTGGAACATGTCCATATTTGGCAGGTTTTTCGCTTCATAGATCCATATATCCAAATTCCCATGTAAAAGCAACACTTTCAAAGACCCTTTAGCAGAAGGAACTGACACAATCTGTAGATTCTGATTCTGTGGATTATCTAAATACATGTTTGGATGGGGTGAAGGAGGATAAGAAGGACTCTCCACCCTACTAGAAAAGGAGTTACTTGCAAAACCATAGAATGAGCCATGATCATTATAGTTTGAAGTAACCGGCAGTGGGCCCGAGTGATACATCTGGGCGAGAGCGGGAGCCGAAAGCGTGGCGGGAGCAGGCGGGGATGCAGGTGCAGAAGGATTATTTACAGGTGGAGTACCAGAACCAGAGGGATAATTGTTCGACGACAAGTGCACATTTGCTAATTGATCCTCGATGTGGGGATACATCGAAGGATAGGTGGTAGCACTATGACTAGCATGATGATGATAACTTATAGTTGAACCGGTTATGGATTGTGAACTATCTTGACGGCGAATGCCCGGGACCTCATTCCCAGCAGATGTAAAGCTGTTCAGGCTGTTGAGAGTATGCACATTTGATGAACTATTCTGAACAGTCTGAGGCTCAGGAGCTGATGATGCAGGAGGAGCCGGATATCCCGGATACGGATAGGAAAAATGGCCAGAATGTGATGGAGATTGATACCAAGGGGCTGCAGGATGAGGTGGTGCTGATGATGGTGCAGATTGTGGGGGTGGATATGCATATGCAGTTGGAGGGGCAGCATACGCAGTAGCATAATTTGGTGGAGGATATTGAGGATACCCATAAGGTGCAGAAGCTGCAGGTGGGGGAGGATATGGAGCAGAGTTGGGTGGTGGTGGATATGGCTGATTTGAAGGTGGCTGTGAAGGAGGGTATCCATAACCACCATATGGTGGATATGGTGATTGAGATTGGGAATTGTAATTATCCATAATCCACAAACATATGCAGAATTGATCCTATTGATCTAAAACCAAATAAAGATCAAAACTTGATTCTACAAACCTCACCAGATATGGAAACGATCAAAAGGGTTAGCTTCTTCAGCTGAAATGGATAGCTTTTATTCAATCAAATCCTAAAACTACAATGGAAAAAAAATTACTCCAACACACCACCGGAATCAATGGAGGAAGAACGTTCAACCTATGCAAAGATGAAAAACTTTACAAATTGCAACGAAAATAATGGCAACCCAGTAACAAAATGTAAATGAGAGATCAAATACCGACGACGGATACAATAAATCTCAGGTTATTGAATTAAAAGAGCATGAACGAGGAAAATTGTTGAAAGCTCGAATCTTGCAGAAAATTAGTACTCCGACAAGAAGATAAACAGAAAGAATGAATATTACCTTTGCACAAGTTGAAATTTACCGGAGAAGCTTTTTGTATGACTGATTCTCAAAAACAAAAAGAAAAAAAAAAAAGAATCAAAGAATCTCAAGAAAAGGTCAAAAGATTTATCAGGTGAAGAAGAAGTTAAAAAGGACCGCCACAGCCATTGTCAATTTGTCAGAAGAAGAAGCACAAACTAATGCTAAAAACGTGTAATTAGAAAACGTGTAATTTAATATTTGGGATAATTCTAGTTTCTTTTTTGTTATGAAACAAATTTTTAATAAACTTTATTTTCAGTTTCGGAGAAGTTGAGATTCACAGACATAGAAAGTGTCTATTTGTCCACCTACCGAATGCGATTGAATTTCGTTTTTATTCAAACTTGATATTCTTACATCATTCATCATTCCCTTCAGGTAAAAAGTAACAAATCAATTAAGCACAATATATTCTAATAACAATAATTAATTCCTTTATCGATGAACACCATCTCCATATTATATAGTTTTTTTTTTAATTTTTAATATATTATTCACTTTATTGAAGTTTTTTTTTCTTCTACAATAAAAAGAAGCTTAGAGTATATTCGAAATTTTAAATGACAACCCACATAAGTAAATATATAAACAGGTACTTCGACCAATAAATGACCAAGATTAACATCAAAACTGAAAATATTTAAATGTTTGTAAGTCTATTTTGTTGTCCAAAATGTACCGAACCAAATAACTTCATTAGTCCATTGGCAGTTGTGTTGTGTTGGGTATTTGTGGAATTTGGAGAGGAAATTAATCATCATAGTGCATTATTAACAGAATTTCAATTCAATAAAAAGGTCAAACTTAGGAAATAAGAGTTACCATCTAAATAAAGATAATTGAATTTACGCAAGAACGGCAGAAGGTTCCAGTTTAGACATTTCTTTCCCGCGTAGATAATCAAAAAACGGCTTTTTCATGGAGCCATCCTCCTTGTTTTTATTTATTTAGTTAATAGAATTACTACATTTTTTTAATATGCTCGAATATAATCAATTTTTTGACTCTCAAAATAGGAGTGGTATAAAATTTGATTTAGGAAAATTTCGGCATTCTTACTTGTTGCAATAGACTTTTCTCTTGCCTTTAGCTATTGTTCGGACTTTTAGCTGAGAGTTGTATTCTTACTTTTAGTGCTAACATCCTAATAATCAAGATAAACTTAAATAATTACTTTTATTTGGTTTTACAAAGCGATGTAATGCGGAAGATGCATTCAATAATTATACCATTCTAGTAGTTAGAGATATGCGTGAGTGAATTGAGTAATTTCGAAATTTATTTAGATGATTTTTTTTTGTTTTTCCGAGAAAAAATAAAATATTAGACATTGTAACGCATATTTATTTTATTATTTTCATTCCCCATCCCAAAAATATATTTTTTTTCCAAATTAAGAAACTAGAAAGTGTTATACATGCCAAACGATATATTTAACTCGACGCAAAATGGTAAAAAGTTAAAAATTATGGGGGTGAAAGTGAAATCAAAACCTGCATGATCTCTCAAGTCTCAACCAAAGAGGGAGAGATGCAAATTAAACAGATGAATGTTATTGTTTCAAATCAAGAAGCCTTTGAGTCCTCTATTAGAGCATCTGCACCTGAGAATGACATAGGAAATGAACCTATAAACCAAGATAAAGCACACCATTATGGTAACATTCTTCCATCTACTTTCTTCACCATTCCCTACTTCCTTAAGCACATCTTCACCGGTCACAACACAGGTCCCTAACATGGATTCCAAGCATCCTGAATCGGCGAATTCGTTGATCAAGAAACCTTCAAAAGGGTACTTAAACAATGAGATATAATGCATGAAAATCCAGTAACTTGGTATCCCATGCTTGGATATGAAGTACCCTGAGAAGAGGAAGAATGATCCCATCACCCCTGAAATGACTGAATTCCCGATGATGAAATTCGGGGCTAAAGCGCTGATGCAAACCACCACTGAGTTTGCTGTGTAGAGAATCAACCAGATCAGAAGCAAGAACTGGAAGAATGCAATGGAACTCCTGTGTAATCCAACCAGCCAGTATAGAGGAATGCTGAAAAGCGATGCCGAAATCAACAGAAATGGTAAGTAAACTAGGCCATTTGCTATGGCGTATGAGGAAACTCGGTAGCTCCCGCATGAGGTTTCCTTCATTAGTATTTCCCTTTCTTGCAGGAAAATTGGCAGTGCTTCTGTTGTACTTGACAACAGAAATGTTAAGATGAATGCAAAAAGACCAACTCTTTCCTGAGCACCAACTAAATTGTAACTGAGATCATAGAAGATTGAACCTAAAACTAGGCCAGATATCAGCATCTGAAGGCTTCTACAAGCAAAAAGTTCTTTAGTCCTACATATGTTTTTCCAAAATCTCTGGCTCAATATAATGGTCTCTTCTAACCTAGAATTCGCGAATTCATCCGAAAACAGAATCCTAGAAGAATTAACCGCTTCCTCATCATCTATAACAGTTGATTGCAGAAACAACTGTTCTAATGTAAACTTACTGTTTTTTCCACTCAGCTCCTCCTGATGATCATCATCAGCTCCTCCTCTTCCCTTGTTTCGATGCTGCTCAATGGTCTCGATGGATTCGATGGCGAATTCGACCACATTCACATGGACAGGAACATATAATCCCATCTCCATCATGCTGACACTGAGTTTCTCCACTGTTCCATGGTGCAGAACTCTGCCATTAGCCAAAAGGAGAATAGAATTGAACAACTTCACAATCCTAAACCCTGGCTGATGAATACTCAGGATTATCGTCCGTCCTCGAGTTTCCGCCATTTTTTTCAGCAGATCAATGATCTGCAGTGATGCAGTGCTGTCAAGCCCAGAAGTTGGCTCATCAAGCATAAGAACACAAGGGTCGTGAACAATTTCCACACCAATTGAAACCCTTCTTCTTTCTCCCCCTGAAATCCCTCGAACTCTGTCATCCCCAACTCTTGCAGAAGATACATGGCTAAGACCCAATTCCGCCATTAAAGACTTCACTCTTGATCTCAACTCAGTTGCAGGAAGGCTTAATCTGAGCCGAGCAGTGAACATCAGAGTTTCTTCAACTGTGAGTAGGGGAAACAATGTGTCCTTTTGGGTCACATAACCGGAGATTTTCTTGAACCTGGCTGCATCAAGTGGCTTCTTGTTCACAAAGATGGAAGCTTTTTGGGGTTTTAGTTTGCCCGAAAGAATCTCCAACATTGAGGACTTTCCAGCTCCACTTGGGCCAACTATGGCAAGAATCTCCCATGGTTTGGCTGTGCAATGAACATCTTTCAAAACATGGCGAACTGTCTTTGGTTCCCTGGAGAATAATTTCAAAGGGCATTCTCTGTTTGTCTTGGTGATTATGTAGTTGACACCAACTGCTTGAATCTCACAGCCTTGTTTCTTCATTGAGGAGAATTTGTGACTGAGTTTCTGGCTTCTTTTCTTTCTTTTCTTGAGCCCAAACGAAGAACAGAATTACAATGACCACCAGAATATATGGTATGATCTTTTACTGTTTTCTTGAGAATTCTCCTCCTCATGTTTCAATACGCGTCTGTTTCTTCTACATTGATATTCTTGTTTCGTGAGAGGTAAGGAGTTCACATGTTTGACATTTTTGAGCTGCTAGGTTCAGAATACTGAGCTTTAGGACAAACAAAATTCACGGGTATTTCTGAATAAGGTAGGACCCGGAGGAGTTACAGACAATCTTTTCAAAGAAAATTTTAAGATTTTGAGGTGTTTGGTTGGGTTAGTAGAATAGGAATTTGATGATTATCCTTTTTTTATTTGTTTGGTAAAGGTTAAATCAATGGGCTTAGTAATGAGGATGAAACATCGGTTACGGTGGATTGTTATTACCGCGAGGTCGGGGTTAAACTTTCATTGGATGATACATTTGTATGGAAAAAGAAAAAAAGAAAAGAAAAAAACTAAGCAAATACTGTGACAAAATTTGTCAAAGAACAAATTCAGTAACATTACTGAACCCTTTTCAATTTTTCATGATTCTACAATTTTGAAATTGAAGTATTCGTGAAAAATCCTTCCAGCCAAGTTAAACTCTTTTGGCATATTTTTTTTTTTCCTTTATTACTTCCAGGTGACAGCAATTGGACTAGTTACACTGTGATGAAATGATATCCAAAGAAGAGATCCAAATGAGTGATCATTTGGTGCATTTCTATCTTCCTGTTTGGTGAAGCTCACTTTATAACTTAGTTTCTGCCCAATTTCTTGAAATTCAAGAACATCAGGCTCAACTGTTACTGACACCCCATCAGGCTCACTGACATGTGCGAAAAAGACACTCTTAGGGATCCCTACATTTGTCACTGTTCTTTTGTATGTGACAGTGGGACTCTGTGAATCATTCCTGAAAATCACTGCAAAAGAAGGGTAGTTCAGATCACCAGGCTGGGGAGCTGAATCATCAGGACAAGTGAAATTGTTATTGGAGATTGATGCGAATATAGCAATTTGAGAAGAGTTGTAGTTTATGCTGCAGAGATAAGTGAGGTAATCTTCAGTGGTAATGTCATATATAAGTCCAGGATTTGCAGCACTTTCAGGATCAATGTGGCCTGAACCATATGCGAAATGAGTGGCGAACTTGGAGTTGTTTCCTGAAACCGCGTCGCCAATCGGATTTCCTGTGCTATCAACAGTATAAGCAGTTGTCATTAGAGCAGACTTAATGGCTGCAGGGGACCAATCTTTGTGATCTGACTTCAGAAGCGCAGCGATGCCGCTAACATGAGGGCAAGACATTGAAGTGCCCGAAACAATGTTGAAAAGGACACTTCTTTTGTCACTCTTGAGCCTAGTTGGACTCACATTCGGTGGCCAAGCCGCCAGTATGTTTACACCTGGTGCGGTAACATCTGGCTTTAGAATGTCAGGTCCAACTAAACTAGGTCCCCTGGAAGAAAATGCAGCCATAACCGGCGCAGGATTATTGTATGATGTTCCTAAAAACTCAAGTGAAGCTGTTGCTTTTGTTGTTGTGTTTAAGTATGATTTGATGTAAGTGGCAGCTTGAGCTCCCAACATCAATGCTGGCAGGATATGTGGATCAGCAAAGAGTTCTTCTCCTTCAGTTGGAGTATTGAGCAGAATCATTCCAGCTCCGCCTGCTAATTTCACTTGCTCTCCTTTTCCAACTCTGCTGTTTATTCCTCTATCACAAACGACAATCTTCCCCTTCACCAGTTTTGGAGAGAGTGAGCCAGTGATGCAATATTGAGCTCCCAGCCCGCCTGCAGTATCGCTGTATACGAGTGGCAATTGCTTGATAGGTTTTCCATAATACAGTGATGCTCCATTGAAGACTTTACCATTTCCTAGTTTCACTCTGCTCGGAAAACTGCGATCAATGTAGCTTGCGGCAACTGTCATCATCCACGGCGCAGTATTGCCAACCGTTGAGCTGGTAGGGCCTGAATTGCCTGCGGAACTTGAAACAAAGACTCCATTTGCTGTCGCACCGAATGATGCAATAGCCATGTTGTCACTGTAATACGGCCGCGAAAAGCCACCTAAAGACAATGACAAGATGTCAACTCCATCGATGACGGCTTGATCAATGGCAGCTAAAATATCAGAACTTGCGCAGCCAAGGGCATAACAAGTTTTGTAAGCAGCAATCCTTGATGTGAACCTCATGCCACTCGCCGCGCCTTTCGCCAAACCAAGAAAGTTAGCATTTTTAACAATATTTCCAGCTGCAGTTGAAGCCGTGTGTGTGCCATGTCCTTCTGAGTCTCGCGGTGATCTGTAATCTACTGTTTCATTGATTCTTCCGGCTATAGCTTCATAACCTTTGAAGAAAACTCTAGCACCAATTAACTTCTTGTTGCAGTTTGATGTATAAAACTTTGTACCAGCTTCACACGTGCCTTTCCACCTTGAGGGGACTGAGGGGAGGCCTGAATCACGGAAACTGATGTGTTCAGGCCATATTCCAGTGTCTACGACACCTATAATCACATCAGAGGCCAAATTTGGAGCGCTCCAAAGTCCATGACCAATTTTAAGGCCAAGAAATTGAGGTGTATGAGTTGTATGGAGGCTTAGTAATTCATCTTTTGCGGCACTAAGAAAACCATCCATCCTTTTAAGTGATTCGAGTTGATTTGTGGAGAGCACCGCGGCAAAACCAGAAATAGCAGTTTCATAAACATATAGAAGATCAGGAGATGATCTTTGCTGTTGTTGTTCTTCTTCCTCATGTATAGAAGGTGAGGATTCTGCAATGAATTCGATCACCGCATCATACCATCTTTTGGTAGCTCCAAGAGAAGCATCTAAGGTTTTCATCTTGGCCTTATCCATATGCACCACATAAACATCAGCTTCTGCTGAAGCAACAACAAACAAAACTACAAAGATTGGCGTCATAAGGGACAAGCCGAACGCCATTGTGTTTCTTTCCCGGTGCCAAGAATCAGACAATGGTTTTGATAGAGTTGATGAAAGTTTTTCTTACACTGAAAAACAATAAGAATAAGAAGAAGGAACTATGAACAAGAAAAGAGAAGGAAATACAACCTCCTTCTCTTGCTCTTTTGCTAAGAGCATTAAGATAGAGCAATGAGCAAGGTGAATGCAAAGATTATATAGGCTAAAGAAGAAGCATGGTGGTTTCTCTCATAACAAACTAAAAAAGAGAGAGAGAGAGACAGAGAGATGGAATTAAAGCTACATGAAGCTTCGACAGTGAGTTATGGACCAGCAGCTTTTTCAGCATGAAGGAATGTAGAGAGATATTTTGCAGTCTTGTTAGATCATGATTTGATAATGTGGCTCAATTAGAGCAAAATCATTATGCCACATTTGCCAATTATAGCAGATCATTAGTGGAAAAATCGTTGTGCTATTGAGCTGTTGATGAAGTGTGGATTAATTCAGAAACAGAAGAACACTTGTTATTACAGCATTGGCATGCAGTTGAAGATATCTGCTTTTGCAATGACTAATAGCTTGGGCTGCAGGTTTTGCCTCCTCTTTCTGTCAAAATCTTCATGATTATATTGACTCACTCCAATTCAACCATTGCATTCCCAGAACAACAGAGAATATTTCATTGCATTTGTTTGAGTTTCAGCCATTTATACATTGATTCGCCAATTAACTACAAACATGATTAGATCTTTGTGTGTCTTCATACATGGCTGATATCTTGACATCTGCATCTTATTGCAAATCCCTGCTGTAATGTCGCACTTTCAGGATCTAGAAGGAACTTCATTGTCTGTTAATTAGCTAATTACGCCTTTTTTTTTTTTTTTTACTTTAAATGGAACACTTAAGCAAAATGGCAGTTATTAACTAATCACTTTTGACATAAGCAGCAACAATCTTAAAATCCCACTTCAACTTTACAAATGATTTCAGCAATAAACCTGTCTTTTTCTGGATGATTACCTTGTAAATCCATTTAATTAATTATGAGCTCTAATGTTATCTGCTTAATGGGTAAAATTCTTAGTCAGCCCTGCATCTTCCTCAGCCTCTAAGATTTTTCCTTTGGATTTTCACTCCCTCCGTCGTCCTGAAATGATTTTTCAGTTTGAATTTTTATTTTTAATTCAAAGAATACTAAAAATAAAAATCTAAACTGGACTATAATTTTGGGACAGAGAGAGTACTAACAAACGAGACTCTTATTTTGGGATAGAGAAAGTAACTATCCAGTTCTTATTTTTAATTCAAAGTAACTATGATGATATATTCAACCTTGTGCATAAATTGGGGCTGAATAGTTTCTCCATGATAGAATTCTTCTACTTTTGCAGTCTTGCTCTTTCAGCTAAGGTTAACCAATCCTACATTCTACATATATTTTTTATTAACTAACGTTAGCTCAGGTTTCAACTATATGGATCATATAAAGATGTCGTGCTTAATTTTATCAGCTCGCATATATTCGTTTAAATTTAAATATATCATGTCGAGTTTATTTCAGTTTTTTGTTCTATTAATCTTAATTACTAGGGCATATGTTAAGTAACGTTAAATAAATCTTTTCTACACATGTCCATAAAACTCCACCTCCACCCTATCACCTTTTTGACTCAAATGCTGATGAGGAACCGAGACAGAGCCAGTTTGGAACTTTGGATGAATTTGGCTAGTTGAATGAAGTGGGCTGAAGCTGGAAGAAACCAAAATTCAAACTACTATTAAATATGCATTTCTTGACCTCCCACTCTTTCTTTCTATAATCATCACCTGTGGCAGACTTAACAGTCCTCTAGCAAAAGCTAGGGTTGGTAACCAAAAAAAAAAGAAAAAAAAGAAGAAGAAGCTAGCCATTCTCCTTGCCATACCTTTGATTTCTTCCATTGATTTCTAGCCTTGCAGTATTGTGGTATTATCATCATCATCATCATAAAGGGACTTTGCTTCCACTTTAGAGCGTGTGGTACTATCCCCGCAACGTTTAATGTTGAAAATTAACTTTCTCTTGAAGGGGAAAACGAAAAAAGAAAAGTTTAGTTGTAGTACTAGTTATGGTGTCTGTCTGGAAGGAACTTATTTGAGTGAATATGAATGACCCATTAGGGAAAGGTGTACTCTTAGCACAATGCATGTTGAAAGGAAGATGGAGCAATACGAGCAATAGCTTTTAAATGTGCCTTTTTTGACTATTTCCTTTTCTGTTTCCAATTAAACCAGCGACACGGTCATTTATATTTTCTGTAACGAACTTGGAGGTATTCTCGCTCAATCGATTACAAATTTATGCCGTACGCTTTCATTACACAAAAACAAATCCTTAATAGAGGCCAAAGAATCGCAACCGTTTTCTCAACTCAGCTCAACTCATTGAGAATTTTTTTTTTTTTGGGTCTGGTCCAAAGGGTTTCGATTGTTGTTGACGCTAGGAATCCACATAATGAATGATGATGTTGCTTGCTGTTGGGAGCTTAGTGAGCTCATCCCCACGTTTGATAAAAGAATTCTTTTGATTTTTTGGTGTACAAATCATCATCCAGCAAAAACACCCGCATTAACCCAATGGCCATAATTGTTTTGTTAGTGCTGTTTGGACCATTCTTGAATCTTGATTGACATCCATACAAACATCCGCATTTTGGTATCTTCTGGATTTTCAACTTTTCATCCAAAGTTTTGATATTTAGGGCTGACTATTTTAACTTAAAGACTCCGAATTTTGTGTTACACTTTCTTTGCCCCGTGTGATTCAACACGCTCTTTTGTCACCCTTCTTGATTTCTATTAAAACAAGGTAAATAATGTGAAACTGTAAAGAAAAATTCCCACACAAAAACTTGAGAAGCAAAACAATGTTTATCATTTTTGAAGCTAAGATACTGGTGTATACTCATTTTAGTTTCTTACATAAAATTGGCAGCTATCATGCATCTCTAGTATATCGAATGATCGATTCTGTTATCTGGATGATCAAGTTTTATGTAACATATCTGGTTTTCGGGCACATATTTGCTGGAATTCGCCTAATCCCAATTGTTATTTGACATTCTGCGTTGCAAGTGCCACTGGATTAAAGATGACAATGGGGCTCCTGACTGAATGATCAGAGCTTTTCCAAGTGAGTGAACCTGATACCATTAGCTTTTTACTTGTCATTGGATTTGCTTTCACCACAACTTTAAAGCTCCGCTTTTGGGACACATGAGAGAAAGTAAGAGCTGCAGGTTTCACTGTAATGACCACGCCTTTCGGTGCTTTAATGGTGGCATTGTAGGTGATGGAATTTTCAGGCCCTACGTTGGTGACAACCCTCCTGAAAACACCGGTAGTCGGTTCTTGTTTGCTCTTCAAACTCAGCTGCATTGTGGGATAGTTCAAAGCGTCTTCTCCATTTGTTGGAAGCAATTTTGAACAGTTTATCGATGACTGATGAACTAAATTAGCTAGGGATGAGTCGTCGTATCCCTCGTGACATAAAAATTGAATGTATGAGAAATCATCCATGTCGTATACTAATCCAGGGTTCAGAGCTTTAGTTGGATTCACTTGTCCTGCACCATAGCCAAACTCTGCTACTTTGTTTGTTTTTGAGCTCATTGGTGTTGCTGGTGCAGAAAATTTGTAAATATGAGGAAAAGAATGCAGAAATTCTTGTAAAACTGCTAAAGTTTCAAGGTTAAAAAAGAACCAGGTTGTTATATCAGGTTTGATGGTAACAACAACTAATGATATGGCGAAAATCAGGCCGAGATGAGTAGATGTTGTTACCGGTGGTCATGATGGCGGATTTGATGGCGGCCGGGGACCAATTTGGATGGAATGATTTTACATATGCCGCCGCCCCACTAACATGTGGACATGACATGGAAGTTCCAGACATGAGTGTGAAATCTGAATGCCTGGAATCGCCTTGTAATCCAGTTATAGACTTCATAGGGGTGTATGATGCAAGAATGTCGATTCCTGGAGCTGTAATATCGGGCTTTTTTCACGTTTTTGTTTGCAAAAATCGGCCAACATTTTAGCAATAATCTCGTTTGATAAGGGAGTAAATGAGCTTTCTTGAAAAACAAAGGTTGGTCAGTAACATTAGTTACCTTCAAGAGATGTTGAGATCCAGGATTTGGTCCTCTGGATGAAAATGAAGCAACAGATGGAGCTTGGATTTTAACTTCCTGAGATCTTGAAATCACTGCTGTTGGTGATCTGAACTTATTTTTTCAACACACAAAACCAGTATTCACAAATCTTACCAAAAAAACTAACTTAACATTCACAAGAACATATTTTTTGAAATTTTTTTCACCTTGTTGAAGCTATGTAATCTGCAATGCTTTTACCGATGGTCTCGTTTATTGTTGTTGCTGGAGCCACGAAAATTTGAGCATTATCAAGATACATATTGCTTTCCATGATGGCGCCGGCGCCTCCAAGTCCTTTAACTATATAATCAGCATCCCACGCCGGAAGCTTGCAGTAAACAATTTTTCCCTTCACTTTCTTAGGGTCCATTGATCCTTGAACACACTGGCTGTGATGCCAATATACACAACAGTTATAATAAGTGATAGTTTCTTTCATTTTCTGGCATCAGGTTCACATGATTAATGCACAAAAAATGCAGAATACCTTGAGCTGTTTCTGTTCTGAGCATCTTTAGCTACATCCATCCCACTTACAAGTGGATATGACTTCTGTTTTGGTTCAAATGTATTGACTCCAGTTCCCTGAAAAAGCATTAGCCCAATTCATCAAGATGTGAAAAAGAAGTATGCTAAGTTTGTCTCAGAAAACAGCTTTTCGCGACCAAACACGACCTGATTGCCACGCTTGAACTGAAGTAACAAGTTATGCAGCTAACAAACTTACTGGAAGTGTGTGTCCATTTCCCAGAACAACATTGCTCTGGAAGTTCCGATTAATACTATTCGCCCCAACGGTGAAAATCCAGGGGGCGTGATTTGTGACACCACCAAGGCTAGGGCCATCATTTCCAGCAGAAGCCACAGTTAAGATCCCTTTCCTCATGCCATGAAATGATCCAACAGATATGGCATCCGAGGTATAGTTACCGGATAAACCCCCAATCGAGATGGAAATGATATCAACACCATCAGCAATCGCGGCATCAAATGCAGCTAAGATGTCCATATCAGCACAACCTGAACTAGCCCAACACACTTTGTAGGCTGCAATTCTAGCAGATGGAACTGCCCCTCTCGCAGTTCCTCTCGCCAGGCCGAATAGATTCGCATTCGGAACTAGACTTCCAGCTAGGGTTGATGATGTATGAGTTCCGTGGCCATCTACGTCTATTGGTGACAAGATGTCATCATCATCTGGAAAATCATCCAACTTGAAATACCTTGCACCTATAAGCTTGCTTCAAGATCGTTGAAACAAGTTGGCCAAAATGTAGCAATCTGTGAGTCAACAAAACCTTAAATCTTCATCATCAGGAAAAATTACTATCTGATATCAGTATATCTTACTGATTGAATATCAATGAACTCAATGAACTGGGTAATTTGTTATTTTAAGTTATAGATTATAGCTTATTCACCATGAACAAAATGTCATCACAATACTAATGAGACACGATTATTACTATATAATAAGTAAGACGAAATCCTGTACTCAGTACAGAATGACTAGAAATACTGAAGTATAATAATGTGGCTGAAAAGAAATAATACTAAATGTTGAATTTTGAATATTACTTGTTGCACCCAGAAAAATTGGCGAACTGAGCACAGGTTCCTTTCCATTTAGCAGGTGGATGTCCGAGACCATGGTCCTTAAAGCTCTCTGATTGTGGAGTGATCCCTGTTGCACCAGAAATAGTGATCAACCTTTATTTAGTTCATTAATTTACTTGCTTGGTCATTGGTGTGTTTGGTCCACCTTTTTTTATTTTTTCCATCTCGAAATGGTTATTTCATTATATTTTTATTTTAGTGCATATTTTTAATTTTTTTTTAACAATAACTTGTACTGTAATTGAAAATCTAAACAAGACAATTATTTTGAGACAGATGATGTAACACTTTTTATCTTTTTTTTTACCAATGCAATTAGAAATTCAGAAAAAAAATGATAAGAATTAGATTAAACTCATAAAAAATATGATGACAACAGGCAGGGGGAAGACATATTAAATTAGAACTTTTTTTTTTCCTTTTCTTTTTATTAGTTCGAACTTCAAAAAGAGTAAATAGTGTTTTCAGTCCTCGATATTTCGTAAGCTATAACTCTGGGGTCCTCCATTTCCTAAAACTCCCAAATAACACCCCTAGTTCTAAACTTTCAGCAATGTACGTCCAGTTAACTGCTTGTTTAGGCGTTTGTAAGTTTAACTTGAATATTTTTTATTGAACAATGCTAGATACAATACACTATATATATATATATATATATATATTTCAAAACTTCAAAACTAATACATATTGTATTAGAGATTACTCAACAATCTATATATCAATTTGTACCAAAATAAATAAATAAAAATTCACATACCAGTGTCGAATACTCCAACAATGATATCACTCTCGACTTGCAAATTTCTTTCGGCAGTTGTGGGGAGCCCAATAAACTCCCATGATTTTGTGGTATGCAACTTTCGATACCGATTCGGAATTACAGAAACCACTTCATCCATGCCTGCAAATTAATCACTAAAATTTCAGTTAATTTTGACTACTAACTATAGCAGTTCATTAATTATAATTGGGTGAATGGAGAATACACCACATTATAATTACACTAACCTGACAAGTGGCCAACTTCATCTTCAGTAAGCTTCGCTGCAAATGCATTGAAGCTTTTGGTATAACTGTAAACCAGGGATTCTCTTGCTCCATCTTCACTGTTTTATGCATTCATTTCAACAAGTAAGAAAGCCTATAATGTTTTTCTTCCTTCTTTTTTTCGTTTTCAAACTAGTACGATTCTATCAAATTTGGATTTTTCACAATGTGAATTTGATATGAGTTTCATTTATAAGATCAAGTAATTTGACAATACAATTTCTTTTTTCCTAAAATTCTAAAATCTCGATATATAATTATAATTTCTATCAGGTATCACGTTTATGCCCAAAAAGCATATAACTTTTAACTCTAAGTTACATGCATCAACCTATTTTTCTTTCCTCTTTTCCGCAAATAGGAGACAACCTTATTTCGAATGTACAATTGATTGAAACTAAGATGTGAAAAGAGAGGTGATGAAGGTGGTAAAAAGGGAGAAATTGTAGTGTCTAACTTCTATATATATTTGAGAAGAAAAGAATTGAAGTAAAAAGTATACTTACTTTCCTTTGAGAGAGGAAAGAAGATCAACATGTTTCTGAGCTGCCTTCCCTTCATCCAATTCCAAATGATCCCTCAAGAACACAATATAGAAGTCCTGCAAAATGATCATCAGTCATCATTTTCTTCCTATTTCTATCAAGATTGCATGAGAAATCCTGTCCTTATATTATTTAATAGTGTACAAAACTAAATATGGTAAAAGATGCATGTTTAATTAAGGTAAAAATAATATATAAATGTACCTTGTCCAAACCTCCATTAGCGAGTTGAAGGGCTGTGAAGATGACTAAAAGCAGAAGATGACGAATAGGGGATGAACAGATGTAAATAGTGTACCCCATCAAATTCTTTAGCTGAAGTAGAAGCAAAATGAATTTGGTTTGGATTTGTATTCGTTGTTAGGTGGTTTGGTTGTATTTATAAATAACCCAAAACAATTTCAAGGGCTATATTTTTATATGAGAAGCAACCACAATATACTGTACAAAAATGGAAAGCTTGTTTAGACTTTAACTTGACTGTTGAGGTTTTTTTTTTAAAAAAAAATGGAAATCTTTAAAGAAAGACAAGGGTCAATTTAGGTAGCTATCAAATGCCATTGGCATATAGAGTTAAAAAATACTCCTCCGTCTCAAAAGCGAAAATTTAACTTGAACAATAATATTGGGAAAAAGATCTGTTTATGTGTTTTCTTTTGTAGATGACTTGTTAAAACATGTTGATAAACTAAGTTAAATACTCTTAATTCCGCATTGAGTCCGTCATTTTTAGATTTGACTAAAATGATTTACATCTTGTTGTGGTTTGAAAAAGATTACTCAACAAAAAATAATGTGTTTGTCAATATGGTTTACATGCTTTTCTTATTTACCATTTTTTTGGTTCTATAGACAACATATTTTTTCATCTTGTTAATTTAAACCTCGATTCTTAGTCTAAACACATTTGTATTGCAATTTATTGCGCAAATGATTACAAAAATGGAGTTTCTGTATGTTGTTGGCTCAAGTGCATCACAACCATAAGAATATAAAGATGTGTGTGGTAAATTTGAGTGATGGTGAAATGCACTCTGATTGGGAAACACACTTTTTTGCACTTTGAATTACTCGAACAAACATATTTTAGTTAATGCTACAAGTGTACGATGGAAGTCTTTTTTGGATCTTATATATATATATATATATATATATATATATATATATATATAAGGTACCACAGTATGGAAGCATATCTCTTGAACCTTATCGATGAAGTGAAGCAATAAAAGTTTTATGGATTATATAATTAACCTAAAATTGATGGTGATTATACTGCCACCAACAGTGCCTTTTCGTTCTCGTGAAAACTCAAAATATAAATGTAATGTTATTATAGACAAAATGAACAGAGGGTCAACAAAATATTAAAGTGATTACCTCATGGTCTGACTTGAGTCTCACTTTTTGGTTCTAAACTTCTAATTCATTTAAATTTACAAAGATGTATGTCATAAGATTATAGCACTTAATTAGCTTTAAACCAAGTTGGCTGGCTTTATCATTCCCAAAGACACATTATTAAATCTAAAAGTGGCGTCTAGTTATATTGAGAGACATCCAATTAGATAAATCCATAGTGATTTGGTGGTGTGGTTAAAACACCACTAACTATCTTTCTTTTTGAGCATATGCAACATGTTTCCGCACATAAAATAATGTTTGACCTAATTAGCTACATACTATTTCTTTATATATATTGGAGTTGAATTTCAATGGCTTTATGATTACATTCCTAGAGATAGATGGATCATTTTCACACAAATATAATTATAGTGGATCTAAAAAAGCCGTCTTAGACGTTTACCTCAAGAACCCCCCGCTTTCCTTGAATTCAAATGCAAGTCTCCTTTTGGTTGGAAGAAAGCTTCTTGTTTATATATGTTTTTATGCATGTGGGAGGTTCGACTATTTTGGAACAAAATTATCTAGTTCTCATCCATTGCACTATGGCCGGCATTCTATCCCCCACCCTTGCGATACGGGTAACTATGTATGTATTTACAAATTAGGTACATAGAGTCAGAGACAATATCCATGTATTAAAAAAAAAGAGAGAGAGAGAGAGATTATGAGATGAAAAATGACTTGTTGTGTTATTTCGTTCAAAGTTTTGTTTTTAAATCAAGACACCAAAATCTTGTATCCATACGGGCTAAATAAAGAAGAATCGATTAGTAAAATGTTCACATAAATAAGGGCTTAGATGTATAAAGTTAGCTTCAAACTTATCAGATTCAATTCAATTTGGGTAAATCCACAAACTGAGTGCATTTTTAGTTGATTCATGATCAATATATATACAACCTCTTTTCGTGGAATTAAGAAGTCTTTATACCTTTTCATGCTTTCAAGTGTTTTCGCCTCTTCATTCTTTGAAGTTGCAACTTTAAAAGTTGCATCCTATTTCCTAATGTTTATACACACTCTCCACTTGAAGAGTTTATCCTTTTACCATATAATTACTACTAGATTGATTTATGCTCATTGCCTAGATAGCCTTCAATATACGAAGAAAAAAGGGGATTAGAGGTGGATTTATCATCCTAAATATCCACTATAAACCTACAAAGTTAACCTTTCAAGATACTCTTGCACTTGAATTATTTGCAAGCAACATAAGACAAAGCGTTTTATTACAAAATATTGCTTTATCATTCCTCCACTTGTGTAGATATAGAGTTATGAAAGAGTGAATATATTGCATTCCATTAACTAACAAAGGATGTATTATTGCATGGTTATTATCTATAATGATGAATTGATAATGATCTGAAACATGATTACTAACGATAAAAATTCATATTTTCGGGTGACAAATAAGTTGACTTCTTAACAAATTAAGGTCTGATATTAATGGTATCGGCTCCCAAAGTTATAAATCGGAAACAATTTCTTTGGGGAAAAAAGGCTAATGACCTATGTTTGAAGTAGCTAGCTTTCATCAAACAACACTCTTTCTAAGGATGAAAATTTGAAAATCGTGATACCAACAAGAAAAACTGGTGAAATTTGAACTCATTAGCTTCTGTTTAATGAATTTTAGTCCGTACAATATAAAGTCTAGTTAATGGTTTTCTAGTATTCATTTCGGCAAATAAAATGCTTCTTGTTTTACATTACAATAGTCTTGTTTCATGATATATTCTGATTTTAGAAACCAAACTAAATTTAAAATAGTGTGAAGATAAGAAGAAGAAAACGGGGGGGACAAAGAAAATTCGAGATTTTTTAGCCAAGAAAAAGAAATGGAGCAAATTGGAATTATTAAAAGGTAGAGGGGTTGGATCTAAATACCAAAAAGTACCAGGACCAAAATGAGAATAGTCAAACGGCATTAGACTGAAAATATACCGGGCAACAGCAAGACTGACCGCCAAATTGCAGAAGAAGAACGATGTTCACCGTCCTCAGCCGATTCGGCCGCCGGAGAAAGCCCATTTCTCTCCTTACCACCGCCATCAGTTACTCCACGGCCACCGTTGGGAAATCATCTAAGCTATACACAGAATATTCATTCCAGCCACCAGAGTCTCTTAAACCCCAGCAAAACCCTGCTCCCCCTGAATCCACCAGAAAGCGATCTAAGCCTCGATACCGGCCGCCATCTTCTTTGGACCGAGAAGGTGTGGAACCCTTAAAGTCAGAATTACCGTTTGATTTCCGGTTCAGCTACACGGAAAGCAGCCCCTATGTCCGGCCCATTGGGCTCCGGGAGCCGAAGTACTCGCCATTTGGTCCGGGGAGGTTGGACCGAGTGTGGACTGGGGTTTGCGCTCCTGCCGTTGACCCAAAAGTGGGTTCCATTGAGACTGAAAAGGAGTTGGAGGAGAAGAGGGAGGAGACGAAGGAGATGATCCAGGGAGAGCCCTTGAGCAATGCTGAAAGGAAAGCTCTTGTTGACGGATGCCAGAGGCATAGAACGAAAAGGCAAATCAATCTAGGTAATCATAGAAGTTGTTTTGAAGCCATTTACCTGTGTGTTGCTATGATATTCTCTGTTTTTGTTGGAATGTCTTGGGTTGTTTGAGCTCTCAAATATGTGTGGAGGGTTATAAATTTCGTAAGATATTCTTCAACGTATCAATGTTATTGAAAGATTGAATGAACTAGCATAATGGACTGAAAAAAATTAGCTAAAAATGGTGAGTTGGGGGACAGTGTTATTATTGTTTTTATTATTATTGTATCCGTGCTTTGTGAGGGGGATCTTAGAAGGTGTTGCAATCTGTCTATGTTTTGATGGAGTTTAACTCCTGCTGCAAAAAGTTATCTTTTGTTGCTCTCTTGTTTGCATGGTATAAAGAATGGGTATGTTAGGAGGTGGTGGGAATATAGTAACTGAAAGGTAAGTTTGGATGAATCTTACCAGGTGCTGCTCATATTGAAGTAATTAAACTTAGGGTCAAAGAAACTAAAACATTTACAGTTGAATTGTTCACGGTAGGTACTCTATGCCATGCTGTGTGCTTTGTCGATAACTGAGGTAATAGTGCCTAATACAGTATCATGTCTCCTTGTTATTGTGAGCTTTGAAATTTTATGTTCTAAAGACTATGCTGTTGAGATGTTTTCCAATATACTTTCCAAGAGTCAAATGACTGTATAGTTTGTTCCACCCTCTGCAACATCTCATTGCTGTACCTTGACTATGCCATTATGGCAGACGATTATCGAGAGAATGAAACGTTACTTCGAGCGTTTGTAATTCTAAGCTTTCTTTTGTAGGTAGAGATGGTTTAACACACAACATGCTGAATGATATCCATAATCACTGGAAACATGCTGAGGCGGTTAGGATTAAGTGTATGGGTGTGCCTACTGTTGATATGAACAACGTTTGCATCCAGTTAGAGGTAATTATCTGTCATTCCAATCCACCATAACCTTCTCACTATGCATTTTCTGTTTTTTGTACGGAGTAATAACATTTTATCCAGAATTATTTCTACTTGCATTCGCTTTTCATTGTGTTAGTACAAGTTGATGGAAGTGTAGACGAAGGGTTATCATTTTGTGTTCGATAATCCTCTTTCTATTCATGTCCTCCATTGTTGCTTTTGAGATAGTGAATAAACATTTACTAGGCTATGTTGATAAATGTTTGATCTTAGTTACTTTACCACCTACAACGAAAATATATTTCCTCCCTCTATGGGATGATTTATTTTTTTATGGTTCTCTGTATTTGTTTCCATTTTCATTTAATTCTTGAAGTTGATGTCTTTTCATTGTCTTTTTCGTTCCCCTGCATTGCATGTGAGTTGATAAAAATGTGTTATCTCCCAGGACAAGACATTTGGGAAAATTATCCACAGACAGGGAGGACTTCTTGTATTGTATAGAGGTCGATACTATAGACCAAAGAAGCGGCCTGTGATCCCATTGATGCTGTGGAAGCCTCAAGAACCTGTGTATCCCAGACTTATAAAAACTACAATAGATGGTCTATCTGTTGAAGAAACGAAGCAAATGAGAAAGAGAGGGTTGGCTGTGCCTCCTTTAACAAAACTTGGTGTAGTTTCTTCTCATTTCGTGTTTATATAGCTTCCTGACATTATTTTGACTGTCGCTATAAGTAATTACTCTGTAATATTGGTTGTAGGTAAAAATGGTTACTATGGAAGTCTTGGGCACATGGTGAGAGATGCATTCCTCACTGAAGAGCTGGTTCGCATAGACTGTAAGGGCCTCGAGAAGAGCGACAGAAAGAAAATAGGCTGCAAGTTGCGGGTAGGTTCTTAGAACTTGCATGCCATTATTTAGCCTGGATTTTTAGTTTTTGTGCATTAGAGCTTTTAGGGGTTGGGGGTAAACTGCTTACTGTTCATGCAATATTGGGAGTGATGACCTTGTTTTGTTTTTTGTTTGTTAATGTTCCAAATTAACGAGATGATTTGAAACATAATTCCAAATTTCATTGATGCAGGATTTGGTTCCTTGTATCCTGGTGACGTTTGACAAGGAACAGATTGTAGTTTGGAGGGGCGAAGACTATAAGCCTGCAATGGATGAATTTTCACTTTTAGATAAAGAAATATTTAATGATACTCATCATGACATGGATCAGCCAGTGGATGAAAATGACATAGCAGATGACCTTGAAGTACCGCAGGATTTTGATTCAGGAGACTCTGGGGAGGAGTAAAACCAGTGGACGTCTTCCTTGTGTTGCTTCGGTGATGTAAGCATTTGTTTGCTTCTTGTATTATATATCATATGGAATTCCAGAGAGGATGGAGGAATATTTTGCAAATTCAGCCCAATATGGGAACAGATTCGTTGTGGTTCTGGTGTTGGATGCAAAATTGTCCCGCTCGCTACTTTCACCGGACAGAACATTACGAGGCTTAGCGTGGGCAGTCATGCATCCATTTGCAGGTCCTTTGGGTTGTAAACAAAGACAATACTCGGAAGTCTCGGAAGTTGGTCAAGGCTTGAGGAAGGGGAGGTTTTTCAAATGCATTTTCCTGGCTATGACGGTGTGCTGGTCTTCCACATGTGTATGAGGTAAGAAATGAGGAAGCATATTTGTACGCGACAATGTTAACATCTGTATAGTCTAAGGGGGAAAAAATAAAATAAAATAAAGCGTCGTAGAACTTTGAAAACGAGCTTTGTCTTGTTGGTTTATAATCTTTCTTTAAGATACCATAGGAAATTCAATGGATATAAACAACATTTAAGGCAGGTATTTTCTGGAAAAAGACGTGGTATGATGGGAACCTCCCTCTTTGTGTTAATCTAGACTCGCATATTGTGTAAAAATCACGGCCATTTGTAAATCAAGACACAGGGGTCTTCATTTTCCGATCAAAACGTGTGCAACATTCTTCCCACCATTTTGATTGAAGGGCATTGACGGGGGGTCATATTGTCCTGAGTTGAAGACACACAAAGCATAAAAATTAAAATGTCCCTTTCTGCTGTCATATTTTTAGTCTCTTTTTTTAACCACTTGGACCCGAATTCTTCCACTTGTTTAGTCACCTTTTTGGGTCGCGTTTTGGGGTTTGATTTTGTTTCCGTAATGCATGAAAAAGTCCATACTGACTTCAATCTTCCATCGTATGTACATGCACGCTTGTGGAGGTATATTAAGTAGATTAATTAATATAGGAGACTTTCGGCGGCAGATACTAATTAATAAAAGGTTCAGATTGCGCTTACATAAACATTTGGAGGATCTTAAAAAAACAACAACAAGATACTTCTATCTTTTGGAGGACCATTTCCAAAAAAAAAAAACAACAACATTTGGAGGATCTACAAGACTACAAGCTTCAAAGTTGGGGAATCTTGTGTCAAAATTAACAAGATCGTGTTTTTAAATTTTTCTAAGAAAGTGAAGTGATTAATATTGTCATTTACATGTCAAATTGAAGTTTTGAAGATAGTACTTCTTCAATCTTTAATCGACAGACAAGACATCCTATTGGTCCTTCTAATGTTTTGTAGTGTTACATCAAATATATTTTTTACTTAATGCTTAACAAAATGACCAAAAAAAAAAAATGAAAGAAAAACTTTTACCGAATAACAGGCAAAAAATGAGGAAATTGTCCCACCAAAAAAAAAAAAAAAACTTCTTTTAGTTCACATAACAAGCTTAATCATACCTTTTCCAAAAAAAAAAAAAAAGATGCTTAATCATAGTTGATTAAGATCCCATCAAGTCATTGGAAAGAGTTAAAAAGAAACAATAAGATCCAATCTTTATCTAACCACCAAAAAAAAAAAAAGAAAAACCAACTATAACTTTCATATTATTTTCATCATAATTCATACTAAGTCGGTAATGCCGTGGAATGCACGTGATCCGAGGCATCTCTTCAGACCCAGTAATGTTGTTTTGATAATGATTCATGGCTAGAAAAAAATACGTGGGTGGAGTCAGACGGGAAAGAATAAAGAAAATCCCATCTTCATAATTTAAAAAAAAAAAAAAAAAAGTAGTAAAAAAATTGTCGCCACGTTTTGCAGTCGGCAGAGTGAAGCCCATACAAATCGCATCATTGTCTGAAATCTGAATCCAACCAATTTATATTATACCGTCCTTTCATCTTCTTTTCCCCCCTCTCTCTCTCTCTCATTTCACTCCACTTACACCATTTTTTTCCAGTCATTCGTTTGATTCGTTGACCAGCCACCGGCGGCCTGCCCCACTACCTCCGATGGCTGACCAGAATCATCTCAGGGAACCACTTATTCCGAATGCTCAGCCATCGGCCACAAATGGGCCGCACTACATCATCACCGTTTCTGACAATCAGAACCAGAATGAGAACCCATCTCAGCCATCCATCAGTCACGTCGATGATTCGACGATTCAAGTTCCGCAGAATTTGAATCGAGATAATAAAGTTGGCAACTTTATTGAAGACAACCCGTTTGGGTTTCTTGGGCTGCATGGATTTGAGGTGCCCAAACCGTGTACGGTGGATCCTTTTAGGAATTCAACACCCAAGGTTGAAGGCTTTTATGAATGGGTCAAGATTTTGGTTTGTTTGCCTGTTGCTTTGTTGAGGTTGGTGTTGTTTGGGCTGTGTTTGTTGGTTGGGTATTTGGCTACTCGTTGTGCTCTTGAAGGATGGAAAGATAAAGAAAATCCTATGCCCAAATGGAGGTGTCGTTTCATGGGAATCACTCGTCTCTGTTCCCGTGGCATCCTTTTCTCTTTCGGGTTCGTAGCTTTTATCTTTTCGGAAATTATTGTATATATGATTTATGAAATGATTTGTTATAGCCTTTGGTGCTTGCTCAATTTAATTCTACTGGTTTTAATTGCTAGTTGATATATTGCAAAATTTGTTTCTGTTAGTCATCATCATTTTGCTTGGTGTCTCTGTTTTGAATACTGATTTGTTTCTGAGTTTAAATGAAAATGCTGAAGTTTTGTATGATCTTTGTTGAGAGTTGATTTTGGCGTCTTGTTGAGTAACTATAGTTTTGCCCTCTAACTTCTGCAGCTACCACTGGATAAGAAGAAAAGGGAGACCTGCTCCGAGGGAGATTGCTCCTGTTGTTGTATCTAATCACGTTTCATATATTGAACCCATATTCTTCTTTTACGAATTATTTCCCACAATTGTTGCATCTGAGTCCCATGATTCCATGCCGTTTGTTGGTACCATCATCAGGGCAATGCAGGTAAGCCCATCTAAGTAATTTTTAATTATCTTTTTTCTGCTACAAACTGCATTCTTGTTATCACTTCTTACTTAAGAGTTGGTTGAGCTGTTGGAATGGAGCTCGTAATAGATTTTTGTATTAGAGTAAACTCTACCAAATAATTGCAAGTGTTTGATGAAAATATTACAACTATCACATGATCGAACTTCTAAGCCCCAAAATTCCAATTTTCATTTCTAGATCCTTTCTACATTTTGTTTTACATTTTGAATACTGAATTTGAGTTCTTCGTATTGATTTATTATTTCACTTCTATATTTGTAGGTGATATATGTGAATAGATTTTCACAGTCATCAAGGAAGCAAGCTGTTAATGAAATAAAGGTAAAATGTTTCTGGCTGATATGTTTACTACGTTTATCGTCACGGGCCATGTCTAACTTGTAACTTTCATTTGGGATTTCCTGTTAGAAAAGACTTCGATTTGCTTCAGATCACATTCACTTTTTCTTGTTTGATATCAAACTTTGAAATGTAGTGTTTGTCTGCAATTCAAATATGACGTTGGCTCCTGGGTTAAATCAAGTATTATTCCTGTATAGCCTTAACTTAATTCAATGTGCCCTTACTGAATTCTGTGTTGGAAAAGTTGATCAATGTTGATTATGTTGTTTGTTTGAGTTGTTTTGTGATTCTGGATGAAGAATATTTCAATGTTGAATGCATTATCAATATATAAGCTATTTGATACAGAAGTGTGCTTTCAAGGTTGTGAATACAGAGAAAGGCATCTTGCAATAGATTTCCCCGTGTGCTTTTATTTCCGGAAGGAACTACGACAAATGGGAGAGTCATTATTTCTTTCCAGCTGGGTGCTTTTATTCCGGGCTATCCTATCCAACCAGTCGTGATCCGCTACCCCCATGTTCATTTTGACCAATCCTGGTATGATGTTGTATAATAAATTTTATGAGTTCAGGAACACACCTCTCTAGTTTCCAGAGTAAAAAGCTTACTCGTCTTTTTTTGTCCAGGGGTAACATTTCCTTGGCAATGCTAATGTTTAGAATGTTCACTCAGTTTCACAATTTCATGGAGGTTATCTCTCTCTCTCTCTCTCTCACATTAATGTGAATCATTATGTGCATTGTTATTGTCTTGGGTATCCTTAATCTGCATACTTGTATAACAGTAGTCAACCAATCAGTAGTTGAATTTTTTGGAGCAAAATTAATATTACTTTAATCTCTTTCTTTTGGTCTGACTCACTTATTGACAGCTATTTCAGTGATACTACCCCACCCCACCCCCCTTTTTTCTGTCTTCTGATTCTTGATATTCTATTCAACAGTGACTAAACATAACTTTTTCAGTATTGTCTTTCCATTTTCTTCAGAACTGACTTTTACATTCCCTCAATCCTGTTTGGAATATGCCTAGTGATCTGTTAAACTTGAAAACATGGTCCTATTGTTGTTTTTCTCAATTGCTTATATTATCATGTAGTACTGAAAAGTCAATCATTACTGCGATCTTGTGTGGTTGCATTTTTGGGGGTTTTCCCACTTGCATGTGATCCTTTTTAAATCTGAGCATTTATACACAGGTTGAATACCTCCCTGTTGTGTTTCCGCTGGAGGATAAGAAAGAAACTGCTGCCCAATTCTCTCAGAGGGTGAGTGTAAAGAATCTTCTTAAACCCATTTAGCATTCTTCTTTACATCATTTTTTCTCATTATCTTTTTTTGTTTGAGTTATTGAACTGTGTTGATCAGATTGGTTACTCAGAAAATTCTCTGTGATCCGATGCAGACTAGCGATGCTATTGCTAATGCTCTCAATGTGGTTCAAACATCACACTCCTATGGAGACATGTTACTTGTCTCCAAGGCTTCTGAGTTCAAGCAGGTAATGCTGTAAGCTGCCGGGTTTACATTACTGGTTCCTTCTAGTGAAACTCTTATTAACCGAATGGAATGGAGTCTTGTTATTTCATTATGGAGAAGGTGTTGATTGGAGGGGTTTGGGGGACGCAGATTTAGTTTTGAGATCGATTTATGATAATAATTTTTCTATCTAGCTGTATTTTCTTATACTAGTTGACCAAGGGTTCAGAACAATTTCCTTGTCTTGTTAAACTTCTTCCTGTTCTTTCTAGAGAGCTGCAATCTCCACGGTTTTATCCTCACATTCAATGTTTTTTCTTGTTTTCTTATCTTTCTTTGCCAGGAGAACCCCTCTGCATTCATGGTTGAAATGGCCCGGGTTGATGCAGTGAGTCTCACCTCTCTCATGTTGTCTTTCTGTATTTTTGATAATACATAAGCAGAACAAAATTCTGTCTGGTTGTAAATATTTATATGGATTGATTATTGGTATGTCTCTTTATTTGGAGGATTCTTGATAATGACCCTGATTCTTCCTCAAAACATGAAGCGAAGGATATGAAAGTGTTTCTGACCATCTTAATCAGTTATGGAAATTTGGAGAGAAAGTAGAACAGACTGAGTTGTCAAATGGAAATTTTAGAACACTTTTTTGCTGGCTGAACTACAGCAATTCGGGTGATTTTAATTTTGACCAACTTCCTTGAAAAAGCAATAATGGTTCAAAATACTGTCGTAGAGGTACCTCTTATGAGGATACACTCCCGAAACATAAACCAAACATGAACTATTTCTGACATTAGTGTTGTCCAATCAATCACGAGAGCCTTTTGTGACGAGTGCCTCTAGTAGCTCACAGACCAGAGTAGAACTGCATTCTTGCTTTCTATTAAGAGAATTTCCAAAATTGATATGTAGGAAGTAAATTAGGTCTTGCATACTAAATCTTGATAATGAAGGTTACTTTTACACCCACAAGGATAAGTAGTTTGGTGTTGTGTAATATGGTACTATGCAAGCATCAATATTTATCGTGCTCATGGAAGTTTCTGAGATGATAACGGACAATATGAGTACTACTGTTGACTTGGATTCTGAATATTGGAATATATTGCTCTGTTTTTGTTCTACTGCATGCAAGATACTAAGAATATTTATGTTTGTTTCTCAGATGGTTGGTATAAGCACATTTGAAGCTGTTGACCTTCTGGATGTTTTTCTTTCTATGAATCCTGATTCCAGGTACACTAAATTGATCATCTATCCTATCTTATGTCTGGATGAGAATGAGGTCCTATTAGTTAAAACCATTTTCATTCTATAGAGGTATCAATCTTTAATTAGAAAATATCCAAATTAGGAGAAATTCTGCTAATTTGTTTGGCCACTTGTTATTAGTTTTTAATTCGGTGATGTAATTTTCTCAAAAAGATTATTCATAGATGATCAATTTAGGACAGATGATCAATTATTCTCCTTTATCTTTCTCTTCTTTCACTATTCTTGTTTTCTTGTGTCACTGGCTAGGTGCGTGATATGAATGCTAGTTCTTAACTTCTAGTTTCTGTCTGCAGTGGGCATGTTGCAATTCATGACTTTCTCAGGGTGCTCAGACTAAAACCTTGCACTCTTTCAGAACAGGTTAGTCATTGATATTTAAGTTCTCTTGTAGTTTAATCCTACATTTAGTCTTATTGCATTCTGTTCCTGTATCATTTATTATATTTCCTGGGATTATGATTTTACATATTTGAATAAGAGATGCTATTGGATTATGAGACTCCCAAAGCTTTAGAAAATTTCATGGTTCATTGAACAAATGTATGTGATATTTGCTTTGGAAGGGGGCTGCATTCAAACAAAATGTTAAGATATGATTTTTTTCAAGCTTCATGTATATTTTATGAAATATGAAGGAATTCACGTCATTTTTAAAGTATCTTGTAATGTTGAAAATTAACTGTCTCAATTAGGAAAAAGGTGCTTTTAACACTATTCGGAAGTTAGTTTTAGTCTCATATTCACTTGGTCTTACTGTGTTGCAGATATTTCAGTTCTTCGATGTGCAGAATTCTGGAAAAATAACATTCAGACAGGTACTTCTCTTCCTTCCGTCCTTAACCTTTTTCTATAAGATATTTCTAATTGTTATGTTCTGACTTTGTTGTCAATTACCTGAGAGATTGCCCATTGGCATGTTTAGCAATAGAGTATGAAAATCAGTAGTTATGAGATACAGAACCTTTCATGGTAACCTCTCTGCTTACTCATCTTTAAAGGCTGAGCCTTAAGCTCTTCGGAGCTATTCTATGCCGCAGTAGAATTGAGGTTTCATTGCATATACTCAGCTGTCACATGTGATGCTGAAGCACCTCTACCTGGTCCTGCTAGATTCTGAAATTAGACAGGATTTCATTTCCTTTAGCTTAATTGACAGTATTTTACATGACGAAACTGATTGGAGTTATGTGGTATGTAGTTCTTGCTCGGATCAGCGCACATACTGAGGCAACGACTGTTTTGTAACTCCTGCGAAATGGCGTTTGCTATATGTGACGTGGAAGGAAGAAACTATGTTTCAGAACAAGAGGTACGCATTCCTTAGGCATTTGCCTCTGGCCATTCTTCACCAACTAGTCTATTCCCTGGGTGCTTGAAACGACTTTAACTCCCCTGGCATTCTGTGTGTGTTACAACAGTTTGGAGATTCACTTGCACTGATGTTGCCCAACACGGATGCTGATGAGGTAAGGAATCAGAATCTGTGAGTTCACTTAGTTAAATTAGTTACTGAATCTAGGCTGTATCGTAGAAGCCACGTAAAACTTCTGTTAATCTTGACATTGGCAGATACATGGGCTTTTTACCATGTTTGATGTTGATTGTGATGGGAGAATCAGCAGAGATGATTTCAAAGCATGTTTAAGAAGGAACCCATCGCTCATAGCGCTATTCTCACAGCAGATATCGAGCAGAGACTCGTCACTAGCTAACCACAGAGATGTAGAGGAAATGGTATAAATGTATGAATGCATTTTTGTCTTAAAAGAAGAAAAAAAAAATGAGAGAGAACATGTTATATAGTTTGTAGATACTGATGAAAATTGTGTAATTTTATTTATTTGTTCTGCCAATTTTGTCAGCTCCCAGTGTTCCATACTATGCTGTATGTTGTTACCTGAGATTTAGTTTTGCCTCATAGGTCCAGTCCAGCAACAATGTATCCATGTTTTTTCTGGGCTTTGCTGTCCGAACTCCGAAGTAGTAGATAGTTGTATTGGTTGCTTATGCTGTAACAACATAGACAATTGTTCCTTTAGACTAAATGGACTAGGTGATTGATGTAACAGACATTGAAGATAGAAAATACTACTATTTGATTTTAAAAAGGTTAAGTTAAAAAAAAATTAAAAAAATCGGTGTTTTGATCAGGCACGATGATATTTATAATTTGTTTATAGTAAGAATTTTTTATGTGCACTTTCATTTATGACCATTGTTACTAAGTTACCTGCAAATTCAATCAAGCAAATCCACTCAAAATGTGATTCGTGATGCTTGTCCAGCGGTTCTATCAAAAGTCTTTGTGGTCTGAAAATGACTCTTCTATTCCATAAAAGTAGTCATGTTGGTTGAATTCATCAAATGTCACGTTTTTATATATATATGGAATAAAAAAAGAAAGGAAGTACTTAGCATAATGATCAAATTATTAATTAAAGTTCAGTGTTTGGTACTCCCTCCAGTCCTTAGTATAAGGCATTTTGATTTGTCCTAAATTTCACCTGATACATATTTTTTATGACAAAAAAAAAAAATCTTAAAAACATATTTTTTATAATCAAAATTTATAATCAAGAGAACACAATCGAATTTAAAAATATGTTTTTAAGATTTTTTTTTTGTCAATTAAAAATACATACTAGATGAAACCTTGAACAAATCAAAATGCATTATATTCAGGACCGGATGGAGTATTAAATTTTCACATCCATTATAAGAAGTAATGCAACTCTAAAATCGAAAAAATATAAATTTAAAAACTCAAAATGAATTATTTTTCTGAGACAAAGATAGTATCATCGAATTCTGCTGTTCGTAGGATGACATGAAACGTGAAACGCGAAACTGTGAGTGTGAAAGTGATGAAGTACAAATTAAGCAACACATGTTTGGTTGATTTCTCAAAATTGGGAATCCCTGTTTTTCTGGTACCATGAAGACCAATATTATTATTATGGCCTGGAAGTTTCCTAGGATGGGATTTACATTCATTATCAACAAAAATGGCAAACCTCATCATGATTATTATTACTACGCAACAAACAAAGAAAAATATACTGTAATGCAGACAATTATTGGGACACCACAAACCGTGTTACATGCCTATTGGACACATCTTTTGGATAATCTTTTTCTCTTTTCTTTTTGCATCCTGTTAAGATATTGGTTGTTGTTACATTTTATTTATTTATTTATTTTTTTTTTTGATAAGGGTTACATTTGATTGATTTATCATCTCTTTTTTTTTGTCGATTTAATTTTTTTTTCTCTCTCTACAATTACATATGGCGTGATAAGTAAAGAAATAATTGATGTTAGACTTAGGGAACCAAAATATGTTTGACACGTTTTAGTCCTCTTTGATCTTTTTCATTTTTTATTAATTATTTTTTTAGTTTTTGGGTAACAAAAGTACTCTGATGACAACGATTGATCCTTCTCCCCCTTTGCTACAAACTACAAAGCGGTAAACTCTTAAATTCTTATTTAAATTTTTTATTACTAGTATAATTTAAATCATTATAAATAAAAATTCAAACCAATCAGTTATTTCAGGACATTAAAAAAAAATATATACACACATATAGCATAACTTTTTTTTTTTGTTTGATAATATGCCAAAGTATTAGTATCAAAGAGATTAACCATTCCATGCTAAACAGATTAATTGTCCGACCTTTGTTGCTTTGGATAACAATCAACACCGTGAATGCCCCAGAAAAATTGACACCTCCAGACACTAGAAAAATAAATCTATACATTATACTCCCTCCGATCATTTTGATTTATCCTAGGTTTCACTTAATATGAATTTTTAATTGACAAAAAAACTATTTTCACATTCGTTGTGTTCTACTGATTGTTAGGAAATATTTTTTAGTTTTTTTTTGGTTGAAAATACAGATTATAAAATCTAAGATAAATCAAAATGACTTATATTAAGGACACAAGGGAGTATAAGTCAAAGTCAAACTCAAATACATGGTACAGGAGAACATGGAAAGAGACCTCGAAATGTAAATAACAACGTTGTACTACTTCCTTAAGAATATAGAGAAAAAGATAAAAACATAACTAAAGAATAGAAATATTTGGTTTTAAATTTTTAATTGATGCAGGACCACTCAAAATAGCCCCATTTTTTCTTCTCGGGAAATAAATTAATTACAATAATAATTATGACTTGGTACATAAATAAAAGGGCTGGGGAGCACGCCTCCTCGCCGGTGGTCCAGGCCGTGGCTGGGCTTTGGCAACCTATTAAAAATCTGGGTTTTCTAAAAAAATGGAAACCAAAAATCACCCAATTAACTTCCAAAAATCTCCCCCAAAACCTAAGCCAGTACCCACTCGCTGACAGGTGTCTGCCCCCACCTACCACCCTCCTTTTTTTGTAACCTTAAACCAAAATTATTACTGTTTTACTTCCTTCGTCCCGTTATAATATAATATCATTCTGTTTATCAAGATGTTTAAGTTCAACAAATCATCCTCTTATTCTTTTAACCCATGGCGTACGTATATGATTCAGTTTAGCTAACTATATTATGAAAATGATGAGAGGCTCTGAAAAGATATAGTGAAAATCGAGCTAGAAATGAAATGGTAGATGGAAAAGGCATTGTAAAGTTCCGAGTCATGACTGGTGTAATTGGATATTTTGTTTTTCGGTTTATATTACACGCTGCTAAACTCTTTACTTACTCAAAATTATCACTTACTTCGTATCAAAATAAAATTTTACTGGTATAAGCAAAAACGATGACAGAGTCAGAAATATTTCTTTTTTTCCCTTAGGGACGAAAATACATAGATGTTAAATTTTGGATCCTTCTTTTGATCTCAGAAAGTTCAATGGAGGGAGGCGATCATGGATCACCACTCCACCTCCCTCCACCTTAGATAGAGAGCGATCTATATGTTTATACTTTAGTTATTAAATAGTATAAAATAGAGTATTATAGGATAAAAAAAAGTACTTATTCTGTCAAGAAAATAATTTATATTGAACTTTAAGATTTGCACCAATAATTCAATGTGAATTCATTTTTGCACTAGTTAATCGGTGTGGATATGTACATATATATATTTTCGAGACAGATGAATTATATAAGCGGGGGTTGTGGATTAATTAAAGGTGTGCATCAAATGAGGTGAGTTAGTAATGTATTTATTTACTGAATTTTTTATTTTTTTTTGGTTACAAAGTAATGTATTTATTGAGAGCCCTACTTTACCAAATTGTTTCTCTTCTTAATTATGTGTTTTAATTTCCCTCGCCGGGACCGTTTGTGCTTGTAGTTGTGTTTTCTTTCTCGATGTTTATATTTCGTAAATTGAGGAAATAATCAACTTTTGTAAACTCAACTTTACATAACAAATAAATATACTGTACAGCAGAAGTACTTGTTCACTCTTTTAGTTGCAAACGAAAAGAGCACAATGAATTAGAAATATGGAAATTTGATGGAGTTACGAGTTAGACCATTATTTTTTACTTTTTAGTTTAGTATTTTCCTCCCCATGATCCTTACATAAAATATATATATATAAACATATATAAAACTAGGATAATGATGATACAATTGAAGTTTTTTGACAAGTACTTCATAAGTTCTTTATAGATATTTGATACTTTTGAAATGAACAAAGTAAGAAACTGAGAGTCCTTTATAAATGAATGAACAAAACACACACGTTGACAAATTTACCTCTATCAAAAGACTTTGTAACACTCTTTTAAAAAGAAATTATTCTATAAAGATAAGAGTTTTAAATCAAATACTCACCACTCATCTAAATTCAAAATAACGCGACAATAAGAGTTACGAGAAACAAAAAGAAAAAGAAAGTGAGACCGGTCGCTCGATGTAAAATAAATCACCAGTGCAAAAGCGACATTAAAAACCAAAAGTAGGTTTAGGTGTTTTTTGTTGTGGGGGTCCAAATTTAGGAGAAACCAACATTAGGAAAGTATTTAAAGTTTGGAGGCCAATATGTATTTGGTAAGAACTAGAAGGGCAGAAACAATTAAAGAACCAAAAAAAAAAAAAAGGAGACATAAATTAAGAATAACAAGGCCCCTCCCCATCTATTCCACATCCAATGAAATTGACAATTGAAAGAAAATGTTGTCTCTGGTTTTTCTATCATTAATCAAGATACGTTTCGATATTTCATTGGGTTGTTTCACCCAAGTTACCTGCCACCTCGACACCTACATCGTACGGACGCCCCCCATTTCAATTGTTAAACAAATTGTGAAAAGAAAAAAAAAAAGATATTTAAATGAATAAAATTAAAGTAGTGGTACTTATTTTGTCTGCATTCATGGTTTGTACTATGTGAGAGTAATGTGTGGATGCATTTTGCTTGTGGAGCTGGTTACCTTTCTATTTATATCCTCCTCTCTATTTTAAGAATACCAATTTCTAAAAATATAAAGTTGATTTTTTTTTTTAAATTTACATAAAAATGAAGATAATAGTCATCCTCTTTATGTCATGATAATATACGTTTGCCCTTTCAATCGATGATTGTTTCGTCATCACCACTTGCCTGATCTCACGGCGATATGATATGAATTTTAGTTAAAAAGTAACAACATACACTTTACATATTTTTTTACATCTATTAATGTTTTTTTACCCTAAAATGTAAAACAAAAATTGAAAATGGTGTTTTTAATTATGTAATTCGACCCTTTAACTTATGAGACAAGACTCTTATCATGAAATACAAATGTTCTTTTTCTAAAGAAAATATATGAATGGGGGTATCTTTTTGAAAGAAGAGATAAACAGATTTGTTGGTTTTTAAGGGAAAAAAAGGGGGTCTATTTCCTCTTATAGAAGTTATTAGTGTTCACTTTCTTGGCCTTGGAAGCCATTTTACTTACTTTGGGCTAGGTCTCCATGAATTTTACCAAATAAGGAAAAATGATGAGGTTTTCTTCCTTAGGATTAGCATACAGAATAATTATTATAATTGGTGCCTTTCTTTATCAATGGTGGGGTTTGAAGGAACATATTACATTATTTATTATCATCATCACTGTGGTTAGATAAAGAAATGAAGAAAAAGGTACATCATAAAATCATAATTTAAGCAGCAGCAAGGAAAGCCAAAATGAAGAAGAAAATAGTTTGTCTGTGTGTGTGTGTGTGTGTGTGAACCCAACCCAAAAACTAGAAGGAGAATTTTCCACATTATTATTTGCCCTTTTTTTTTTTTTCTTCTTTGATTAGAATTTACCCAAAAAAGGGGTCTAAAAGAATCAATCAGTCACTAGCACCTACCTCTGTTAAGCCTTTCTGGGGTTATTGCTCTCTCTTTCTCACCCCTTGCATTGTTCATTTTCATATATAGAAAAGGAAAGGTGGTAAAACAAATAAAATATAAAGAGAAGAAAGCCATCATCATATTATAGCTAGCTGAGGAAAATTTGTTTTGGTTTCTTCCCATATTTAGGCCTATTTCCTTCTTCCTTGCCCACAACAAAAAAAGGTTCTCTGAGTTTTTGCCAATTTTGTTAGACCTGTTAATTCTCACTGTCTCATCATTTTCTTTTGCTTTAAATTCACATACATCTTCTTGGCCTTTCTTGGAAATTTTTTTTTTTGGGTTTGCTTCAATTCAAACCTCTCATCAATCTTTTGTTTCCTTCATTAACTTTCTTCCTCAGCTTTTAGCAAAACTGCTGCAACATTTGTACTGCACTTTTTTTTTTTCACCATTATTTCTTCTTGTTTTCCACTCCCAATTCATCTTCATCTTCATCTGATTGTTGTTGTACCTTTGTTTTGATCCTACAATTTTAAAGGTTTTTGGAAGATGGTGAGAGGGAAGACTCAGATGAGGCGGATAGAGAACGCCACAAGCAGGCAAGTTACCTTCTCAAAGAGGAGAAATGGGCTGCTCAAGAAAGCTTTTGAGCTCTCAGTTCTTTGTGATGCTGAAGTTGCACTCATCATTTTCTCTCCCAGAGGAAAACTCTATGAGTTTGCCAGTTCAAGGTATCATTTTGAATCTCTCCTAAAATTCATCATCAACTCGTCAATTAGTTTTTTTTGGCTATGAAAAATGAACAGTACTTTTTTTTTTTTTGTGAGGTTGTTTTCTTCTTCTTTTTCACCATTTATAGAAACTGTCGGTTGTTTGGGGTGTTGTTAATGCTCTTCTGTTTAGATGATTTTGCCACATTTGTTCAATTCATGCAGTTTTTTTTTTTTGGACATATGATGGATATGTTATCTTTCTGAGTAGCTAAGAAAAAGATTGATCCTTTGGCCTAATGCTTGTTCTTAATTCACCATAGTTCATTAATTCAGATCTCATCTCTTCTACTTCGAAATTAGAAAGTTGGCATCTGTTAATGTTTCCCGATTTGATCTCCTCCTGCTTCAAAGTAGCCGACAAACTTAATATGTTTCCCTTCAGCATCCATCTTTTCTTGAGACGAGGGTTTCTCCTTCTTCTTCCTTCAAAGTTATCTGTAAAGTCAAATGGATTTCATTAGGCTTCATTTGTTCTTCTTCCTCCTATTTATAAGTTTGAGCTTTTTCTTCTTAAAAGTTAGCAAAGATTGTTGATGCTAAGCCCATCAAATTCAAATCGTGATAAAGATTAACCAAACTTCATTTTCAAACTAATCATCTGCTACATATCTGTCCTCTTCAATTTGGATCACTCAGAAAAACTTTCTGGGCATAGGAAAAATATGAATGAGCTATGTCCTAAGAGTGACGAAGACGGGAAGACTTTTTAGTCAGCAAGTTTTCAACTTTTGCATCCCATCAATATTATTATGGCAAGAGTAACATCCTCTTTTACTTCTTACAATGTTTTTGGTAACTTATTTGATGTACTAAAACTACTGTGTCAGTCTCCGAAATGGGCTTACAGTTGTCACTTCTGGAGACATGTTTATCCAACTCTAAAGCTTTAATCATCTAGCTTGGAGTGTATTGAAAACAACCCATCAGTCAAAATTTGCCAGGAAACACATGATTTTTGAACTGGTTATTAAAATGGAAGTAAGTAGTACAACTGTCCTTTATACATGATGAAATAGTGTTGTGCTTTGTGGAGCAAGTTTGGTTTTTACAAGTTCAAGATTGCATCTTGATGAAGGACCTTCTTTCCCTTCTTTATTTGCTGTTTCAATCTTTATTGTAATGCTTACAAAAGGCTCATAAATACATAGAGCTGCTCCCTTAATGTCACACCTGCAGAATCTTTTTGTGCGGAAATATTTTGTACGGATTTTTGCTTTATTAATCCTTTTGGCACGAAATTCTCCAAGCAAAAAAGATCCCTTTGGATCATATTTGTTTGCTTTTATTGCATTCCGGTTTATTTTATTGCCTCAAGGATGCAAACACCATGTGCTTCCTGATCATCTTTTGGATCACACTTTCACAGCTTAGTTCATATGTTGACACATACCTCACTAAATCTTCTGTCTGGCTTTCTGCTTGCAAGCATAACTATGGAACTAAAGGGTCTCTAAAATATACATTTTCTGAACTACTTCATTGGGAGGTGTTCTTTTTAGATTGTCAGTGTTTTGCTTTAATTATATAATACTTGGGAATAACCATTTTTTGCAGCTTTCCCAAGTCACCAAGCTGTTAGAAATGAGAGTGCCTGAAGCTACATTTTGCATATATATTCTCCAAAATGCATGCCTTATACTTCAAAACACTTGTCTTGTACTTGAAAACACATGTGATTACCCCACCCCCCCTCCCGCCAACAATTGTGCTGTTCACTTTCCTTACCAATTAATGAACTGTGGCTTTCAAATGAGTGATTATGTTAATGTAGTTAAGTGTTAGTTCCTTGCATCACAATGAAACAACAATTAGCTAAGATGATATTAATTTGCTTGTAACCCTTTAATTTGTGGAAAAGGTTGAACCTTGGTATTACAAAATCAAAAATTAAACATAATTACTTGTATATGAAATGCATGAGTTTTAAGGATGAGCGTACTCGCATTTTTACTTGATCTAATGAAAACGTAGGAAGAAGGATGGCATTGCCATACTACGCTTTAGTAATTAAATCAGGTTCTATGAAAGATTGGCAAAAGACATCAATGCACCTGATTAAGGAGAGTTGGTCACCAGATGAATGTACATCTTAGGTTCACTACAAGAACTTTGTTTTTTTCATCAATCTGTAACAGTGAGTCACTATAAACAGGCCAAATTTACCGTTGGCCCAAAAATGGTGAAGACATACATCATGAAATGTAACCTAGTGCTCTATTCATAGAATGAGGAGCACAAGAATAATGCAAAATCTCATTAAAGACCTTTTTAGATGATTCAATTTAAGCATGTGCCTTTGGGTTGAAATTTCTTTTTCTTGAGATAAATTATGTCTTGACAATGTAAGAGAATTATATTGAACATAAAAAAAATGAATTTGGAATGTAATACATTGTAGACCAAGAGAAGTTGCTAGAACATATTTTCACATATTCTAGGCAATAAAACTCATTTTCCAAGTTTTGAAAAAAAAAAAAAGGAAAAAAGAAAATCCTTCATAATGGGATTTTAATTGTTTTTGTGGCCATTTTAATTCTTTGAGTTATTCCAAGACATGGAGTTGTATGCTTGTTTCTCAACCTAAAGTTTACATAAAATATTTACAGTCACAAATTCCAACTAGAGAATATAAAATGTACTTCGTCCCAGCAGAAGTTTAATATACTCCCTCTGTCCCAAAATTATTGTCCAGTTTGAGATTTCACTTTTAGTACAATTTGAGCTAAAAATGCAAACTCAAACTCGACAATAATTATGGGACGGAGGGAGTAATTAATTTGACATAATGTTGATTACATAATGTTGTCCAGTCCACCTGACCATAAATGTAAACCCTAAGCTTACGGTGTGAATATGAATGGATGCAATTTGATTCGCATCATTCCTTACAAGTTTTCTTTATAATTTTTCATTGCATATAATATACCTTACAGAATATATACATGTATAAGTAAAACAAAGTGTAGCTAAATTGTCCATTTCGTTTCTTATTATAATTCCTACATACTCTATCTCATTGCACTACCAGAAAAACTTGAAGTCACAGTCTTACAAAATATTTTCCATTTTTACATTATACTGACAACTTGTTTACCTTTTCAATGGAAACTTCCTACATTTCTGAACTAATTAAAAATCAAAACCAAAACACTGTCTTAAACAGACCTCAAAGCTTTTTGCATGTGTAATTATTAGCTGAGCTTGGCTAAGCACAACCTGATTCAATGTTTGCTTTCATGGTGATTATAATAACTTACTGATCCAGCTATCCCAGTTGACAGTACCCTAGCTTTAAGTATGGCTTTTCTTGAAGGGTTTCAGGTTTGCATGAAATATATAGTTTGGTCCCTTAGATTATTGGCTCATTTTATGAATGGTTTTGGAACTTCTTTCAGCATGCAGGGGATAATAGAGCGCTATCAAAGCCATGCAAAGGAGATCCCAGTCAGCAATCCCACAATAGAACAGGATGTTCAGGTTGTCTTTCCTCTTTGTTAATCTTTACGTTTAATCACACCACAATACTCAAATTTAGAGTGAAAATTACCTAATTTTCCAAATTCCATATATAACCAAAGTATACTTTTATCTATGCTTTTATAAGTTTTTCAAATTAGCAGTCCTTAAACATCACCCCTTTTCGTTCTAATGACTTGGAAAACAAGTGATTTAACCAAATTTAATGGAATATCTAAATCACATAATATTTTTAGAGGTTAATTAGCTTGTTTAAAATGGACAAAATTACCCTCATTTGATTATATCATGTGATTGTGCACCATGCTTGGGATTAAAAAATTTTAATTTTTACTCAAAAAAAAAAAATGAAGAAAATTTAAAATTATTTTGAAAAAACAGGAACTTAGGGTCCATTTAAGCTTATGTCTTGATTTTTGTTTCCGATGCTCAAAATGTCTGAAATTTGCTTCGTCTTTTGCATAATATTGATACCATCATACTATCATATTCGTTGGACTTAATTATTGGAAAACTGAGATAAGCTAACTACATGTCAAAAGCATGCATGGAGGAAAATGGAAAATAAAAATAAGTAAATAAGTAAAATATAAAGGATAAAGAATCTCCATTTACCTCCCCAAAACATGCATGTTTTTTCAGAGATTTAGTTATTTCTACCCCTTAAAAACCTGTACCTGCATCTCATGTGTGTATATGTATGGTGGTATATATCAAATTTGATTAATTATATCAAGTGAAGGAAAATGAGCTCCCAATCCCAACATCAATAACCAGTGTGAAGTTTGTATATGATGATACTGAGGGAGATCAACACCTCATGATTTACCCTAGTCTAAATGAGCTATTTCCAACTTGAGACAATTTACTAGAAATCAATACCTCCTTTCTTTTGGTTGATTGAGTTTTTACCTTTCATATTGTAGCACCTGAAACATGAAACAGAAACCATGCTGAAGAAGATAGAGCAGCTTGAATCTGCCAAAAGGTTTGAAAAAATACTTTAGTCTGCCTTTTGTTATGCATTATCGATTTACTTTGCTTGTGATCTTGGTTGGCATAAATAGTTTGAATGCTGATGTATTATAACCCACCATTATGTAGGAAACTTTTGGGGGACGGCATAGCGTCATGTAGCCTTGAAGAATTACAAAAGTTGGAGCAGCAGTTGGAACGAAGTGTGAACTGCATTCGACAAAGAAAGGTCCTTTTTGCAAAACGTAGTCATGAATATGAGATTAAGACATGTAACACATAATCTAACTTCTTTGTTGTTGTTTTTTTTTTGCATGCAGATGCAAGTGTATCATGAACAGATTGAGCAACTCAAGGAAAAGGTAAACATAGGCCAAATTTTCTATGCCGGAATTTCATTTGAATTTTCAGATGATTCTAGATAATGGCTGCAAATTCAATCCTTAAGGTTTTCTCAGTGTTATTTACTCCATGTTTTAAGAAAATAGCAAGCATGCATTTTCTTAAACCTTTGAACTATACATGCATTTTAAGAATTTGGAGAAAGGAAACTAGTACCAACTTAGGCATCTCTAGGGTCTGCAAAGATATTGTTACACACATTGGAACCCAAAACTCTCTTAAGATTTCTACTCATTGTGAATTGGTTTTGAGTTGGAATTTAAGTTTTTTGGCATGGTCAAATATATGTTTTCAGGGAGATTCTCAAACATTAGAGCAAGGTGTTTCAATGATTGAAGGTATAGGAGAAATTTTAAGTACTGCCCTTGAACCAAAAGCAAATGTGCAAGTTTTTATTTTTATTTTTTAGGGAAAGAAGATAGGCAATTAGCCAAAGAGATTATGGTTTTGTAAAATGAAAAAATGGGTGAAGATTTTGAATACGAATTTGCTAATTTCTGTAAAGGCTCTGGGAGATTAGTTGATCCTACAAGTATGGCTACTTTGTACTAGCTTGGCATTTATACAACTGTCTTTCTCCTCTCATTTTCCAGGAAAAAGTGCTAGCAGCTGAAAATCTGAAGTTACTGGAGAAGGTAAGAAATTTTTTTTAATCTTGGCAATTATGCTTTTCTGAGGCTATCTGGGGTCTTTCAGTTGTGCCTTTTACTCATGAAAACTGCTAATGAGAAAACCTTTGGTCCTAGCTTGACAAATGATTTTCTTGGTCATTCTGTTCAACTGTATAAATGATATGGTATCTGATTCAAACTTGCTTCTGTTTATTACTTGTTTCAAATATTAGTGTGGAGTGGAACCTCAGCTGAGACCAAAAGAAAGTGTTGAGATTTTGCCTCGTTCGGAAAGTAGTGAAATTTCAGATGTGGAGACTGATTTGTTTATCGGACCACCAGAGAGAAGATATAGGCAAACAGTAAAGAACTGATTTTGGATGATCAAAAGAAGAATCTTTTGTCATCTAATTAGTCATCCATTTCAAATTTTAAGTTGAATACTTCCAAAATCAGTTGCCAAAGAAAAGAAAAAGAAGGAAGAAGGAAGAAAAGTGGAGACTTGTCTGATCCTATGATAAGAAAAATTAGGTACTACCATTGTTCTGTGAACTTGCGGATGCATATTAGTAATTTACTTGTCTTTTTTTGCCATTGGAACACTCTCAAGAAGAAACATTTCACAAGGTTCATCCCCTATGTAAATTATTTTATAGATTTAATTATAGTCCTAATTAAAGACGAAATGGCTGAAACTTGCTGATAAGTATAATTTCATCTTCTTATGGTTCTTGTGGTTAAGTTAGGTTATGGACTGAGTAAACTATCTCAAGTTTAGCTATGCATACAATACTTTGCATGTATGGCCGGCTTTGCTGCCATTACGGAATGCCTTGATGTAAGAACATAAGATCGGGTCCGACAAAACCAAATGAAGCAATATTGCCAAATCTGTCGGATGATAGAATTAGTAGACTATATAAATAGATAACAATGATATGAAACCATCCCCGCTTGTGAAACTTGCAAATATCACAAAGGGTTCGTGATGGCTCCTTGTGGTATAAAGACGAAGTAAAATTACTAGATCTGATAGTAATCTAACAATGCTATGGGAGTTTCCACTGATACTGTTTGGTTCTAAGGAAGAACATCAAAAATTTCTGTCGAGTCTGCCTTTTCAGTTGGCAGTACTAACACCATCCAAAATCTTAACGACTGCTTCTTTTGTTGGGAGAGCTGGGATGGCTCCTTTCTCTGTCACTGTGATTGCTCCACACCCGTTGGCAAACAGGAGAGCCTCTCGTAATTTCTTCTCATCCTAAAGAAAAATAGACAGCATTTTAGTACAATGCATGATTTCTTATAGTTTGAGTGTACTCAAAAGGTGACCTTGGCAAGAATAGCATAAAGATAAAATTTTAAAAGTTAAGTAAGCACCTTATACAATTCAGGATTTGCAGCCAAACTGTTCAACAATCCACCAACAAAGGCATCCCCTGCACCGGTTGTGTCAACTGCCTCGACTTTTACACCGTGAACTCTGCCATGAAATTCCTGAAACAAAGTTTCGGATGATCAAGAACATTTGCAAATGTATTCATTTTTTTTTTCTTTCTTCTATGATGCTCTGAAATTGAACTAATGGCTTTTTTTTTAATAGTAAATCTCAATGCTAACCTTAGTATAATATCTACATCCCTCTGAACCTTCGGTTACAAGCAAAAGCTTGAGATTCTGAGGGTACAGTTTGGTCAAGACCACATTGTCATCAAAAGCGTCTTCTCCTCCTGTCAAAAATGTGATCTCCTCCTCACTTATCTGAATTCATGCCACATTTAAGGTCCACAAGAAAAACGGAAATTGAGTAGCATGAGTCAATCAGGGCTAACTGAGAAATAAGGATGATAAAGCACCAAACTTCAGAAGAATTATAAGCCTAACGAACTAGGCTAATGACATCAATGAAAGATCTTGTCAGAAATTAAGAGTACCTTAATGATGTCAGCTTGATCCCAAATGCTCATAATGCCTTCCCGTGCAGCCTCTGCAGATGGCCACAAAGGCAACCTAAGATTTGGGTCATAAGAGAGAATGCAGCCTGCCTCTTTGGCGACTTTCATCGCTTCCAAATGAGTTGATCTACAAGGTTCCTCTATCAAGCTGATTGAGCCATAGTGAAAAATGCTTGACTACATCACAAAACAGAAAAAAAAAAAAAAAAAAGAACAGAGATTTATCCTCCTGTTTTTTGATTCGGAAACTTTCTTGCTCCAGATAGTAATCAAATTTCATTAGCCTTGTTTTACCTTTCTGATGAGATCTTTGTCTAGTTCTGATTCAGTAAGAAGCATGTCAGCACTAGGATTGCGGAAGAACATAAACTCACGTTCTCCATCAGCCCTTAAGGTTACAAAAGCCAATGCAGTTCTCGCATTTGGATCAAATCTCATGCCGGAATTGTCAACATTGTTTTGCTTCAGTATATCGGCCAACATATACCCGAATTCATCCTGACCAACCTGAAACATTAACGTAGACTAGGTAAAAGAAGATCAAGGAAAATTCGTTGGTCAAATTGGCAATCACAAATCACAATCAAATAGGGGAAACACATATATACAAAACCTTTCCAATGAAAGCAGCATTTCCACCAAGTCTTGCAATTCCAACAGCAACATTCGCAGGCGCTCCCCCGGGCGCTTTCTTGAATCCAGGTGCCTCAGCGAGTGACACTCCAGAAGCAGTAGGCACGAAATCAATCAGAAGTTCCCCAAAGCAAACCACCAGTCCAGGAACCTTTGCCGGTTCCTTGTTCTTTCTTGATCTCGGTGTACCGCCTGATTTCGGTGACCCTATATCATCATAATCGTTGAAAAAGAAAACCCATCAAAATTTTTTCTCTAAAATCAATATCAATCCATAATGATGAAACTAAAAAAAACCCGAAAATGGAATTTTTATTTTTTTACCCAATTTGTCAGAGGAGTTGTTCCGGTTAGATCCGAAGCTGCGCCTCATGGACCGATCAAGTCGAACTGGGAAACAACATCCCATTTTGGTCTTATCGTCAGATCGATCCATGATGGCAACAGAAGAAGCAAGAAAATCCCAAATAAAATAGTACGTTTACATTCAATGATATACGATATTCAGATTGTGTATTATTAGGGATATCAGCATACAGTTTTGAATGCCTGCAAAGTCTTCCACACATATACTCTAGTTTTAGATTCATGGAATCCTTAATTGCCGGAAAAATCAGGGGCCCACCCTTTTCTTTCATTTTCATAGATCAAATTTCTGCCATTAGTATTACTGTCCGTCTAATTCGTCTATATAATGAACGGTTCCATTTTTTCTTCCCCTGTTTTTGCTTAAAATATTTTTTCTCTGTTTTTCTGTAAATTGTTAATTCCAATGGTCCAACAACAATCTTTTGTATCCATTTCGATCTTATTTAGGGTAAAAAGATGATCTTTTGTGACACGGCAGCAACTCTTTTACTCGATAAATGAAAGTTGACATGAATAAAAGACCATTTCTTTTAGTAATTAACCCGACATAGAATAGGCCTCATAAAGATGTGTGCTACTACCATTTTGTGGAAACATCTATGATCTAACAACACTATTTTAAAACAATTTCTTTTTCCTTTCAAATTTTGGCATACAAAGACCAAATTGCGACTTGATTGACCTTAAGAATGTACCCTTTAACATACAATTTGTATTTGTAATTGTAATAGGCAAATTAAACAATTTTTTCAAAGAAGTGAATTATATCATACCTTCACTTATCTTGATAAACTCATCAAGCGATGATCTTGCAGCGGAAGCGGCCTGCTCAACATCGATTTCAGCCGCCGGACTGAGAATATCTTGCTTCTCCAACTCCGTAGTCATTCTTTCCGGGGAGAAAAAAGGGAAAAGAACTCTGTGACCAAAAACTTGATATGAAATATTTTCTGCCCTGTTTTCTTGGCTAACCAATGTAATGGTATTAAGAAGAAGAAGGAGAAGTTTGTCTGAATCATTTGTTTGGGGGGATGTAAAGCTCCAATTATAAAGGAATCAGGTGGATACAGACAATGAAGACCACGTAATGGAACATTGGGAATATGGGAGAAAGAAAAAGTTGCTTTTGCTGAGATATTGAGATTCGGGATTGAGAAATTTTGGTAGTTTGTTAAGTTGGAGTAATGTTTTCGAATACTGGGCTTAGCTCTCATAAGAAAACGACATTTTCCGAATTGGGATTGAAATGATTGAGTTGTGAGTGGAGAGGAAGGTGCCCAATTTTCAGAGTTTAGGATGGAAAAAAAATATCATTGAGGTGAATTGGTTTCAATATGAAGTTAACTTGGATACTATCTCTTATTCCAAAATTAATTATTGTAGTAATAATCGTTTTTTTTTTTTAAGGACAAACAACTATTCAATTAAATTGGTTTATGTTAGAGTAGTCACTTCATTCATCCCAGAACCATTCTAGTACCACAGTACTACACATATCACAGTTAGACTGATTTTTATTTGACGTGGGTCACAGTTATTTGTGTAGCACATAATCGAATTCAAAATTTACTTGTAAGAGAACAAATTCTTTACCCTTGACCGAACAGCTTGTAATTACCAAAGTGATTTTTCATTTTTAAACACGAATGATATTGTTATAGTACTACCATAACTAAATTTTCAAGATTATATCACGGGTGGGGGTAGCAAAACATAATTACATACCCATCCATTCATAAGAGGAACAAATAAATAATTCAGAAACGCAAAACAATTGCACTGAAAATGAATAAGTAAAATTACTAGGGTGGAGCACCCTGTTGAGTAGTTTCCGAATGACTGGAAATTTGATCCATATTCCATGGAAAGGCGACAATTAGACATGGACAACTTTACGAGGATTGAAAGGAAACTGGATTTTACAGGGGACAGAGAATCTCCCCAATGAAGAGGATCCTGAGTGATCGGAGTTGTCAATAAAAAAATGGTCCAATTTCCGGGAAAAACACATCTCCCTTGAGACTTGACCCCGTAAATTGGCCAAAAATTGGTACCCTACAGGCCTACACCTACAATCTGAATCCTCTTCTGGGAGAAGTTGTCAAAGAACTGTTTGCTGTAAATTCCAAGAGATATCTAAAACTTTGCCAGACGGCGATTCAGGGAGCCTGATAATACCAAGTACTCCACATGGTACAAATGTCTCCAAGTTAATTCTCGAGTTGGCCTATTTTCTCAGGGATTTCATTTCCCCTGACTGAAGCCGGATAGCTGAGTACCCGAAATGAATCAGCTCTAGCTATCCACACTAGGTGAGAATGGTATGCCCTGCTTCCCAACGGAACATTTCCCTAATCCAACACTGACGCAATAGCAATAGCATCCGATGGAAGTAGTTGCCCCGCTACTAGCAAGCAGATTAATCACCTCTGTGGGTGCAACAATTTCATCACTCAATTCCTCCATCTCCATCATCTCTGTTCTGCAACATCAACAACCACACATGCATGAATTACCTAAATCTCTCTGCTCCAATGTATAATCAAGTTGTTGGTATATGTTAGAACTCGAAATGAAGCAGCTAAAAAGACAAGGAAAGAGGACATTTAATAATTCTAACTATAGAATTTCAACCCATCTTCACATGGCATCTCCTATGGAATTCAAAAAAGGAAAATGGATAGAGGCCAATCCAAGCCTTCTCCAGTCCCACAAATTCCTAGTACGTACAATAGATTTAAATTGTTCACCCAAGCACGAGTGCGGCATCGCCAAAGGCAGGCGGTGAGGGCATCGAAATTGGAGCAGTTGAGGCGGAGGTTGATCGGAAGCGATGACCGTACGCCGGAGATATCAGCGGGCCCGAAGAAGAAAGATCTACTGACCAATTCGCAGGCTGCCATGAACGGATTTTGGCCTTTTGTCCTTGAAACGGCGGCGGAAGCGTCGTATTCTCGGTGGGTCTCTTGCCTTCAAGAGAATTCTCTTCCACACCGGAGCTATGGACGGGGCGGACGGCTTCCCGGCCAATTTCAGCGACGGCCTGTTGAAATTGGGCGACGCCGGCGCCGTCGGACATGGTGTGATTGAGGCGGAGGGCGAAGAGGAAACCGGCGAGGGTCACCTGAGCAACACATCGTATAAGTCAACGACAGTTGGTCAAAGTCAATTTATTTTTCGCTGTTTCAGTTATATACAGAAGTCAAATAATAATCCATACCCATAGACTACATCTTCAAATTCAATTCAATTCCGATTGAACGTTACATACATGTTATTGACTTGTTCACTGTATGCCTTTTGTTTACATATCGTAGCACAAATATTCATGGATGTAGGAATGGGAATGATGAAAAATTAATGATACAATACAATTAGTAGAAATATCCAATGAAAAGGAGACTGATATATTGTACCATATAAAAATACATGTTATTCTAAAGTGGTGGTTATTTGCATTTTCATAGATACCACATGTATTACTATTTTTTGCAGCTGGGACAAATCTATCTATCTATATCTATATCTATAGCACTTAATTAAAGCAGCAAACAAAAAGAACATGTGTTAGCACCACAATGGAAAATTTTCCCGCCCAAAGCCATTTTCAGTACAAAATCATTTTTGACACGTGGCACTCTAACTAATCAGAAAAAAAAGATTAAATAAATAAATACATAAATTCCTTAATTATAACTACATAAAAATATCTTAATTATAGGTATATACTAATCCCTTAAAACAACAATATTTAGTTGATAAAATCAAATGTAAGGAAATCCTCTTAAATCAAGTGAAACACCAGTAATGTCTTCCCAATCTCCAATTTCAAAGAATCTTTTCCATTCTATTCCTCTATCACACCCGGGCCTTTAAATTAATTACTTAAAATCTGACATCAATTATTAATCCATCGCTTTCTACAACAGAGAAAAAATAAGCTGTCATGAAAGAAATTTGATTTTTAAAGGATGATTTTTTTTTATTCTTCTGTTGTAGATATTGGTTTATGATTTATGTAAACTCGGGCATAAGTTAACTGTTATAAATTAAATGTTGTAAAAATGGGCATAGATTTATGTGTTATAACTTATTTTCTGTCCTTTCAATCGATTTATTATTCTTCTAATTATTTTTTTAATTCTTTTAAAAATGATTCGTATTTTTTATTTAATCAATTTAAAAATACAGACGACATCCCGGGCATTCGCCCGGGACAAGCATCTAGTACTTAGTTAAAGTAACAAACATTGAGGACACGTGTCAGCACCGGAATGAAAAATTTTCCTCTAAACGTTTAGAGACGTTTACAGTACAAATCCGAAGCAAGGAAAATAAGACACGTGGATTCATATTTTTGCAGGAAAATACATAAATAAAAAAAAATATAATAAAAAGTAAAAAAATAAAAAAAATAAAAAAATAGGAAATTCGGGATAAGGGTCCCTAATTTTCTCTCCAACAACTCGTCTCAACAATCAGTCTCCCATTATCTTCTCCATTAGTTAATAAAATAAAATTTTAAAAAAGATATATCACCAATTATCTTCTCCATTATCCTCTTTCTCAATTAACAAGATTCTGCTAATGAATTCTCCCAATTTTGAAAAATTAAATATCATTTTATACATCAAATTAACGAGATAATGAAAAAACACATAGGTTTTGCTAATGGGATGGTGGTGGAGAAGAAGAGGGCACCGTCGGTGGAAGAAGTTTTTATCCCAGAAAAGTCAAACAACAATATTAGAATTGGCGGTGGATTCCTAATCGCCGAATCCGAATTCGATAAATCCCAGCATAAAGTAGCATCTACTGGAGAATTTTGGTAAGTTTTTTTGTTCTTATTCTTTTTTTTTTACGATCAGAACTACAGCCACCATTAACGTTCTGATTGCGACGCTGCCGATGCTCGGAATTCCATCGGTTATACATCAAATTCAACAATCTTGAATCAAAATCCTCCTCATCGTCATAATTCAATACCCTTTGAATTATTTTTGTTTCTTTTATACTGAAAATTGGCTACTATAGTTGTATTTCTCTTAGGAAAAATACAAATGAATAGAGAGATTCTGAAATGAGTGTGATTCTTGGACAAAATCTACTAATTTTAATCGAGAGTCAGTCTGTGTTGGCGGTCAAGGCGGTTTCTTCAAAGTACGGCTTTGTTGATCATGATTCATTAGGCGGCGTCATCATCCCGCATAAATTTTGTCGAAGGTATACTTATTTATGGAATATATTCTGCCTCTCTGTTTGATTAGAAATGGCTTACTGCCCTTTGATTATGTTAAGTTTCTGTATTTAAGGCATTCTTATTTGAATTCTGTATGATTAGAATGAATTTTGTTTGATTAAAAATAGCTTAGTCCCACTTGATTCTGTTCAGTCGTGCAAGCCTGTTTAACTGCATGTCAAGTGTTTGAATAAATGCATCCGTGGACCTTAGCTCTGTAAGTCTTCCTTTGCCCATTTTCTGTGCAACTTCTTTCTCTTCCTTGAAAATAAATTCGTCATTCGTTTGATAGTTTTATAATCCAATTCTTTTTGTGTGTGTTATTGCCAATATTTGTAGCCCAGAAAAGGAATTTTAGTTGTTTTTTTTTCGGGTGAGATTAATTTGATATGTAGATGTCATCATGGTGAAGTCATTCAAGGAGTTAATTTTCACCATTGGATATCTCAGTATTTTGGTTTTATCTCTATTTTTTATTTTTTTTCCTTTTTCATTGAAGCAAGGTCTTTTTTTTTAACTTCTGTCTACACAATTATAATCTTGATAATTCATTTGACTATTTGATTTCAGTTGCTCATCCAAATGTTTGGAGAAATGTATTAATTGGGTATCAATTATTTTGCCGTTATAATAGTAGTAATGATGTAATTTTATTTCCTTTCTCATCTGGCAGGTCGATACGAAGCGATAGTCAGAACATGTCTTTGAGAAGTCTACGGGTAAATGGTAAGTTATAATCTCTGACTAACTTTTTGCACCAGATTATCTATTTCAGTTTTTGAATAAGTGATTAATTCTTTATTATTAATGAAGGATTCTACGAGTTGTATTGGGAACAAAACTGAGGACATCTAAAGGGCATTCTGCATTGATTTTAAATGAAGATTGGATTTTTATCCTCCAAGGGTTTCTATACATGATGCCTGCTTTTGGTTTCTAGGTTAGTGCTTGATTATACATACTTTTGTGTTCATGTAGGATAATTGATGTCATATTTTACATTTTGATCATACATCATCCTTTACGAATTCACTTGAGCATTAGCATTGGTAGACCTATTATCATATGTGGAAGTTTCTCTAACTCAATATTAATTTGTGTAAGCTCATGATCATCAGTATAAACTATGACTATTGGAGGTTTTTTATTTGTGAAATGTATTCTTATTGTGCAGGGTTCATTCATAAGAAAGTATAATGGGGTTGACGTTCACAAAGCTATTCAGTCGGCTTTTTTCCAAGAAATATATGTGGATTCTGATGGTAGGTTTTGATGCAGTTAGTAAAACCACTATTCAGTATTATAAGCTCAAGCCTGGAGAGTTTGTCACCACGATTCCTCATACACTTCATTTTTCTTTTACTTACTATCTTTATTAGACCCAATTTGCATATCAATTATTGATATGGGTTATTATATATTTTGTAGGGAAACAATAGGTAAAAAGTAGCCATCGTGATTCCATCACTCTCGACGAACGTAATAAAGAAAGAGGGCCGAAAAATTTAGCAAGCCCCAACAATGCCGCAAAATCTATGTCAAGTTATGCTCGAATTTTTGAGTTAAAAAATGGTTCAAGAAAAGCAGTAGAGAGAAATATAGGTCAAATTTTGAAGAAGAGAAAAATACCGAGATCGGATTTTTAAAATCCGACCTTGCCTTAAAATCGGATTTCACAAATCCGACTTTATGTTAATAACAAAAATTAATTAACTTAATTAAGATTTAAAGAAAATAGGATTTCTAAAATCCGATCTTCATAAATAAAAAAATAATATCCAAAAAATTAAGTTTTTTTTTCCCAAAAATAAAATTTTGACCAAGTTCGGATTTTCAAAATCCGATTTTACTGTTTACTTTTTTTCATATTTTCAAATTTTCAATTAAATTTTTATATTTTCAAATTTTCCCGCCCTTCAAATTATTTTTAAAAAAAACAAGGTCGGACTTCCACCAAGATTTTTTTTTTTATAAATAAAGGATAAACTAATTTTCAAACTAGTCAAAATATATCACAATAATAATAAAAACTATTTTTCATCCATATAAATATAAAACACAATAATTAGTTTAGTTTTGACTAAGTTCAGATTTTCTAAATCCGACATTAAACATAATTTTTTTTAAAAAAAATAGACTGGATTTTAAAAGTAAAACTGATAATGATATCTCAAATTTATAATTCTTGCAATACTCATACCAATACAAGAAACATTAGGAACCCGGTGATAGAAGAAAAAATTTTAAATTTCCAAAATCTCACATAATAAAATAAAATCGAAGTTTAGAAATCCGACTTTCAACGTAACTCGGATATTAAAAATCCAAATTTGTTGATTAAAACGGATTCAACAAATCCGATTTTAGGGAAAATTCGAAATTCTGAAATCCGATTTTTGATTTAGGTCGGATTTACAAAATCCGACCTAAATCAAAAATCGGATTTCAAAATTCCGGATTTTTCTTTACATCGGATTTTGGAAATCCGATATTTTTCTAAAATCGGATTTGTGGAATCTGTTTGTATTAGCAAATTCGGATTTGTGAAATCCGATTTTATCAAAATTCGGATTTGTAGAATCCGATTTTCTTTATAAATTCGCTTTAACTGAAAATTCATATTTCAAATCTGATATTGTGTCAATATAATCCGCAAAAATAGATGTATCAATGTTACCATTAGTATGTATGTGGTATTTTTAGCATTAGTACGTGTATTTTGTACTGAATAATAGAGTTAACAATATTTTCTAACACTAATACAATGTATCATTAGTACGTGTGTTATCTATTATTATTAATAGATAAAAATATTAATAATAATAATCTAAAACAGTACT